GGGGAGTAAGTGTGGCAGTAACACAAGAGAGGGAAGCGGTAGATGCCAGAACAAGGGAGGATTAGCCCCAGATGAACTAGCTTAGTTAGGATTGGAAAGAGGAAAGATCCAGTGATGAAGAAGAAGAGAAGAAAGTTGGAGAGGTGAGAAGATGAAGATTGGAAAAGAAAGAGAGACAGAGAAGAAGAGAGAGAGAGAAAGAGAGATTGAGGGCGTTCGCTTTGCTTTCTCGAGCTGTACAGAAAAAAAGACTGAAATGAAAGACTGAAAGAATGAAATCAACGAAACCGGCGTGACAGCGCACGTGACACATAGCGGGTTATGTAAGTCGCCCGCCAATGACCATGACAATACCATACCCATTCCATCCATACACCCTTAATTCCCCTTCCAGTCAATTTACCTTCTACAGAGTACGGATATGGAGTACTACCTAACTAAGAATCCATACCTTTTCAACATATAATGGATTAACTATGTTTCTCAAAACGAGATAAATTCCTCTGAGTTGACAGATCCAATCCAGTCCCTCATCAACCAGCAGCCGCTGGCCCCCCTGATAGAATCCTGAGACAGCAGCTCCAATCACAAATCACAGACGTCACCATTGCGATGGCGGATTATACCTATCATATCTTACCACTCCATACACCCTGTAAGAAAAAAGACCCAGACCAGAACAATACCATTTCAACTTGGAAGGAGGGTGTGTATTGTAACGATTTGCCCCTCGTTTTTGGCTTTGTTTTGTTTTGGTTTTGCCGCTTGAGGCTGCGGCGAGGAGGATTTTGCCTGGTGGCCTGGGCGACCGTTTGTTTGGTTTGGCATGGTTTTTACTGACTGAAGGAGAGATGGTTCTAGAAGGTTATATAGGGAGTTTTTAACTTATTTATTAGTGGTATTGACTATATCAAATGGGTTATTTTTTAAATGCTATTTTATTTGATTTTATTTTATCTTTCTTTCCAGGATTGGTCTGATTCGCTTATCAGGAGTTGTTATGAAGTAGTGATGATTTAACCTGTCAGGGGTCATGGTGATCGTTGAACTATATTAGTACCTAGGAGGGGTTGATTTGTTAGATAAATTTAGCAACTCTTCCAAAAAAAAAAAAAGGCAAGGTTTACTCCTACACAGGTAGTACCCTGAAAGAAGGTATATTGTATAAAATACCATCCACCTCTATCAAGAGAAAAAAAAAGAAAGAAAGAAAAATCATCACTCATAACAAACAGCCCACCCTCCATACCACACACATAGACAAAGAATTATTCCATCTCATCCTCCTCCACCTCAGCATCCAAATCCAGCACTTCGTAGCGTAGTCCATCCCCATACACCACGCAGATCGCCCGTCGTCCCTGTCGCCCATTGACATCTATCCGGGCTGGCTTCGCCTTGACGCCGCCGCCTGCAAAGCGATGTTTTATTCCTGCTCCTCCGGCTACTGTAGACGAAACTGACATGTCTACTGGTGTCGGAGGAGGAATCGCCGTGGTGGCTGTAGTGTCACAATCGGTGTAGGTCACGGCCGACGGGCCTACCCCGTCAGAAGACGTTGGCTGGAAGGGGAGGTTGAGGAGGTAGCTGGATCCTTCTGTGGGGATGTGAGTGTGTGCATCTTGTGCGTTGATTCCATCAGGCAGACTTACTCTTGCTAGTCCACAGAACCATGAGGGCGTCGTCTTCGACGAACTGGATCTGTCGAATCTCTCCGTCGTGGAGGGTCAAGACCCCCAGGGAGGTCGTTCGGGTCGAGCTGACGCCGTTCTCGGAGTCGAGGACTACGCGGTATATGTATACTGTGGACATACATGGTTAAAAACTCCTTATAGAAAGTCACTAGGTAGGAGGGGTGCGTACGTAGATGGTTGTTCGAGGTCGACCGGGTCGCCAGATAGACCACGCATGGGCTGTCCTTCTCGGCATCTTCGTACCGCATCGTCATATCAATGACGTTGCGATCGCAGTCGGGATGCAGAGCAAGAGGCGAGCGGTGGAGGATCCCCCGCCGCTGTGTCAAGGCTATCTGTCCGAAGACCTTCTCGAACTGCAGGCCCAGCCGCTTCGTCAGGTCGTTCATCTTGGGAAGCTCCACGTGATTCGCATCGTCGTCGTCTAACTCCTGGCTTTGCTGCCGCAGGAGCTTCTTGAACGCGTCGTAGAACGACCGGTCATGGCCCTGGCCGGTGGGCGCCATGGAGGCGGCGGACGGTGGCGGTGGCGGCGGCCGGGGGATCCCCATCATGGGCAGCTGCTGGATGTAGTGGCGGAGTTTGCTTTTGGCTAGGGCCCCGCGGATGTATTTGAGGGTCTGTGGGTATTCGACCAGGTCGGTCTTCTCCATCAGCTCTTCGAGGGTCTGCGACATGGGTTCGGCGCTCTGCATGTCGATCTCGTGGCGGAGCCAGCGCGAAAAGCTGTAGAACTGGCCGAGTTCCTCGTTCGTGTGGATGAGGATGTGGTGTGCTAGAAGGTGGAGGCAGTCCATCGTCTCGACGATGGCATTCAGGTCGGACGTCTCCAGTCCGAGAACCTCGCTCAGTTTTGTAAATTTGGAGAGGCCGATAAGCCGGCTGAGCAGGACCTCGCATCGTTCTAGAGCGGGGAGGAGACATTCATGGGTTAACCGTCGGACGTTTTCGTAACCGCTCGAGACGGCCTTCTCCCAACGTTTGTGTCCCTGTATCCATCAGTACCCATTCACATATCAGATTTTCAAATTGAATGCGAGAACCTACCCTCTCTCCCACAATATCCACCAGGAACTCCCTAAGCGGGTCGAAACAATCCCCCGTAACCACCAAGTGATACGCAGCAGTCACAAAATCACAATGGCACTTCTCCTGCAGATCCTCATTCACACTGCGCATATAACGCGCGGGGAGCTCCTGTGCATTCTTCCACTCTAGCCCAATCTGCCTCTGCACCTGGTTGATGTAGCGCAGCAGGTTCTGCAGCTGGGTGGTTTTGTGCGCTAGAAGCGACAGATAGCGGCCGGACCTCGTGATAAATCGCAGATCAAGCGTCACCAGATGCAGAGAGTCTGACGTCTCAGCGAGCAAGGCATGCGTCGAACTGAGCGGATGCGAGGCATGGCGCAGGATCTTACTCGGCGCTGACCCTACAGGGCTAGCAATTTGGATCGAGCCAATCTCAAAACAGTCGAAGATACGGAGGTGGACGGTACCATCCTCAAAAGCCACTAGTAAAACATCGACCGCATCGCTCGTGTGCTTGGTAGACGAGTGGAAGATGGCGTCGATAGACGGGCGGGAGCTGAACACATCATCGCTGGATGATATTAACATGTTTCTTCCAACAAAGGTTCAAAACGGGGAAAAAAGGACAAGAACATACTCTCCACCAGTAGCAGGCAGCGTACTCAACTTCGGCAAAGAAGACTCAACATCCAGCAACGCCAACTCACGCGGCAGATCCGCCCCGAGCAACGCTGCAGCCTTGGACGGATGAACATCCGGCGACAAGAGATCCTCGACGGAGACCTGGCCGACAGCTTCACGTAGATGAGCACGCGCGACGTGGGAATCCGTAAAGTTCACCCCCCACCCGAGACAAGAGACCTGGGCGGGGACATTCTCGTCCGGTGAGCGGTAAACGTCGTAGTGGTGGACGGTCTTGCCGCTGTAGGCGCTGATGATGCGAACGGTGTTGTCCGCACATGCGACAGCGAGAAGGTAGCCTGTTTTATTGTCAGAGTTCGTCTATTTGTATGGTCCGACGAATTGGGGCGGAGGAAAGAAGAAGGGAGGGAAGAAAGATACCGTTATTTTTCCACGCCAACCCGCGAATTTCACCATCAGCTTCGTCCTCCCCAAGATAAGGATCCCCCTTAAATGAGCCCCCAAACACGCGCTGTCCATTCAGCCGAAAGACACACAGCTCGTCATCGTCCGTGACAAGAGCGATGAGGTCCATCGTGGGACAGTAGGTCAGGGAGCCGGGCTTGCATTTTGCCGGCAGCGACTTCTCCGCGATGGGAGAGAGCTGTGGCTCGTGGCGTAGGGACTGAGACGCATCTTCAGCCATATTCATTAAGACCTAGATTTCTATTCCATGCTTTTGGGGATTGAATGTGGTGTTCCTTGCGCAGGACTATCTTTGGTTGGGTTGTTGTTGGTGAAAGCTCACTGGGACGGATACCTTATTTGCGGGTCGCGATTCTTGGCGCGGTTGACCTTTACCCACTTTATTGCTTGCATGTAAACACATCCATCTCACCAGCTAACCAAGATGATAGCCAGCGCAGTAGCATTAGGCCATCAACTCAAAAGCAGAGCAGGCCTCTACACGATAACAATATAATTACAAGAAAGCGTCTGGCTAACAACGTAACAATATCTTCGTACTCCCATATCCCCAATTTTTAACCTTCAAGGCCACAGAGCCCAAAACAAGGAGCCTGTCATTGTGAAAAGCGTTCGAAAATTTCGCCTCCGGAACGAAAGGGACGTTCTTCTTCGATTCCAATCTAAATGTCTACACATTCGTCCCCTTCTAGATGCAATCGAAGACCCGCCAGGCCCACCGGCTCTCATGATAAGACACCTTGATGATGATCTGTTGCATGCATCAAGTAGCACAAGGCTCTCACGACGCGAAGTGAAATACGTTGCGAGAAAAGGTGTTGGAGGCGTTGGCTGTTCTGCATGGGGAAGGTTACGTTCACACTGGTAAGCCATTACCTGACTGCTTCAACTTTGAATTTAGTGACTGAAGCGAGTACCAGATATCAAACCCAGAAACGTTCTAACAAACCACCAACCAAGCGAAGAAGTTCGCTTTCGCAATGTCCAACTAGCAGAATTTGAAAGCACCGTCCCCAGGGATTCATCTTATGCTCGCGATGGAGACTCACTATGAACGCCTATATTCAGTAGCCCCGAAGCACATTTGTCAATGAGGTGGGGTACTGCAACGGATATTTGGTCGTTCGGCACAATGGCAAGTCCAATCCACCTTAAACCACCTCCTTTGCTCTTTTTCAGACTAATCTGATATCAATTCAGCTCATAAGCCTCCTATACGGCGAAGGCTTCTACATCTTCAAACCCCCCATCCCCCCATCCCCCCGTCCAACGACGAATAGTCAAGATCCTCATGAAACACCATCAGTGCTTTGGACCATTCCCTATCTCATACGAGGAGATCGCTGATCAAGATCGGCTCGCCGCTCTAACGTGGATAATGGAAAATAGTCCAGCAGAGACGCTTAGGCCCTTCCATCTCACAACCGCGCGTGAGATTTGTCTAGGGACTTTGTGTATAGGATTATGAAGCTTGATCCACGGGATCGGCCGACGGCGAGGGGGCTTTTGGGGGATGGGTGGTTTGGGTATATTTGGAGTAATTCTTTTCTGATTATCAATGAGCATAAGGTATTCCTAGTCTTATGTTCTCATTATGTGGCAATCACCATACTTATCGCGCCATGTTTTCAACACCACCTATCCGCAGGAGTGTTGTTGGCTGGGAAATCCAATCATGGGAGTTTACTACGTATGATATGTATATATAGAAAATGGTAGATTGTCATTGTTTTCATGACAGATATTCAAATATCTATGCTCATACAAGATAGAACATACAAAACGCTAAGACAACATATGAAACAGTTGATACATCTCACACAACAACGACCCCTCCGACCAACCAACACAATTAAATCATATTCTTCAAATAACTCAACTCATCCAACATCTCCTGCACCGCATCCTCGGACCTCCCCGCACGCTCACTCCCCCCCGCCGAAACAGCACTCCCCTTCCTCGACACAGCCGCATCCGACCCCCGCTCTGGAAATCGCAACACAGGCGCATCAGGACTCTTCGCCAGCCCCAACGCCTCCAGCGGATCCATCTCGCCGAAAAAGGCCGCGTAGCGCTTGGGGTTGGTCTCGACGTCGTCGACGGTGTCCTCGATGGAGAGGCTGGGGATGTCGAGGTCGTCGGCGGAGTGGTGGTGTGGTGGCGGGAGGCCGGCCCAGCAGGGGGAGTCGTCGCCGCCGATGACTGTTGTTGGGGAGGGTTTGCAGTTTAGGGGGAGGTGGGGGGTGTCGGGGTCTTCGGCTGTTGTGGAGGGGTTGAGGAGTTCGGGAACTTCGGTGCTGTCTGGGACGGGAGAGGTGGCGTCATGGTTGTGGTGTCTGGTGGTGGTGGGGGGGAAGTGGGTGGATGGGATTGTGGAGTCGTGGGTGACTTCGTTGTCGGTGCTCCATGAGGAGAAGCGGCTGCGCTCGCAGGGGGGACTGCTGCTGGCGCGCGATGAGGCGTCGGTTTCGGTGAGGTCCGAGAAGTGGCTGCCGAGATTTTCGACGTCGAGGGCGCGTTCGCGCTCGTCGAGGTCTGCGAGGGCGTCGTCCATTACGGAGGATGGCGAGTTGGGGAGCGTTGGGAGTCGCTTCTCGGTGAATGGGGATGGGCGGGGGGTGGCTGCGCTGTCGGACAGGGCCAGCTCGGCGGCGGTCGCTAGCAGCGGTGGAATTTTGGTATCCAGCGGGGCGAGGAATTTCTGTGCTGGGCGGGCGTGCGGGCCCTGGTCACTGCTTGTGGTTCTCCGCGGGAGACCTGGCCGGGTCTGCACGGTCAACGGCACGTGGGAAGACGAGGGCGCCGAGGAACTCGAACTCCGTGCCCGTCGGTCCTGGATCGATAGAGGCTGCGATTCGCGGCTCCCGGCGGAGGCGGGCCGTCGGAGAAGCAGCGTGTCGTCTGGGAATCGCGGGGTCCGGTCGCGCGGGGGGACACGGTCGGAGGCACTGCGCTCGGGTCGGTCCCCGAACAGTGCATGGCCATGTCGGCTGCGCGGGCGGGATCGTGCGAGGGCAGTGGTGGGCTCCACGGAGAGTTGGTCCGCGGATGTCAGGTCCGGGGACGACGCGTTCCACTGGCGGAAGGCGGAGCGGATGCCTCTCGACCGGGGCGGGGAGACGGAGCGGGCGGACTTGTTGCCTAGGCTTCCGCTGGAGTGGGTTGCGCTGCGCGGCTGGGAGGCGCTTCGGTGGACCAGGGCGCCCAGGGGCGAGGCGTTGAAGGACCATGCGGGGGTCGGCTCTTGCAGGTGAGGCGGCGAGGTGCGAAGGCGGGACGCCTTGGGTTTGGGAGGTTGACGCGGATTCATGAATTTATCCTCCGGGTTCATCGTTCGGTGGTCGGTTCGCAAACCGGCTAGACTCTGATCGCGCGAGCTGGTCGAGTGCGTGTCGGGGAGGATGACGGGGACGTGCAGCACGTTGACCGGTTGGCCGGGTAGGAAAGGACAGCGCGAGGTGACCGGTTCGGCCTCGTTGTGGTATTCTACATCGTCGTCCAGCAGATACTACTGTTGGTTAGCGCAAATCTAACGATAGAGGAGGATAGCAAGACGAACGTAATACCAGTAGGTGGCACCCATTTTGAGGCCCCCTGAGCGGGAAGAGGGACTCTGGGATTGCCCATCGCAGACGATATCGGTAAAGGTATGGCAGCCTCGCCATTGTCCGGCGCCGGTGCGTCGATCCCTCTCCATGACGTAGGGTTTGGAGAAGTTATCCCACGAGCCGAGTAGCTTGACGGAGCGAACGTGCGGAGGGGCGCATCTGTGGGGGTTAGAGCACGTCCAGGGATTTTGAGAGCATGTCCTGGGGTTTCACTGAATGCGACTCACAGGAGAAATGTCATCAAAGTCGTGGAAGTCATGATGTCGGTCAATTGCAACAAATCACCATGAGAAGAACACAGAAATCAGAGAGTGCAAGTGGGCGACGGAGATTTTATGCAGGATTCGAAAAACTCCGACAAAAGCAATATGACCAAGACCAGCCCGGACAAAACAAGAGAAGAAGGAACAGGGCGAATAGAGACACAGAAAGAAAGGACTCGAAAGGGGCTATGTTTGTGTTTGTATTGCAATCCGGACGAGGATCAGGGTCGAGGTCGAGGTCGAGGTCAATAATATAGTAAGAGATTGGCGGCAACACCACGCCACCAAATGCGATACGACGACGAGTGCTTCAGCAGGCGCGATGGCACAGGCTGAAGGGGCAGTTCCTGACGATCGATGTGTTGGAGCCAATCAAGGTGTGGACGAAGCGCCGAGGGCCTGGGAGGAAATAAGAGGGAGAGAGCGCTTGCAGCACGATCCAGTCGGAGGATTGTCCTTTAATAAGTGGTTTCACACGTGGGATGGGGAGATATTCCGGGCGATCAGGGGGGGAGCTATTGAGATCGGATTGAGATAGGATTTGAGATTGAGTATTCGAATTGAGTATTCGGGTGGGACGAGAGGGAATAGTTTGGTGGTCTATCCTCTTAGGTCGTGAATAGTTCGGGATGGAGAGACAATGTAGGACAGAATCGAGAGAGGAAAAGAAAAGACATGAGGATGGAGAGATCGATGGATCAACCAGAAAACCCCAACAGAGCGCTTATTGATTATTTATGAAATATGGTTGAACCTGGTTTACCCTGGATCCACCAGAAATTGACCAGGATACGAATGGATCGACAAGGGACCAGCTGGAGACGTCACAATGTGCTGGAGAGCATTCATTCTGTTAAGGCTTGAGAGAGAAAGTGGCGAACTGAAGACGCCGATCATGGATCGAATTGATCATAGTCAGGCCCTAACATGCCGTCCATCGGTGGAGACTTTTCTTCTGTCTCTTTTATCGTGAGGCTGGAGATGGCTTGACCTGATCCGTTCTGTCGGAGAGACCGAGACTATTGACGCTATTATCTTGCGTTCCGTCGTGACAAATTCCGAACTCGATCTTCTTTCTCTCTTCATCGTCTTGATTGATAGAGAGGAAATGACTGGAGGGAATAGATTGTCAATCGTGAAGATCGTCCCCTCCCCGACCACGGTTCGCGCCAGCCACCGTCGATTCGGTCCCAGGCTGTTGGGTTTCCCCTTAATATAAATTCATCTATTATGGAGTAGCCTTAATAGACCTTTCAACAGATGCACGATCAGATCCACGCGTTAGATTCAACTATTCAATTTCCCCTGATTAAATTCCTACGGATCAAACCCTGGTTGAGATCCACCAACACACATCTGTAATTATTCCAGAAACCAACCAAACCACCCCAATCAAATCAACCATAAAACCAACGAAACAAATCAAAAGAAACCAAAGAAGACAATCATAAATCAAATAAATTAAAGAACTACCAAACCTCCCGCTGATCATACTTCCGATTAACCGCTCCCAACACACACTTCAGTATCCCCTCCGCACTGAGCGTCCCCCCAGACCGACCACCCCCCCGCCAAGGCACCGTATCCACAATATCCCTCAGCCGCTCCTGCTTCGACAGCCGCCCAAGATCATCATCCAGCGTCTGCAGATGCAGCCTCGCCGCTTTATCATTCCCCACCTGGAAGAACTGCACGCCCACCTGCCACGGCACAGCCGCACAAGCATCCAGCCGCCTCGCCGCGTCGATAAGCACGCTCTCCGCATCGTCAGTGAATTCCCCGTCCGTGATGGCGATGATATTCAGCGGCTTGACGCGCTGCGTGTCGGACTCGACGCGGCGCAGGTAAGGGCGGAGGAGGTCGTGCAGGCGTGATCCGAAGGGCGTGAGGCCTTGCGGGTGCACGCTGTGGAAGATCTCGCGCACGTCGTCGGCGGTCGTGATGTTCTTGTAGCCGCCGGTGGGGTTGTTGAGGTTGGAGCGCCGGTGGTTGAGGAAGTAGATGTCGATGCCGTCTTGGTCGTGGTGGGTGCAGATTGGGGCGATGGTCGCGATGGCTGATTCGGCCTCTTTCCAGCGGGAGCCCGTCATGCTGCTGCTGTCGTCGACGATGAAGACGGTGTCGAATTCGGAGAGGAAGGCGTAGGGCGAGTGGTCTGCTTTTGTTGAGGGGCGTGGGGGGGAGGATGTGGTTGTTGCGGTGTAGGCTGGGGGGGACCATGGGTTGGGGGCATTTCGGGGGGTGCTGCTGGTTACTTTGGTGGTGGCGGAGATGGGGTTGCTTTTTGGGGGGTTGACTGTGGTGTTAGGGGCGTAGTTTTGGTGATGTTGTGCTTGACTGGTCTTGGTCTTGGACCGTGAGAAGGGTTTAGAAAGGAATTTGCAGAATGACATGGTGGGAGATGGCATAAACTCGATAGCACGATAGCACGATGTGTTAATGCGATGCCTCTAGAAACAGTCTGTCGTCTCATATATATAACATATTAGATTCCCTACGTATGTACGACGTATGCGTTCGTCAAACCCTATCACAAGAAACAAAGCCTCCTTGTCAACCTTGGTCGAGAATCTACATATTCGGCGGAGTTGCACAATCCACAGCCTGTATCCGAATATCGCCCGTTCAATCTGTGGAGTTGACCCGTATTTTGTACAATCACCAGGTTGTGTGGACAAGGCTGAGGCTACATGATGGTGAATACTCTGGAACCAGACCGGGCGTGATGGCGCAGTAGATGTAACGAACCTAGGGGGTAAGGCAGACTCAGCACTGCCTCGGTTGGCGTAAATTAGGGTTTGTGGTCGGCGAGAACGGTTGGAATATGTCGTAATGATGGTGAAATAATTAACAAATCAATAACGAAAACAATGAATGCAATGAATGAATAGAATAAATCATTAAATACAATAAGAAGAACAAGAAAAGAAAAATGTATCGGTAGTACTGTAACTAAGAGCATCTCGTACATTTACCCAACATGAAACCAACGCTTATGCCAATAACTGCACTCCACTTGCGGCTCTGGAATAAAAGTCAAACAAGCTCTATATATCAATCATCTCCACCAACAAACTACGAAGCCTCCACCTCCTGATACGCCTCCGGAACCTCCGGCCACTCGTCCACCCCATCCAACAGCACCACCCCCATCCCCCCAGTCAGATGCACCTGGATATGACAGTGCAGCAAGAACGCCCCAGGGTTAACCACATGGTACCGAATGGCCATCCACGTCGGCCCCGTCGCCGCCGGCGGCGTAGTGGCCGTATCGCGGATCTGCGGTGTCTTGAGGTTGAAGTCCCCCGGGCGGTGGCGCACGGCGTCCGCAACAGACGTGTAGTTCCACTCGCCGTCGCCGGCGCCGATGACGAAGAACTTGTTGGAGTGTTTGTGGAACGGGTGGGGTGGCTGGAGGGGCTGCACGGCCGCGAAGATCAGGTCGACCCAGGTGCCGTTTTGGGTGGAGATGGTGAGGTCTTTGGGCGCGGTCTCGGGGTGGAAGAGGAGCGGAGTGTCGTGCTCGAGGGAGAGTGGGAGGCTTGATTCCGAGTTGCCTAGGTACCACCGGTATGAGGCTTTGTAGTGGTCTATTTTGAGTACGTGCGTCTGGGCCACGTCTTGACTGGGGACCTCTACGGGGAACGGGACGAGCTTGTTGTCGTCTAGGACGGTGTGTTTGTCTATGGGGGCGCCGGTGATGTCGATGGAAGGGGTTGAGGCGCGCCGTGGGTTTTTGGGAAGGCTAATATACGACATCACGGCTGTGGAGTTGATGATCTGGTTGACGCCTTGGTTGGCTACGCGGATGGTGTAATCCCCTGCTGGCTTGTCGAGCGCGACGAGCACCGAATAACGGTTGCCGTTGGAGACGGTGAGGAAGTCGGCTTTGGCCGGTTCGACGTACCGACCATCTACTGCGTAGATCCACATGGGATGTTCGTCGATCGCGAAGGCAGTCATGGCTAGGCCGGCCGCGCCGATCAGATCGTAGCTGACGTATTTGTCGGAGGGCCGGACGGGCAGCTTCTCATGTGCCCCTTGGGAGGGAACGCAGCCTGACCAGAAGGAGGGCGGCACGTCAGTGAGGTTGTGGGGATAGTCCCCTTGCACAAGAGTCGGAGGCATGCACCTGATAACAGTCAGTAGTTGTTCTGCTTTCAAAACTAGCAGTCTACAGGATAACCCATACCCTATATCCGACAGGCTTTGTTTGCCCAGAAACATCCGGTGCTCAGGCGTGGTGGCCTCGTTCAGCACCTTTTCGCCTAAGCAATTCACGGAGCCCTTGCCGTTGATCAGGAGCGCATTGACACAGTATGCTTCGAGCCCAGTTTCTTTCTGGACGCGCCACATCTCTTCGGAGGCTACATGGCGCCAGTCCGATAGAATGATCGGACGAGTCTTGTCCTCGGCCTTGCGCATGGCGCGCAGGTCGTTCTCGTCGCCAGCAATGAGCTTGAACGGCCGTTCGACGGTATCGTCGGGCCGAATATAGATCGCTCCATACAGTCCATCTTCGACTTGACCTCGACTGTGAGCGTGATAGAAATAACTGCCGTATTCCGTAGCGCGCCATTTGTAGAGGAACTGTCCACCGGGCGGTATAGGTTTCTGCGACAATCCAGGCACGCCATCCGACCAGGGTGTGCCGGTTTGGGAGATCCCTGCGTATCCGCATTAAAGAAGATAATGTGATATCACGACAAAAGCGTGTCTGTGTGTGCGAGAGAGAGAGAGAGAGAGAGAGAGAGGGAGGGAAAGAGAATGCGTACCGTGAAAGTGGACAGCACTAGCCACAGGAAGCCTGTTTGTGACGAGGAATTCCACATAATCGCCCTGACGCAACTGCAGTGCGGGCGCTGGGAATCTGCCATTGGTGAGGATCATCTTTCGGGGAGCGCCTGTCGCGGACCATTCTTCCCAAGTAAGAGTGATCTCGAAGCGCACGGGTTGGCTTGATTGCGCGACCACTTGATCAAGACCCTGCGCGTTGGCAGCTACACACAGAAACAGCAAAAGCAAAGCTAGGAAGGACTGAAAAGCCGCCATGTTGTAAAAGCAGATGCTGCCGTGTGGAATGAACAGGGAGGCAAACAAGGAGCAGCATCAGGAATACAATCTTCAGAAGACCGATCTGATCGGGTGGCGATGGAAACAGTAGACTATATAAGCATGATTCACTAGCCTATTGACAAGGCTAGTCCGCAATCACGATTCTAAATAAAGAGCGTAAACGACAAGTCTCGTCTCCGCCCCTGCAGCAATGTGTGATACGAGTACATCGTGCATACGGAGGCCGGCTCCTCTGTCGGGCCTTTCTTCTTATTGCCCCTATCCAGAATCACTAGCGCAGTCGTGCGCTGACGGCCTGATAATGTTGCTTGGAATGTGGAGGCTCGGAGATATTTGAGGCTGCAGGAATGGTGCTGCCGATAATGATTGATCCACGTTGACGACGGAAGGTATTGCATCATGACAGTCTGTCACGCCTCTTTCCAAAATTGTCCAGTCGAAGCAGGAGATTATCGAAGGTTTGTTTTTAGGTTTGCTTATGGGGAAATAGATACGGGATTGTTCGGAGAATTGAAAAGGAATGATGGATCACAGAATCAACCCGAAATGGCTGGGCTGCACGGATCCACGTGTTTCTGGTAGCCCTAGATTTGACCAGATTCTTGCCTTTGTGTATACGACGCCTGGAATTTGGAGGTGAGATTTGAATCCTTGCGATATAACGGTCTGAATTTGTTTACTAGAGGTAAGTCACAGGTTTTTGTCAACCACATCTACCGAGTAGCTGTATATATTTGCGCAGCATACAGTTTCAGAATACGAACCCCCAAGATTCCCTAGCCGAAACAGAACGAGTGTACAGGACTATAAGTTTGTCTGGGAATTTCTAGCTTAGTAGACTGATAGACTTTTAATCCTCCTGTATGTCATATTTCTGGCTGACTTCTGAACATTCTCAGGCTCCTGCGTCATGAATGTTGGCTTATTGACTCAATCACCGCTCTATTCGACAATACCGCAGATGATACTAGAACTCTTCAACGCCTACAATCCCCTTCCTAAAGAGGAAACCTGAAGCAACCAGACGCAAATCCCCACACACGGCTACGCAACTTACGATAAGGAAGCCCGCATGTCTTCATCCCATACAAATTTATATGACAGAAAGGCATATGGGGTTTGCGCAACAGAATCAAAGCGCTCACGCAGGGCTCTGGGGGCCAGTGTTATGTGGTAGTCCGGGGATACCGCACCAAGGGTTGGGTAACGTGCTAGGAATAGCAATGGAGGATTGTATGAAGAACAGTAAGGGGGAGTGTAAGCAGGAACTAATCGCTGACCTTCGGAAGGATGACGGGGTCAGGGGCTTATATACATGTAGCCTGCGGTGTCCTAGATGACTCAGCACCCGCAGGTCTTGGCGGGCAGGTTGCCTGAGGCTGCCGCCTAACACTACCGATTTTGGGCCACTATAATCTCACCACCCTTAACATCCAAGTATCAAGAGAGCGCATGCCTACTAGCAGTGCGCCGAATCTTGAAGATAATCCTTTCTGAGTGTGAAAATAACAGACACCAGAATTGTGAATTGAATTGATATCTTATTCGGCTAGAATGGATAGCGATAATGTTGACTCTAAAACAATAGCAACAGGGATAGTAACAACGGTCACCTCTGCTTGTTCAATGTAGGGGAAGGAAAGAAGAAAAAAGAATTCTGCAATAATAGAAGCAACACAGAAAGCAAAACAAATACGAAAATAGAAGGAATTAGAAAAGATAAAGAAAGAAAATGAAAAAAAGGGAAGTGGAATGGGGAAGAAGCGCAAAAGCATATCCAACCAACTCAGCCATGAACAATGAACGGATACACCAACTCCTTCTTCTCCTTCAGTTCCGTAGGCACAAACACAGGCGCGTCTGCACGGAGAGCACCGCTTGAAAGCTGACAGGCTTCGTGGCGTTGGAGGCGGCTGTCAATGTGATGGAGCTGGGAGGCAGAAGGTCCGAAAAAGCTCATCTCCTCGTCGAGGGGGCGTCTGTTGTGTCCTGTGGAAGAAGTCCGAGAGTACTCCTGCTCGAAGTACACGTTAGTGGCGCTGAACTTGTCTTGAATTGTCATTAGAGATCTATGTAGAGAACACGCACCGTCTGCATTTTGGGGGTTGGATAGCCGTGGTTAGCCGCCCATTCCATGTCCATTAGATACTGCTGTTGCTGTTGCTGAATCTGGTGCTGGAGCTGATAATGCTGACGCTGGTAGTACTGCTGCTGGTGCTGGTGATTCTGATGCTGCTGGTAGTGCTGTTGCTGGGGGTAATGCGAATGTTGCTGATAATGGGGTTGCTGTTGAATATGCGGCAGCTGTTGATGCTGCGGCAGCTGCAGGTCTTGAAACGGATACATAGATCCAATTTCACCACCCCCAAAAACGCTAGCGGAAAGCATCATTTGCGTAGGGGAGGGCCGACTAACACCAGGACCTGCGCTGCAATCAGGGTATCCCATCATTCCGAACGGCGCAGGACTACCAACCCCACTACCATGACGAGCCCAGTTCACACCCGGGTCGACACCCGCTCCCATAGCATAACGAGAAGCATAATCCGAAGAACCCCGACGAAGAGGCATCTGCTTATCAAACCCACGGTTGTGTCCATTGGTGCGAGGATAGCGGCCCCCGTTGCGACCCTGGTTGAGATGTGATTTCATCTGGGGACGCGGATTGGGATTAGGCCTAGTTTTGGGGAGAGGAAGCCCTGGAGGTAGTGGCCAGCCCTGTCTAGGGGGAAGAGCATGCACGGACGACGAAGACGACGATAGTCTCGACGCTGATCTCGATATCGACTCTGAGTTTGGGGGCTCCATTCTCGGAGGCTCGTCGCAGGATGGTCCCGTAGGTTGACCTAGGAGATAGGGAGGGCCATCGTCAGGGAGAGGCTGGTTGATGGTGGAACTTGAGGTGCGTTTCTTGAGGCTTTCCTGCAGTAGGTTTGGTAGTGGTCAGTTTGCCATACTATCTCTTCCTGCTTGTTTTTGGTTTTGTTCTCTGGGACTGCTTGAGGCATATGTCTCGGGCATTCTCAAACTTTGGGGATAGATACCTTGCTTTTTCGCGACTTCTGAAATTTCCCCATTGTTAGACGTGTTTTGCGTCTGTTTAAAATTGGGGGTAAATGTAAAGAAAGTAATATGGGAGCAAATAGAAATACAGACAAAGTCCCTGCATAGGGCTGGGAAGAAGATGGACCACTACTCTATCTTTGTCGCGCGAAGAACTTGAAATCTCTGCTTGATGGAACAACACGCTTGTAAGTAGCTCACAGCAAGATGAAAAAGGACTGAAGATTTTCATGGATCTTTCATGTCGGTGTAAACAATATCCATCGCTTAGTCGGCGTCAGTGATTCACTCAACCACTGTGGCAGATGGCTTCTTTGTAAGTGACTGAGTTTCAAACAAGTTATTTGTGTGAAGCTTTGAAAACAGAAAGAAGTCTCAAGAAAAACACAGGGGAACTAATTTTCATTGTTGTTTGTCAACCAGGAGTTTTGAAAGGTGTGAGGAGGGCCTGTGAGAATGTGATATTAGGGATTTGCTCTACTTTAAGGCCTGACATAGCACACAGGAAGGACATAGAAAGATTATTGTAAAAGATTGTGTTTCAATTTTATTTCTGTTTACGCATACATGTCTTTTTCCCCCTAATTTTCTCTTTGGTTAATTCTTTTTCTTATACTCCCTTTTCCCTCCCCCCTCCTTTCAGGCCCAGGCCCGGTTACTGCTGGTTCAGCTGGGCGTGGGCCTGGGCAAGCTGCTCGCGAAGAACAGCGCCGGCCTCATCCTTCTTCTCCTCCTTCTTCTTCGCCTGCCCTTCGGCTTCGGCCGCCTCCCGCTCTGCCGCCTGGTAGTCACCCAGCTGCTGCTGGAGCGACAAGGCTAACTGTAGTCAAACAAGCGTCAGTCAGTATACAAATGTAGGACATAGTGTAGTGGGAATCTTACCTGGAGGAATTGCTCCCTCCTGCCCGCCGTCGTCTCGTCGCGGGCGCGAGCGCACACCTTATAAATGCACGCTCGCGCGCCCTCAACCCCTTTGCCGTCGGCCTGGGCCGGCCTCACCGAGCGGGGCCCTCCCGGAGAGAACGTCATCCCAGACCGACGGTACGCCCGAGGGTGCTGCGGGCTTCCAGTGGAAGTGAGCGCAGATTGCACCCTGCGGATTCGGGGGTCGGGGGCGCCGGTGGGTTGGACGAGAGTGTCCATAGACCGCACCGACCCACGACCAGGCGACGGCGCCGACGGCGGATTCTGGCGTGCCGAGGCCGAAGGGTAGACTTTGTCTTCCTTGCCCTTGATCTTGAACATGTTGCGGAAGCCACCCAGGACCCGACTGCCTTTTGAGGGGCTCTTGGCCCGCTCAGGGCCCCCCGGCACGATGTCGTCGAACGTGACCTTGCGTGCTTCAGTATCGCTGGGGCCGGGGAGGGGACTAGATGGCTCTGCAAGCGTGGGAAGATTGGTCATCGCACCGAGAGATGACTTGCGTGGAGGGTGTGGGCTGGGCGACGAGCCACTGCTGTGACGGAAGACGCTTTGCTCGGGGATGGTAGCGATGGGAGCCACGGAGGTAGACTGTTCGGTGCTGGGAGGAGTGGTGGCTTCAGTTGGCTTGCAGGTACCTTTTGCACTAGTTTGGGGATTCTTAGTGAGCATTTCGAAAGTGATCTGCGGCCGGCTAAAGTTGCGCGGTTTGGGAGTGCTGTCACTGCTACTCTGTGTATTTTGGGATACCGGTGTAGTGCTTTGCGGGATTGGTTGTTGGGATGTTGCGCCGCTGGGTTCAGGCAGATCCACATATCTGATTCTGGCTGGACTGGATCTCTGAGTGATCGATGAAGGAGACCGGGCTGAATCGTTGGTCATTTTGGCCGCGGAGGAGAGACGCGGACGGGTCCGATACTCACCAGTGAAGATGGTTCTCACCGGCTTGACTTCGTCGTCCGAGCCAAAATCCCAGTCCTCGACCGACGATGAAGAGTCAGATAGCGGGTGCACAAGCTCCCTGGTTCTTCCCTGGGTAGCTTCAGACTCGGAGACGCTTCTCTTAGTGACTGGGATACGGGATCCAAAGGCATGAGTTCTGTAGGGGAAATTGGCTCCAATGACAGGACTTTTGGACGATTCGGTCTCAAATGTGTCGATAATTCCGGTGACGCTGCGTCTACGGACGGCAACAGGGATTGAACTGCGGCTGTCTGGAGTAGGTCTAGCACCTCCCAGCGGAGTAGATACACGCCATTTGTCAGTCGCCTTGGAGACATCGCCAGTTTGGATGTTTTCTATTCCCTAGTTAACCGAGATCTTACATCGAGGCACCACGTGTGAGTTATTACCGTCATTTTTGTGAACCATAGTCAGTGGCTGCTCCCTGGGCGAAATTTCGGCGTGAGCGAATGGAAAAGAGTTCTTCTCATGGCCTGGATGCTCTGTAAGGCCATTAGCACTCGAAGATTCAGACACGGGAACTTATGTCATGGGAGCGTCTGAAGGGGCTACAGCCTCTACAAACTAGGACGTAAGAAGTAAAATTCACCTGAAAGAGAGACTGGGGTACGACGGCTATCGATCTGATGCCTTTCAGGACCTTTGACATCCACAAAAGGATCGAGAGTCGCAGGAGACTGGTTAGCAGGCATTTTGTAGTACGAAGGGGTAATCGTAATCTCTGATGAGTTGGATGACAGATCTATTTGATTTTTGTCGGAAGTGGGATCTTCAGAAGGAAAGTGTTGAGGAAGAGAAGAGTCAGAAGGCGTGAAATAAATAAGAGGACCTCTGTGAGACGAATTGGTGAATGGATCCACGCTGGACGATTCGTCGTTCGTTTCTTCAGAGAAAATATTCTGGCAGTCACGCGAAAACACGTCCACTTCTTTTTGCGACAGTGAACGAGAGTGACCAATGGGTTTTTCATTATCATAATTCACCCAAGCAGCAAAGCGGGCCTGTGGGCTCTTTTGCTCGGCGACGATGCCACAGCCTGGTGAGAAGATACCAGTAGATGGACTTCCAGTGCATGATTGGCCTTCACTGCTTTGGAGGAGTATAGATCGGCTCTACATTAAGTAAGTAGAATTTCAGGGACAAGTAGTAGATTGTTAACATACGCTTGTAGTTGATTGGGGTCTTTTGACTCTGCCGAGACCAAGATAGGATGGAATGCCTTTAGCTGATCGCCGATTTGCGGGAATGTGCTGATGAACCACTTTATTAGCATTTTGCTATAAGCTGAGCACGTCCAAGAGATCCACAAACCTTGGTATCTGAAACCTGCCCAGAGGTCTTCTCTTGACCTTCCTTAGCGTGACCACCGACGCGTTGCAACATCTGAACCGGTGCGATATTGGCAACCACGTGTGTCAACGTCTTCTTAACCTTGGAGCTGGGCTCCTTGATCGAGTTGCGTATTCTATTTCCTATTCCTTCATGCTTTCCAGCGGCATCGGAGGCTCCAGATTGGCTTGGTATGTATCTTGATCCAGCAGGTGGTATTCCCTTTGGGATTGGAGGTGCTTTGCGTGGTGACTCAAATGCGACTGCTGATGCTTCCCAGGAACGTGATGGTGTTGCCTGAGGAGACTTATTCTTCTGGCTCTCATTAGTCCCATGGCTATGGAGAGGCTCATTTTCTGGGAGCGGCCAACATGGTTGCACAGATCCTGAATATCCAATAGCTCTGGATATTTTGGAGATCTTGGGGGAAGGGGCATGGTGGCTTGCAGACGTCATCTTCTGTGGCACTTGCTCCACTGTTTTTCTCTGAGCAGATGAAATGCCTGATCTTAGAAAGACCTCCAAGGTACGTACACTTTCGGCACAGTCCATCTTGAAGATTATCGTAGCAGACCTTTAGAGCCAGTGTTGTCCTTGGCGAGGTTGAAGAGAACTTGTTATTCCGAGTATCCAGAGAGAATACCAACAAGTTCCCCAAGCAGAGACCAAACCAGCAATCTAGAGAAGGAACAACAGTGTCTTAATAACACGAAATGTTTTTGTGCTCTTGAAAGTGTAAAAACTGGCACGTGTGTATGGAGTATACTCCCAAAAGAACTGACACAAGGAGGATGGCGAGAAAAGGATGAAAGATGATAAGAATCCAAGGATATTTGATGAAAAGGAAGGCCAGTCTGATCAAAATTCTTTGTGGAAGACAGACTGCAATACTTATACTCATCCTCCGGATACAAACATTCATCTAAGCGAGCGATCCCATATTGGGCAATCTGAAGCTGCTGAAATAGCGCACGTGCCCTATGTGCTGATCCGTGAAGACGGTGATAAGAATACTTACTATCACAGATTAGATACAGCATTATTGAAAGCCAAGCGTGTATATCAGTTGATTAGGGTGCATAACGATGCTCATGATGAAGGGCAAGGAGCTCTTCTCAGTCTTTTGTAGCATGATACTATTGGAATCCCGAAAACATTACACATTCTAGGTGTACATACGTGGTGTTGCAAGAGATAAGTAGAGCTAGACAAGTGGTTTTATTACTGTATCAGATTCGAACTGAATGTATTATCCGAACATTATGATTACTTGCGCTTTTGAGAAGAGCTGCCCTCAAGACTCGTACGTCCGCGCTTTCTTTTCCCTGCCGGCTGGATGGCGTCTCCAGATCCATCGGTCGACCACTCGCTTACCTCCCATTCAAAGGTGGTAGACCGGTCATCGCTAGCACCAACTCCACGCCTAGACTTCATCAACCGACCCAGCTGGCTTCCCTCAATCATCTCCTCAAACCAAGGAATCCCACCCACCGTGCCCTGTCGGAAACTGCGCGTAAGACCTTGTCTATTCCCACCAGACGGAGTGATGGCATTGGCAGTAGTCGAGCGAGATGGGATCACCTCAACGTTGCCGGTTTCTTCTTCCTCTTCATCCGATGCCTCGGGAAGCAGATCGAGATCTTCTAACGTTCGTTGGTCCTTCCCAGACAGACTGCCTAGTGTCACCGACATGAAGTCTGCATCCTCCCGAGGGTCTTCGCTCCAGTGCGTAAGTGGGCTACCGCAGAACCCACAAAAGACCCGCTGGGTTTGTGGCGCATGGAGAGGAGTGTAGGTACGCCGGATGCTGCTATGTGTTTCGTCGGGGAAGAACGATTCGGTGTGCGATTGGTACCAGCTCAAGGGGACTCGCAACCATGCTGTCAGAGGACTTCCTTGAAATCTCCCTGGTCAGAGAAGAATTATCATGTCAGCTTGGAGTGTCTATCTTTACATGGGGTTCACATATGGTAGGCAGAAATCCAAATCAATACGTACGGTTGTCCCGGCTGTCGTCGAAGTATATCTCGGCGTGATCGGCCACATCTTCGGGAATGTTGATCGTATATTGGTTGCGGCCACAAAAGCAGGAACCATGCAAATGGTCAAGGGCATCCATCTTGGGGTGTTTCGAGTCGTCCAGTGTCCGAGAAGCAACGATGTCGATCACAACGGTGTGGCCTTGGGTCTGAGTTTGAACTAGTAGTATGAGGTCATAGACCGCTCCGATCCATCAATTCAATTGACGATTTGTCTTTCAAGCACTAAGGCGAAAAAGTAGTGGACATATAGGGGTCAAGTATCTCGGATGTCAATACTTCCTCTATGCCGCAGTCAATTGTTCGGAAAAGGCAGAAATCGAAGGGAGAAATGATGATAATTACAGAGTTGCAACAGGTCGATGACGTCGCATCAACCAAACTACTCCGTAGTCGGAACCCGCATTGGCATAACTGGCAGCATAAATTGCTTAGTAAGTATCCAAGTATTGTTCACTTCAATCACGGTCTTCACTTCACCCTCCAGGCTTCATCCAGGGTTGAAAATTAGTCACAAATCACCCAAATTGATTCATTGAAGAATAATCACTCTGCTCTAAACTATGATGCACTATTCCACTTTTACCTCTGCTAATCTAGATGGAAGACCTCCATCTCCAGTCTCTCCAGCCAGTTGGGGTGTCATGAATTTGTCAAAGAATCGAGACATCTCGGCATAGTCGTCCACCTCCCCGACCCAACTCACATATTGATCTGGTCGAATAATCATGCTGGCTCCATGGTCTGGGTTTATACCATAGTTGGCATAAATCTGGCCGTGTCCCTCGTGGTAGGACTGGTCATCGACAAACACCTTCCAATAATCCCAGCCTGATTCCTTGTCGTAAGGGTGAAATGCCTCCGGGAGATCGAGGAGCTCGACTGCTGTTCGTGGCCCAGCATGGACAGTCAGAACTTCGATCAGGCTGTCAATAGATTGGCCTGTTGGTGTATATCGACGAATGAACGAGTCTGGACCTGCCAGTTTCGCGCCGAGGTCTTGCATGCGCTCCATATTTCGGGGAGTGGTGAGTCGGCCAGGAAAGACAATCACTCGCCAGCGCCCATTGCTCTTCAACAGTTCCTGGAGATGCCATGGGCGGGCATCCGACTGATTGAGTACCTTAAAACTAGGAATACGCTTGCCAATGTCGATTCCTCTGGCTAGCTGCGGCTTGCTTTTCGCATCGGTCCTGTCGCCTTTTCCGGATGCTTCACTCTCTTTCGCGACGATGACACTGGCGCTGTAATTGACCGCTACAACAGTCAGTATACTATCATGGTCAGGAGAGAAACGGGTCTCACCGATTCCGCTTGCAAATTCGTTCCCTTTTTCAAATGCACGCTTAAACTCTTCCATACTGACACCCTCCTCGTCCATGACATCCTTGGCTGGACGCCCAGAGAATAGTCTCGAAAAGCGATGGTCAAACGCAATAAGGTCTTGTGCAACTTGCCTTCGCTCGGACTCGTACGTCTTGAGGATTGACCCGCTGCTGTACCCTTTCACCACATGCGCGATCTTCCAACCAAGATTGAAAGCTAGTCCTAGCATTAGCAAATGACCATTTGACATCTTTCCCGCAGACTTACTATCTTGCATGCTTATGTTCATCCCCTGTCCTGCTTTAGGAGAATGGGTATGAACCGCGTCTCCGGCCAGAAAGACTCGCTCCTGCAGCGAGAATGCATCTCCCACTCGTTGGCCGATTTGATATGCAGTCCACCAATCGCAGTACGAATAGTCCAGCTTATAAGGATGCATAATTTGCTGCGCGGATTTCAGAATAACCTCAGGGGTGATTTGTGACCGATCCACCTTGGCCCCGTCTTTGACATCGGTGGACTGTAGCTGGATGTAGAGTCGCACGAGCTTGTTCTCGCGCGGTATAATCATGACGCTACCAGAATTGGCGGAGTGGATGGCACACCGCTGCCGAACGTCCGGGAAATCAGTGATTGGGACGATGTCCAGGACGCCCCAGATGTAGTCGGTGGAGTCCCCCTCTAGTTTGAAGTCGAGCTGGCGCCGCACCCACGAGTGCGCCCCATCGCATCCCACCATGAACCTGGCCCGAACCGTCTCCACTGGACGGGAATGGTCGCTACTCTTTGCGACGCGAATCAGTTCGTCGGTGTCGTCGGCAGCCAAATTACTTCGGAATAGCCCGTCGCTGGTTGATCGCTGGCCATCTTCGGTTTTCTGATGCTGCAACCGCTGCTGAGGTGTAGCTTCCTCGTCAGACAAGGTACGCAGCGTCACAGCGATAGGGTAATCTTCGAAGTCGGCCGCTTTGGCTTGGTCGAAATCGAAGGAAGTAGGTAGCACACCCCTTTCGACAACAATGTCGCTGTGCTCTTTGATAGAATCGAGGAAGAACCTTTCAATACGGCCCTGATGCAAGACTACCTGTTGGAAGTGACTGATCCCGGGGATAGTATCGGGAATACGATCCGACCGCCGAATCGTACCGGTTTCATCAGGGTTCCAGAGACAAATTTCAAGCATATGATTCGACTCGCGCCAGACACGGTGGCCGAAGTTGAAAGAATCCAATATCTCTAGGGTGCGACATTGCAGGCCATCAGCTTGGCCACTGAATACCTAGTTCGGTCAGAATGTAATGAAGCAAGCATCATGCAATATTGGAAACTCTCACCTTGGTACCACGCTTGTCGACAATGCGGGTCTTAATGTTGCAGCGACTTAGCCAATTTGCCAGCATGAGACCTGCTGGTCCAGCCCCGACGATGAGAACATCGGTGTGGCTCTCTTTTGTTGATTCGGGAACTGTCATGGTGTTCACTTGTGCGCAACGATATGTGTAAATGGAAAACGAGAGGGAGAATGAGAAAGACCTCCGACAACCTCTACCCAACGGCCTCTGCCGCGTTTAAATAATAGCCCTTTGCATACCCTGGTCAATAGTCAAATTTCCGATATAGGCGGGGGCTCTAACATATCCCAAAATACCTCAGCAGATTTACCAAGAAGAAGAGGGCATGGGGTCACTCAACATCGATCTGTTGGTGGAGATTCGAATACGTGGGCCGTATCGAACCCGATACTCAGACCAAACATCTCAACTTCGGGGATTCAAAAATCAGTGTGACTATCTATCCATGGATCCACCACCCACCAATACGTTTGAAATCCGCTTACTAGCTTCCCCGAAGGAAGTTCAGGATAGGTGTCCATCGGACTTGGCTGGTATCCACTGCAGCAACCACTATGAGGAGTTGACGTCGGTCATGGTCCAATTAGACCTATTTCAGTCCTGCGGGGTTGAAGAAGACATGGAAGGATGAATCTGGGCTTTATCACAGTGGCTTTTGATTTGCCCGATTTCCTTCCTATCTGATGGGCTGTTTCACCAAATTCCTCCTTCGGAAGTAGTCAGATCTGCAGTCCTGACCGGTGGGCTATTTGGTGTATCGCAGCACTTGGTGTACCCGCCTGTCCCTTCTCTGCCATTGTGTCATGTCATATGGCTGTGGGAGAAGACAACTTATTGAATTTCTACGAAAACACCGGTACTGATGAAAATACGGTGTTCATGCAGTGCCCTCAAGTTAACAGGCTAGCAACAAACCTTTTTCCTCTCCATCTCTGCGTCCGACAAAACGCCGCTTCCGTAGGAGACGATGCTCTTGATCTTTATTGATGCGAAGGTCTCCACGTCGAAAATGCTTCTTATTGGACTGGGAGTCATCGAAGAACAGTAATAGTCTACATGGGAATCATGCCCGCAACCATAAATCGTCCTTGAATTTGTCGGAGCAGAAGAGCTTGTGCGAATCGCATGCAGATGATCCAAGAACACTGCGAGCGCCACGCTGAACGAAGATCACCAGAAGATAATAGACCTTCTCTCCGACGTATGGGACCACATCAGCAAGCATCATCACCATTGTCTCGCTCAGTTCTATGGGGGTTTCTCAGATTTCGCCCCGACTACTGAGGCTCTGGCGCAGAAAGTCAAAGTGGCCTTGCAATGGGCTATCCCATCTCCAATAAACCGTGGTACTTCCAGTCCTTAACACCAGTTGGACATCAGATGTCGACCCCGCTCTAGGTCCTCTCAGTTAGCTGGGTTTAGGGAGATCCTCAGCCGCAATTTCGACGGAGAGTCTCCAATTTAGTTTACTGAACGGGCCAACGCACAGCCCGTGGGTGCGCGAATATCGTGGAATTTCCTGCTCCGAATCGCGCCGTTGAGGCTCGAACAGTTTATCTTTGCTCGATGCAGCAAGATGAGGCTGAACGAGTGTCAAGTGGGCCGTACCCCGCTGAAAGACCCATTAAATAATCCGGTCTCATTGACGATTAGTATACCTGATAGTCGCGCAAGTGGGACACGATCATGCTGATTGTCATGCGGGAAGAACATGGAATTTTCCGGTCTCGCTATCTACCTGCCCGCTTCGCACTAACGGGGAATCCAATCTGAGTGAACGCCGTGGGTTTGGCTCCTTAAAAAGGAGGGGGAATGGATTGAACGAGAAAACGACACTCCACTACTCTTTCTGGACAAGGCTGCGTAGTGGTCACGCAGATGCGACACGACTATGCAGAAAACCATGCAGGGGGATCTTGGCAGTGATTAAGGCTGTCAACGTACTGCTTATAGTGACTGAAGTGACCATCTATAGGCTAAACTCATGAAGGATCAACAATGAACCGTTTGAACTAGTGTTGACACTTTGCATCGGCGCCATCTACCATCCACTGAGCACAGGCAACTGTCAAGACAAAACTTGGAAACTAGTCCTCTCTAGGTCTGATAGCCCACTAAGTTGGTACTTTCTGCAACGGATGTTATGTTGCTACTTTGGGACATGGCTTGAGTTCTTACACTGGGCGTTTCTTGGTAGTAAAGTGTGCGTGATCATGGCCTTGTTTCTCGTGCAACTTATATTGGGCCGACCCCTCGGAGCCGCTGGCCATGTTAGCATGAACCGCATGGGCATTGTCCGTCCACATACACACACACACACACACACACACCTAACTTAACTAAACCCTTTGCCACTTCTTTCGTGTCCCTCACATTATGGGCTCTCTCCCCACCGAAGATGTCCTGGACGCGCTCATCGTGGGCGCCGGCTTCGCAGGCGTCTACCAACTCAAGCGCCTGCGCGAAGAGGGCTACAAAGCGAAGCTTGTAGATAGCGCCTCGGACTACGGCGGCGTATGGTACTGGAACCGATACCCCGGGGCCGGGGTCGACAGCACCGTCCCGCACTACGAGTTCTCCGACCCTGCACTGTGGAAAGAGTGGACGTGGTCGCAGCGCTTCCCCGGGAGCGCCGAGATACGCGAATACTTCGCATTTGTCGCGCAGAAGTGGGACCTAAGGCGAGACACCGAGTTCAGCACACACATCGCCAGTGCCAAATGGCACGAGCCGAGCCTCACCTGGGTCATCAAGAGCAGCTGTGGCAAGGAGTACCGCTCCCGGCTCTTCTTCCTGAACACGGGCTTCGCGGCCAAACGACACATCCCGGACTGGAAAGGTATCGACTCGTTCCAAGGCACCTTCATCCACCCCTCCTACTGGCCCAAGGAAGAGCCCGACCTCCGCGGCAAGAAAGTCGCCGTCATCGGTAACGGCTCCACAGGCGTGCAGATCGCGCAAGAACTCAGCCAGGTGGCCGGGGAATTCGTGCTCTTCCAGCGGACGCCGAACACAGCGCTTCCCCAGAAGCAAATCAACTATAAAGACAACGAGCACGAGCGGGTCCCCAAAGAAGCCTACCCGGCCCTCTACGCCGGGCGCACGACCAGCTTCGGCGGCTTCGACTTCAACTTCCTCCCCCGGAACACATTCTCAGACACCCCGGAGCAGCGGCAGCAGGTCTACGAGACCCTCTGGCAACACGGCGACTTCCACTTCCACCTCGGCAACTACCAAGACCTAATGTTCTCCGCCGAAGCCAACGAAGAAGCGTACGCCTTCTGGCGCGACAAGGCGCGCGCACGCATCGACGACCCAGCCCTCAAGGAACTCCTCGCCCCCCAGAAGAAGCTCTACCACTTCGGCTGCAAGCGCATCCCGCTCGAAATCAACTACTTCGAGATGTTCAACCAGCCCAACGTATCCCTCGTCGACGTCAACGCCACCCCCATCGAGCAGCTCACCCCGCGCGGCATCCAGACCACCGAGAGAGAGTGGGAATTCGACTTCATCGTGTGCGCGACGGGTTACGACTCCTTCACGGGCGGGCTGAAGCAGATCGATATCGAGGGCGCCGGCGGCGCCGGCCACACCCTCGCTGGCAAGTGGAAGGCTGGCACCAAGACCTACCTCGGTATGTCGGTCTCTGGGTTCCCCAATATGTTCTTCACGTATGGGCCCCAGGCGCCGACGGCGCTGTGCAACGGGCCGACGTGCGCGGAGTCGCAGGGTGAGTTCCTTGTTAGCATGATGAATCATTTGGCAAGGGAGGGGCGGGGGCGGATTGAGGCTGGGGAGGAGGGCGAGGCTAAGTGGGGGGATGATGTGAGGAAGTTTGCGTATTCGTCTTTGTTGCCGGGGACGAAGTCGGTTAGTTTCCCCTCTTACTCTTGGATCAAGTATTCGAGTAATGCTAACTACCCCAGTGGTACATGGGAGACAATATCCCAGGGAAACCGCGCGAGCCACTCATCTACCTGGGGGGCGTGCCGAACTATTATAACTCGTTGAAGGAGTGTGCTGAGCAGGGGTATTCTGGGTTTGCGATATCCTGATTTCGTTTTTTCCTACTTCCTGCTCATGGTTGGACTGTTACGAACCTAGTATGACAATCACTTGGCTATCATCGATTGCTTTTGTTGCGTACCCCATTATGGAGTCAATGAATATTAACGAATGCATTATGACCATAATGATGACTTTTGAAGAAGTTCATATCATACTAGCCAGTGGCCACAATGCTCTGCGCATGTAATGGAGATAGTACTGAATAGACAACATCGATCGACATTGATAGTGATATTCAGTACTAGGTAGGAGGTCGATAGGTAGTAGGTATAGTAGTAGTTGGTACAGACAAGCACACCAATGCGCCCAACGCCAGTGATCCCAAAACACCAGGGTAAGGAGAGCAAATTGACCGTCAAACAGACAGAGACCCACGTGTCCAGCTCAGTGAATTCCATCCATCTTGAACCATGATGGAGTAAGCTGGAGCGGGCTTGGCGCGTTCTCCTCCCTTTTGGAGTATCCCGGACGAAATCATCCCCCCCCCCATGTGATAAAAATAAACCGATCCAATCCCATCCCAGCACATCCAGTTCAAACTCCGCAAAAGAGATAATAAGCACAAGATGAGACAAGACTAGGACGAAAAAGAAGAGGACGAATACTGAGGTCGTCCGAAGAAGAAGGATCGGACCTCGGTTGGTTGGGGCAGAATGCGCAAATGCCGCGGTGGGCCCATCTCCATCTTTCTCCATATCCTTCTCCGTCTCCATGAACCGACGCCACGGGGTGAAGCGCACAATACAACAACGTCCCCTAGGTAGATATATACCATACATAACCCATCACATCGTCAATCATCGTAGTAGAAGTAGAAGTAGAAAGAAGCCCTCAAGTAATTTCACTCCACTCACAAGTAGACACCCTCTTGCGAAAAAAAAAGTCAGAAAGACAGAGAGGGAGGGATAAATCACGGCAAGCGAAACCCATCCTCAACTCTCCCCCCACGGCCCTCAATCTCCGCAATCAAGTCCTGCCGCTCCTGCATCTGCATCTGCATGAAATCGACCGTCTTCTTGAGCACAATGCTCTCACTGCGTCCCTGGCCTTCAAGGCCCGGCACCAGCTCCGTCAGACGGTCGAAGCCCTCGCGGATGGCGGCGCGGCGCTTCTGCTCCGATGCGATGTGGTTGTTCTTCTTCTCTTGCTCCGTCAGTCGCGGTTTGTCTTTCTCCTGCTGGGCGGCGGCGGCGGCGGCTGCGGCCGCAGCGGAGGACGAGGCGCCCTGTCTGGCGGAGGAGGCTGTAGGGGTTGTGGAGGAGGAGGGAGAGCGAGCGCTTCCGGGGAAGGGGGAGTCGGAGGGGTCGGAGGAGCTGGAGGCGAGGGAGGCGATGGAGGGGGGTTGGGCGGATGGCATGGTGGATTCTCTGATGATGGGATGGATAGATCTGTCGGTTGAGTGTCCGATAGAGGCTTGTCGGAGGAGGGAAACGACGGCTTTTGAGCAAAGGGGCGTGTCGAGGAATGCGTGGTAATCGAGGGATTGCACGAGATGCGGCGGGGAGCGATTTTCATGTGACGGAGGGGGACTTTGTATAGGAGTCCGTCAGATGGAGAGTAGTGTCAGAGTTGCGGGGACAATCGTACGAAAGGAATGGAAAGAGTGAAAACTCAAAATGCAGTTGAATGTCAAGGAGAGGTGAGAAGAGAAGAAGAGCCAGCTTTGCAAGTAGATCGAAGAGAAGGAGAGGGAGAAGCAACAATCGGCAGTGATGGAATTACTGATTACTGATTGGCGTGCGGAGAACCAGCCATATTGGACCGCCAACTGGTCTATCCACTTCCTCACAGGCCATACTGTATACTCTTACCTGGTCAGCCGAACTATGGGATCGATTCGAATTCAACTGAATACAGACCATCCAGATCATTCTATTCTTAAGATCTGAACATAGTACGCAAGAGTCAAGATCAAGATAAACGCTTATCAAACTGCCCCCACTGACCGCTTTCACTCGATATCTCCAACTCCACCTCAATCCACCCATCACTACAACAATCACAACCCAGAAAGGGAGAAAGACGAAACCAGAAAGAACCGAGAAAGAACAAAATGACCGACTCCAAAACCCACCTCCTCTCCCCAGACTCTTCCCCCGAGGACGAAACCCCCCAACAACAACAACAACAACAACAGCGCACCCCCCTCCCACGCCCCCCACCCTTCTCCCTCCCCTTCCTCACCACGCTGCGCGAAAAGCGCACCATCCTCGCCTCGCAATCCCCCCGGCGCCGCCAAATCCTCTCCCTCCTGGGCCTGCCCAACCTCGAAATCATCCCATCCCAAGCCGCCGAAGACCTGCCCAAAACGCTCGAGCCCTACGAGTACGTTCTCGAAACAGCCACCAAAAAGGCGCAAGCAGTCTACGAGCAGGAAATCCAACGCGCCAACACAGAAGCCGACGAGCCGGCGCTCATCCTCGCCGCCGACACTGTCGTGGTAGACGCGTCGACGGCGACGATCCTGGAGAAGCCGCGCAGCGAGGCGGAGCATATCGCGATGTTGAAGGCGCTGCGCGACGCGGGGGACTATCACCGGGTGTATACGGGGATGGCGGCTATGGCGCCGTTGGCGAGTGCGCGGCAGCCTGGGTATGTGCTTGAGACTGCTATGGAGGAGACGAGGGTGCGGTTCGATCCGGAGGTGTCGGATGAGATGATTTTGGCTTATGTGAGGACGAGGGAGGGCGCGGATAAGGCGGGGGGGTATGGGTTGCAGGGGTTGGGGAGTGTGCTTGTGGATAGGATAGAGGGGAGTTGGGATAATGTTGTGGGGTTGCCGCTGCGGGCTGCTGTTAAGTTGATGGAGAAGGTGTTGGTTAGGGCGGATGATGATGATCGGTTGGAGCAGGAGGGATTGGTGGGGGATAGTGAGGAGGAGGATGAGGATGAGTAACTTTCTTTTTTTTTTTTAGTTTTGGATATCACAAAATAGGATAGACATGTCTATCATATGGAGCAGTATAGACATCTATACCTACGTATTATGCATGCATGTATGCATACCTTACATACACATACATACAGACAGGCACATATAAGAGATAAGAACAGTTCTCAACTGACCTAAAACATATACACATAGACAGAAGAAATCTCAATGAGAGAATGAAAAAAAAACAACACCAAACAGTCAAATCAAAAAAAGGGTAATTTTTACGCCGTCCACACTCTCCGGATAGCCTCCGTCAAGCCCACATCGTTCGTCTCAAACTCATACAGCCCAACGGCGGTGCCGAGGGTGAAGGCGCGCAGCAGCCAGTTGCAGGCGGCGTGCGTCTTGGGCACGCGACGGGTGGGGAAGTAGTCGATGATGGAGGCCTGGAAGCCGATGTGCGAGTGCAGGATCAGACCGGAGCAGAGGACGGCGTCCATGACGGGGTTGAGGGAGCCGGCTGCGAAGGGGGCGACGCACAGGGGGACGAGGCCGAGGGCGACCAGACTATATTGTAGTCAGTATTTCTCACTTTCTTTGCTTCGTTTTAGGACGCGACAGGGGTTGACGTTAACGTACCGCTCAAAGGTCCAGTGGTAGCTGCCTTCGGAGGGGTGAGGCTCGGGGATGGGAGCAGGGTCGTTCACTGGGACTGGTTAGTTCTGCTCTTCGATTGATCGAGACAATCTCTCTCTATCCCTCTCTTTCCTCCTCTTCCTCCTCCTTCTTCGCATGCTTCAGTCTCGGAATATGACGGTTGTTTACATACCAGTTCCATCCATGGTTTCTACTCGCAATTAGCACACACTCTCACTTCAACCTCAATCAACACTATCCCCTTGTAAGTACTCACGAGGCAAAGGAGGCAGAATCTGCTTCTTCGCAGAAGCATGGAATCCAACCATCTGCGACGCACCGGCCGGCCGGATCGCCAGCGGGCGGGCAGCGGACAGCCGCAGCAGGGGGGACTGGCGGGCGAGGGAGGCCATTTTCAATATCTCGATTGATATAAAGGAAAGTATATCTCAAAAAGAAAGAGAGGAGAAGGGTGACTCCGCAGTGGTCCTAGACTCGCACAGGTTACGATCCAAGATGGAGAGAAGTGAAGTCGAGATGGAACCTCGGGAGTCCGACTCGGGAGTCAGCGCTTTCTCGTGCCGCTGATTGGTGGAGAGGGGCTGAGGCAGCCGAAAATGGCCGAGATGAGTCAGCTTTTTATCCTGAATTTATCCACCTTATTCTGTCATCCACTGCATCTTCATATCTACATATCTACTAAACTGATTGTGTCATATAATTCTTGATTTATTCATATCGACTCATATTACCCCAGCAAAGAGAACTAATTAACAATTAAAACTTGAGCACAGCCTTACCCAAGTTCTTTCCGTGGAAAATGCCCACCAAACCCTCAGCAGCATTGTCAATGCCCTCCGTCTCATGGATAAGAGTCTTGAACGAGCCATCCTTAATCCACTTCTGCACATTCTTCTGATGATCCACCGCATACTTAGGCCCCATACCCTCATCGCTAACAATGAAGCCGCGCATCGTCAGCCTCTTCGTGAGCACGTTCGCGATGTTCGTAATCGGATAAGGCGCCGCATTATACTGCGAGATCAGACCGCAAAGCACCACGCGGCCAAAATCGTGCAGCGCATCCAGCGCAGCGGCCATGTGCTCGCCGCCGACATTCTCATAGTAGATGTCGATGCCCTCAGGCGCCAGACGGGCCAGCGCATCGGCGGGCTTCTCCTTCTTGTAGTTGAACCCGCCGTCGAAGCCCAGCTCCTTCGTGATGTAGTCGAGCTTCTCGTCGGAGCCGACGCTGCCGATGACGGTCAGGCCCTCGTGCTTGGCGAGCTGGCCGACGAGCTGGCCGACGGCGCCGCTGGCGGCGGAGACGAAGAGCGTCTCGCCCTTCTTGGGCTTGCCGATCTCGTACAGCGAGGAGTAGGCCGTCAGGCCGGGCATGCCGAGGGCGCCGAGGAAGACGCGGACGTCTTCGATGCCGAGCGGGTTGTCGAGGGGGCGGATGCGCGCGATCTCCTCGCCGGACAGCGCGACGTATTGCTGGACGGGGACGAAGCCGAGCACCAGGTCGCCTTCTTTGTAGGAGGGGTTGGCGCTGCGGAGGACTTTGAGCACGGAGGAGCTCTCGATGGGGGCGTCGAGGGTGAACGCCGGCGCGTAGGACTTGATGTTGGCGGGGCGCATGCGGCCGCGCATGTAGGGGTCGAAGCTTGTGTAGAGGGATTGCAGCACGACGCCGTTGGCGGGAGCTGGGGTGTTGGCGTCATAGCTGACGGGCTCGAGGACGAGGTGCTCCCCGGGGATGGGGTAGGCCTCGGGGATTTTCTTGAAGACGAGGGCTTGGTTGGACATTTTGTTCTTTATTTTTTTCCCTTCGTTTCTATATCAGAAGAATGGTTGAATGGTTAGGTAGGGATGATGGTGGAGGGAAATAGTAGTATTTATGTAGGCCCAGTGGAGAGGAGATGATGCAAGCGGGGCGACATCGAGTGAACTAAGATAACCACAGCAGATTACCAAGCACGGTGCAATGCAAACCACCGTCCCAACAACAGAAGTGGAGACTCTTGCCCAAAAGAGTCCCTCGCCATCCGTCACGAACGGGACCGATGCACTTTCTAGGCAAGAAGACCGTGCCGAGGAAGAGGGGCACCGGAGGGATTTTTAATCTTAACAATCAAGCTAAGCGATCTGTTGGGAATGAGTTGTACAGGTTATGCTAAACTATACGGAAACATGGAAGAAGTTTTGGGAATTCTACACGGAGGCTTTTGGGGATCTACGCGGAGACTTTCAGGGTCTCTATGCGGAGGTTTTTCAAGGGTCCCACGCGGAGGCTTTTGGGAGTCCCCCGCGGAGGCTTTGAGGGGTCCTACATGGTTGCTTTCCAGGGCTATACACAGGGACTTTTGGGGATCCAGCTTTCAGAGGCTCTAGATGGGGCCTTTTAGGGGCATCCACACGGATGCTTGATAGGGAGGGATATGAAGTAGTAACAATCATCTCCTAGTACTTTATGAAATAGTCTATAAGTATCTCTAACCAAGTGATCAGACCGCCGAGCGAAGCGCGGGCTCAAAACTTGTTTTCTGTACGAAGGTTAGACTACCTTGGCTAGTTATTTAATAAAAAAATCTGCTCATAAATGTATGGTGTCATTGACAGCGATTGATAATCTGGGGTCGGAACCGGATTGATTAGGTTAATGATCCGTGTGGCTTGCATTACGGTTATTTTTAGCGGTCATATTCGATAGCCTTGTTGATTCGTCTTCATACACTCTATATTTATATTGATAGGTTTCGTATGATTTATATAGTCCTATGGTAATATGCTAATTGTATCATGAAGCAATCCATTCAATGCTACATCAGGATATAAAAACAGAAGCCAAACATGCTTGGAACAAACCCAGATCTACCTCTTAACTCTATAAACCCGGGCCCATATCTAGACAACCCAAGCCAGAAGCAAAAGAAAAACAAAAAAAAAAAAGAATTTGAAAAAAATGAAAAGATGAAAAGTGAAATATGAAGAGAGAAAGAAAAAAATGATAAAAATTATGTTGACCGAGCAATCATATCGTCCCGGGCAGGCCCAGTACCGATCCACTTCACGGGAACACCACCCAGACCCTTCTCGATGAAAGCAATGTACTCGCGGGCCTTCTCAGGCAGCTCCTCGTAGCGCTTCACGCCCATAGTGTTGCACTTCCACCCAGGCAGAGTGACGTACTCGACCTCGACCTTGTCGAGGACGTCCGCGTCCGCGGGAATGGTGTTGGTCGTGCGGGTGCCGTCGGGCAGGATGTAAGCGACGCCGACCTTGATCTCGTCGAAGTCGTCCAGCACGTCGAGCTTGGTCAGGTTCAGCGCGGTGTAGTGGTTGATGGCCTGCGAGTAGCGGCACAGGACCAGGTCGAACCAGCCGCAGCGGCGCTTGCGGCCCGTCGTCACGCCGAATTCGCGACCCACGGACTGCAGCTTCTCGCCGTCGGCGTTGAGCTGTTCGCTGGGGAAGGGGCCGGATCCGACACGTGTCGTGTACGCCTTGACCACGCCGATGATGGACGAGATGCTGGTGGGGTTCAGAGACAGCGCCTGCACGGCGCCGCCCAGGCCGGTCGACGACGACGTCACGAAGGGGTAGGTGCCGTGGTCCAGGTCGAGCATGAGCGCGTTGGCGCCTTCGACCAGGGTGTTGGGGGAGTCTTTGTACTCCTGGAGGAAGGCGAGTTGGTCGACGATGTGGGGGGTCAGACGGGCACGGAAATCCTAAAAAAGCATTAACTCTCAATCCATAACCAGAATAAAGAAACGGAAAAAAAAAACACACACACCTTGAACATCGCAAGCTCATCCTCCACATTGTACTCCAGATCGCCAAAGCGCGCCCGGTACCCAGCATCCAGATTGCGCAGCTTGCGCTCAAAGACAGCCTCATCCAGAATCTCACCGACGCGAATACCGCGACGGGCAGCCTTATCACTGTAGCAGGGACCGATACCCTTACCCGTGGTGCCAACCTTACGGCCACCCAGACGGGCCTCCTCGAGGCCATCGACCACAGAGTGCAGGTTGAGGCAGACGTGGGCGCGATCGGAGATGAAGACGCGCTTAGCGGCGCCCTCGAGGCCCTTGTCCTCCAAGGAAGCCAGCTCCTTGAAGAAGCTGGGGACGTGGACGACGGTGCCGGCGCCGATGAGGTTCACGCAATTCGGGGAGACGAGGCCGGAGGGAAGGATGTGAAAGTCGTAGGTTTTGTTGCCGTGGACGATGGTATGGCCGGCATCTATACATGGTCAGGGTGACTCATCGCAGACACGGCGTGCGAGATGGCAACGGGTAGGTGAATAAGAGAGAAACATACTGTGACCGCCAGCAGCACGAGCACACAGCGTCGCCTCCTGCGACAGCATATCGGTGATCTTGCCCTTTCCTATCGTTCACGACCAATGTCAGTATCATGTCACGAGCACCGCGGGGATCAATATATCAATCCATCCCAAACCTACCTTCATCACCCCACTGGCTACCCAGAACAATTGTGATACCCATGATGATCAAATAGAAGCAACAACAGTAGCAAAAATCAATCCAACACTCGAATATCAAATCCGGTCAAATTCGGTTTCGCAATGGTCGGAGCGGAATCGGATGGCGGGGATGCGTCGGAAAGCTAGATAGCCAAACAACCGATCGAACGGAATGGAGAAAGAGAAAATAAGATAGAAAAGGCCAGACCGATTCTATGTAAGATACAGTAATAATAATAATGTCAAGAAGAATAAATGTACGGAGCAGAAGCGAACAATTCGCGACCGTCAAAGATCCAAAAGCCGAAAACAGGAACGAAGGAGGGGAAGAGGGGGGGAATCTGGCCGAGAGATTATATACTCAGTTTTCTCTGCCAAGGGTTCCTTTCATTCCGTGACTCAAACCGATCGGCCGGTATTGCCCGTATTTTTCCTCCCTTCGATCCCGAATTGAGTGTACGTGCCAAGGCGGTGACGGCTGTAAATTACCGTCACATGAGATGGTTCTGAATCGCCACATCGGGCAGGTGGCGGCCTCAGGCGGGGTTGTCTCGGCCTCGGGCTTTGAGGGCTTGGGGCTCAGGGTTAGGGCCGGGGGCGTCACCTTCATGTACTAGGTACTATTATCATCATCATTCCTGGTCGTTCTATGTGAAGATTAAATACTCATATCGATTGGTAGGATATCTTAGTATATTACAAGAAATCAGATAAAAAGATCCCCCAACGCCATCCATGCATTTCATCGATCCATCGGTCCATCGATCTGTGCAATCACACAAGCTTCCCCCCATTCCGGATCCATTCTCGCATCTCTCCTAGCTGGAGGATACAATCCCTGTGCATCTCCCGCGCTACCTCCCAATGCTTCTGCACCTTGGCGTCCTCCTCGATCGCCCGGAGGTAGGCGCTGAACCCTCCTTTACCGGCACCAGCAATCATCTCATCCGCAGTATCATCCTCCGCCCCATCGTCATCACCATCGGGGCCGGCCTCCTCATCGCCATCCGCACCGGTGACCCCAAGACGAGTCGAGTCCCCCACAGCGCTGACCCAGTTCGGGCTCATGCCCGTCTCAATAGCCTCCTGGCGGGCATTGAAGTGGCCCAGAATCCGCCGCTGGAACCGGTTCCAGTCGCGCATGTAAGCGTGCATCTCCGCCACGTAGCGGTCCCACGCGGCCCGCGGCAAGCCCTGCTGCTGCGGGTCCAGTCCGAGGGGTACCTTGGCCGGCGGCTGTGGCCGTTTCGGCGGGTTCGGACAGATGAGGTTCCGCGGGCGCACGTCGCGTGCTGTCGTCTTGGGGACCTTGGCGCGGGACTCGAAGGGGAGCGTGGCGAAGATGTCTTGTAGGTCGTCAATGCCGCTGCCGGTTGTGTTGGTGAAGGGAACTGTGTTGCTGAGGTTGGTCAGGTTGAAGAGGTGGTTGGGTTGCGCGCGGTTAGTGCTGTTGGTGCCCTTGTTGGCGGTGGGTGGGGTTTTCGGTACTGGGGCCTCCTTAGGTGGGCCCTTCGGGGCACTTGCGGGCTCCGGGGTAGTGGGCTTGGTGCTTCGAGCTGGGAGTTCGTCGTCAACGTCCATGGCCTCGGCGTCGCCGTTCGCCGTGGGTGCTGGTGCTGGTGCTGGTTCCGGCGGCTGGTCTCCGTTGACGGTCGCCTGGGCCTCCTCGGCCTCTGTCGCCACGCTGGCTTGCTGGGGCACAGGCCGTGCCTTAACGGGGGGGCGCGTGTGTTTGCGGGGGCTGCGTTGGCGCTGGCTGGCTGCGGGCGGTTGCTGAGAGCTGCTGCTCTCCGGCACATCCCAAGACATGTTCTTGAGTTTCTCGACCCAGTCTTCCGTGAAGAATTGCCCAGAGGGGAATGAAGTCGGTGGCTGTTGGGAGGCTGTCTCAGGACGCGGCGAGTTGTTGTTGGAAGCGCTGCTGGAATAGCCTCCCCGTCTGCTCGCAGGACGCCCACGGTTGTGGGACGGGGTCTCACCATTCTCCGATGATGTTCCTGTGAAGAAAGAAGTCCCGCCCCAGTGTGCAGCCGAGAATGGCCTGCGGAGATCGTCATGGCTGGTGCTTTTGAATGTCCCGTGGTGCGAATTGTTCGTGAAGGCGTGTGTCCTGCAGCAGTCAGTAAGAACCTTCCGCATCCAATGGGAGGTAGTCACATACGGGTCAAAGAGATTGCCCGCCTTGGGAAAAGAGGTAGACGCGAACCTGTGACTGGGGGAAGCAGCACTGTCGGAATCGTGGCCTGGACAAAGATTAGCATCCTTACGGCACTCACGGACACCACAGGATGGAATTTACCTCCTCTGTAACTCCACTGATTCGGCACATGGAAATTCCCAAACTTCTGATTCGGCCGCATCCGACTCCTCGGCACAGCCTTCGGCTTCCGCCCCAGCATCTCATCAAGATCATCCTCAAGATCGTCCTCATCATCATCATCATCCAAACCACTCGAACTCGTCGACGAGTAATTGCGACTCCGCTCCGCATTGAAATCCGGACTCGCACTACGATGTCGTCCCGAGCGCGGGGGCACCGGACTCGGCGGGGTAGTGCGCGGCTGGGGTTTGGCGCTCTCAGGCGAATTCCGCACGCTGGAAGAGCGTCCCATCCCCGCGCTGGAAAAGAACGCACGCTCCCCTCCGGTGCCAGCGTACTTGCTGCCGGTGCGCTCGATGTCGGGCGTCCGCGATTGCTCCGTCCGGGCCTGGAACCCGGCGGCGGCGGCTGCTTTTCTCGCGGTCGGGGACGACGCAGCGGGCGCGAAGAACGGTTTGGAGGCTTGGGCGCGCTCCGCGCGCGGGACGTTGGAGTAGGCAGAGGTGTTGGAGGCCATGGGCTCGTCTCCGCCGGTGGCTGCCCGCGGGGCGAATCCGGACTTCTTCTTGGCGAACGACGCCGAGGCCCGTGGGGATTCCGTGCTGGCTGGCTTGGGCGACGTCTTGAAGTACTCGTAGGCGGATTTGGGGCGCGCCGACTGGCTGGAGTTGGCGCTGGGTCGTGGCACGCCGCCGGGATGTTGGCCGGAGCGGCCCGTGTGCGGATCAAACTGCGTCCAGCCGGGCATTCCACTGCCCTTCATGTCCTGGAACCCGCGGTATGCATCGGCGCGCGTCTGTTGGTCATCGTGCCGCCGCTCCCACGGCTGCTTGGGGGCCGCTCGCGCGTAGCTCGCATAGCGCTGCGCACCGGTGGACGGGCCGCCCTGGAAGCTCTGCGGGCGCGAGGCGAAGTTCGGTTTGGGCGGTGTTGATTTCGCGGTGGGAGCAGCGGTGGGGGTTCGTCGCGGAGGGGGTTTCGTTTTGGGCGGACCGTAGAATTTCCCGTAGCCGGCGCGTAATCGGTCGGTATCGTATCGGAGCCGTTGCTGGGGGTCACTGAGGATCTCGTTGGCGGCTTGGATGGACTGGAACTTGGAGATGAAATCCACCTCTTTGCCGGGGTTTCTATCGGGGTGGTATTTGAGGGCTGCCTTGTCAGCCACATGATCCTGGTTTTCCCCCGATCCAACCCACGGGACACCCTACCTAGCTTTCTGAACTGCCTCTTGATATCCTCCGACTCCGCGCTGGGGGTGAGACCCAAGTCTGCGTAATAATCCCTCCGTACATCTGTCTTGACCATTGTGAACGGCCAATCTTATAGTTTGCGAAAAGAATGTGTCCTGCTAAATCCGCACCAAGTCGGGGTCAAGCTGCTCATGACCTTGTCGCCGATGAATCAAATCGCAGATATAATGAATCGAGGAAAAGGAAAGAAGAAAGCGACGTCGAGCGATCGAATTGACAGCGAAGGTTTCAACCGTCCAGGGGTGAAGGCGATGGAGCGACGACACGACACTCGATAAAGTACAGCTCGCCTTCGAATTATAACCCAACCCCACACTGTCAAAAAGCGGATTGAACGATCTTCTCACCAGACAGCACCCAACTGAGCATGATAAGGAAGATCCAAGCAAGGGTTCGGTTCGAAGGTAGAGAGCTGGAGGGGAGGGATGGCGGGGAAGGGAATGGAGCTGGAAATGCAGCCCACGACCGAAGTGTTTGAAGAAAGACTGCGAAAATAGGATCGACCGTGACAGCGACTCGAAACGGATTCAAGAATAAAGAAGCCGAAATTAGTTACCTAGTTAGTGCCAGCATCCAAGCCGAGGGGCGTTCATGGGTCCCCAAAGAAGGAAGAAAATAAAAATAAAAATAAAGGGCCAGTTGGTCCAAGCGCGGTTCGACAAAGAAGATCCTCAGATCTCTCTTTTCCTCAAAGAACTGAAACCCGTTTCTTCTACCGTCCCTCTTATGTTTAAACCCAGATGATTGCAGCGATAGAGAGTGAAACACACACTTCCTCTCTAACTGTCTGTCTGTCGTCGACGCAAGAAGAAATGCGCTGGCTAGCGCCAGAGAAGAAGAAGAAAGACGATGGTTCGTTGGATTGTTTGATTGTTTTGCCGGTCTTTGTCTCCTTGGGAACCAACGTTTCTGCCTCAGTCCCAACTCTCCGCCCTGATTTGTGCCCAATTCCTGGTTTTTAGCTGGTGTAGCCTCATTTTGTCCCAAAATTTAAATAATTGATGTGTAGAATGAGAGTAATAATGATAATCAAATATCAATTGAATAAGAATGGTTCTATTCAAAGGATAAAGTCTACTATCCCAGCAGTATATGGAGGGGATAGATATATATCAGGTACAGTATGTGGTATCGACAGTGGATTAAAAATTATCTAAGATTTAAAAAGCCAATTCCAAGAGAAACAAATAGATATAGGTAAATGTTTGGGGGAAAGTAATAAAAAAAAAAAAAAAAAAAAACAAAAACAAAAACAAAAAGCTCATAAGTCATAGAGTCCAGTCAATCCTTGGGTATATTAGGCCCTCCCCCCAAAAACAGACAACACATCAAACAAACCAATGAATTAGACCACCGAGGGAAGCAAAGAAGAAAGGCTACTCCTCTCCACCCGGCCCCGGCCCCGACCCCCCAAAGAAATACCCATCAAAGATATCATAATTAGCATTCTCGCTCCAATCATGCTGGAAATCGACCGCCATTCCGAACCCCAGATCGATGCCCACGCTGTGGCCCGCACCATGGCCCAGGGACGGGATGATCCCTTGCATGTTACTGCCCTCGGCCTGCTCGTCGGGTCCAAATGGTACTTGGCCTGAGGCTGCGGTGGGGTCAAAGTCTAAGAAGTCGAGGCCGATTCCGGATGCGTTTCCTTGGTCGGTGGGTGGAGGGAAGGGGGCGTTGTGGGGGGTGGTAGTGGTGGTGGTAGTGTTGATGCTGTTTGGGGAGACGCTTTGGGGGGAGCCGCTGTAGTAGTATTGCTGTTGCTGCTGTTGTGGTTGTTGTTGACGCTGCTGTTGCTGCAAGGTTTGCGGAGAAGTAGGATCCTCATACGAGCCATAAAACTCCACCGGAGACGTAGACGCAGGGTGAGATTGTCCCTGTTGGTCGGAAGAAAAAGGCGGGGAAGATTCATTATAAGGCTGTACTTGCACGGGCTTCCGCCTATCCGACTGGTCGGGAACAGCCCCGTTATTATCGCCGAACAGATCGCCGAGATTCATATCGAACCGCGGCATCGGGCGAGCCTGGCGCATCTGGGTTTGCCGGCGGTTTTGACCAGGCCATGGTCGCTGGCGATACTGGCGGGGGCGACCGGCGTACAGCGGAGCTGGGTTTTGGGGTGCTATCGCGGCGGCTTGGAATTGGGTTAGGTCGACTTGGGAGCCGAACCCGGTTGTCGAGAGGCACATTTGGACGGTCGCTTTGCTCATTCGCTCGAAAGCGTCTCGGCATGCTTCGGCTGGTGGGCACTTGTGCATTAGGTCGCCGAGGACGGATGTAGCGGCGAGGACTGTGAAGTCGACTTCGTCGAGGGTCTTCTACTCGTTAGTCAAATCCCCAGACATTCCGACAGAATTGAGTCGAGAAATGAAAGGAAGAAAAACGGGCAAAAACCTACCAAGCGACTCCGAACCAATGGCGAGTGCCACAGGGCATACAGGAAAGAAATCCCAGCCATGAAAATATGATGCGTAGCCAGATAAGTGTAGTTCACCAAACGCACCCGGTGCATCTGGCGATATATACGAATGACCTTCTGACCCGCCTCCGCAACCTTATAGTATATATCGTCTTCATCATCAGCCTCATCGACATTCGAGAATGACGGGCTGGAGACGTCCTCAGCAGGAGTCACCTCATCAGCGAGCTCCGCCGGCGCCGTCAAACTCTGCTGATACAGCATAATAACCGCCTGCCAGTAATTCAGCTCGAGGAACTCCACAGAGAACTGCACCCCCGTATCGCGACGCGTCGGCGCAGACTGCTTCCACTCTGCCAGTCGTCGGTGGACATCCTTGCGCCAGGATCGGAACGACTCGAACCCGTGGAGGAAAGGCGACGTCAGATCGGAGCGCATGACTCGCCGGGCAGCGTAGGGCACCCTCTGGCGCGCGAAACGCGCCTGCTGATGCTGGAGCACGTCGTGGATTTCCGACTGCAGCACCCGCAGCTTGAAGTAGTGGAACGAGGCGTACTTGTAGCTCGGGGTGCCCTCGGGCGGCTCCGTGATACCGGTCTTGGTGATGTATGTGTCCTCGACCAACGAGGGGAATTCCGTACTGATGGCCTGGTCACTGATGCCGAACGGGCGACCGACGCAGCAGCTGACGAGGCGGTCGAAGCTATAGACGCACCACCACAGTCGCCGCCGGAGGTCGCGGACCCATTCGCGCCGGCCGCGCTCGCGCTCGCCGATCCGAACTTTAGCCTCGTCTTCGGGCTTGCCGGGTCCACGACCAAAGCTGTCATCACCGGGCGAGTCGATACCCGCGCCATCCTCGTAGTGCAGGCCAAGGTCCACGGCCAAACGCGTGGCCACCCCAACGATATACCACAGACCCGGCGCAACAGGCCGCAGGAGCGCGAAGTTGGCGAGAAGGAGGACCGCTTGCAGCTCCTCCAACGCGCCGAACCCGTCGCCCCCGGGGGAGGTCGCGCCCAGGAAGGACTCGAGGTGAATGACAGCCGACGCGTGATATTCCTCCGGTTGATACTGATGGCTGGAGAATCGAGGTTTCTTGGCCGTAGAAGCCGAGGGCGACTGGTCACGGTCTGCAGCCTTCTCATCGCCGGGCGGTTTGTCATCGAAGATAATCCCCGCGCCGATGGCAAAGACAATATTCAGAATATAAAGACTGCGAGGAGAGCGGCTCTTCTCATCGGCCGCGTAGGTGCGATCCATCATCTCAACGAATTCGTTTCGGTGGAGGATAGGCATCTGGGGATTCGCGTGTTCGAAATACAGGCCCGACAGCTTATCGGCCAGCTCGCGGTCCGGGAAACTGGCGCACTTCATCATCGGTCTCGTCTGGAGGCCGAAGAAAGAGTCCCGCGTGGTGCTGCCCCCCGTGCCCGTCGCGCTGTGCGGTAGACGCTCGCTGGGACGAGCGGGACCGCGTTCCGCAGGGTTCCCGGAGACGGTGCTCTTGACAGCGGCGAAGACGACACGTGCAAAAGAGATACCCGACGTCGAGCCCAGATACCGCGGATCCGACGTGCCCTGCACCGAGACCGTCCCAATGTTCGACACGAGGTTGTTGATGCGCCAGGAGTCATCCTTGTCGGGATTGCGGCTGCTCTCCAAATCCCCCACATTCTCAACCCCGCCTTCGGGCCTCGCGGCGGCCTGGTCGTCTGTCTCCCTCTTAATGCGGGGCACTTTCCCTTCAGTCCCGTCCGGCGCAGGGGAGTCGGTAACAATGGACGCATCCGTCTGCTGGACTGGGTTATATCCCGTCTCAGCCTTAAGAGCCCCGTCCTCATCAAACGGCGCCGCTTCCATAAACGTAACATGGTTCTCCACCAACAGACTCTCAAGGTACGCCACACGGGCCTCAAGAAAGTAGACATAACTGCGGGGGATCTCTCGCTTCGTGATCGGATCATAACCGACGCAGCGGACGCCCGCCTTCTCACAAGACTGGCACCGCGGCAGCCGCTGATCGCAGCGATTTTTGCGCAGCCGGCACCGATTGCATGCGGAGACGTTTCGGAAGGAGGAGGAATTGGAGGACGCGGAGACGGAGGGGGAGGGCAGAGCAGCGAGGCCGTCGCGACGCGGAGGCGCGCGCTGCTGCTGGAGCGGTGGCGGCGGCGGCGGGGGGGACGGTTCGGTATCAGCGGAGGGGTGCGGTCGCTTCCTCCCGAGGGAGGTCGGGGAGACCGGGGAAGCAGGATTCAGCATGATCGGAGCGGGAACGTAAACGAGTGAGCATGTCTTGTGGGGCGTCTGATTCTGTGAGAAGTCAAGCAGTGAGGTGGGGAGAACAGACTGCGACGAGACGGATCAGCGTTCATGTTATGCCATGCGCCGATGACTCGTCTCTCTCTCTGTCTTCCTGTTTGTATCCCTCCTGCTTATATCGCAATAAACGCGCGCGTAAAAGTCGTGTGACAGCGCAAAATGAAGACTCAACAGTCTGTATCCCGCAACGGAGGCGATTCGGTCCCCTCGCGGGAAAAAGGTCAAGGCTTCGTCTATCGTGGTATGGGCAAGACACAGTCGCAACGGCAGCCCATGACGAAGAGGCAAACCAAACCTGTTCCTTCCACAGCGAAACCAATTCAAGCGATATCACCTCGAACAGTATTCCAAAACAATCCCAAAGCAATCCAATTGCACTGGAAAACAACAGACCCATCAAAATCCAAGGTGGGGGTTCAGTGAAAACGAACAGAACGAGATGGAGATTGCGGTGCCTAGGCCACTGCTAGCGTCGTGCTAGTGTGCCACTTCCTAGGGTAAGTAGTCAACGGCGCCAACGTGCCGGAATCGATATACTCCCTCCAGTAGTAGGAGCTATCAAGGCGAGCATGCGAACTACTACTCTCCCGCAATGGAATCGACATCATAGGAGGGGAAATACTCGCCGTGGAGAAGCGCGACTGGAAAAATTGGAGATGGATGCGTTACTCAAGCATTAGTCACCCGGTCAGCACGCATGTGGTCACGTGAGACTATACGCGTGATTGGCGGATGTTAAGCCTCGGCCAGTCCGCTAGCTCCTGTACACCTCAGGCTCGCCAGACCGGGTGAGATGGGGATATACTGTATTGTGGGTCGAAGACCCTGGAATGGTGTCATGTTCGACATCTCTGGTTTTCTGGAATAGATAAAATCTATACTACAATTGTGTCGACCCAAGGCAACTGGTCCCTGTCCATTCCACCTGCTAGATGACGTTCTCCGAGCCAGCCTGCATCTCGACAACTACTGTTCGTGGAATGAGGGGCAGTGCAGCCAGCCAGCCATGATCCCTGTCTCTGTCCTCGCAAAGAGGGGCGGAGGGGCACTCATGACATCTGGCAAGCAACGGTGGCTTTGATTCTGTGACTACATCATTTGTTACGTACCAACGGCATTGATGCAATTGGGCATCCAAAGCAAATAGAGCACAAGAGAATGATGTCAGTGAATCACAATAATAACAGGGACTAGGGTGAGCCCCGAGCCCCGTCGCAAATGAATTGTGCCCTCATAAGAGTTGGATATAATGGTAATGACAAAAAGCCTCCCTGATGCATAAAGTGATGCGTACCCACGATACCCCCGAGCAATCCCAGAACAAACGAACGAAACAACAAAAAAATGACCCTGCCGACATGCTGTGTTTTTTTGGGGGATGCATCCAATCTATCAAACTGCGCCGGTACCAAATCTTGAATCATGATCTAAACGGGAAAAAGGGGAAAGTGAAAGGGACATAAACCGACGGAATCCGGGAAATAAAAAGAATACGGTAAAAGATGGGTGGGAAAAGGGGAGAAAACAGCCGAGGGAAACGAAGGCGAGTAGGCTGGGTGAAGAGAAAGACGTGACAGAAAAAGGCTATGCAAAGAATTGAGGATGCGATCGAAAACAAAAGTACGAGGGGAAAGATAGACAGAATCCACACCAGAGAAAAAAAAAAAAAAATAGAAAGATGAGTCGGAGAGGGGAGATGAGAAGAAGAAGGCAAAGAGGGGAAGTGAGAAAAACAGTAGACCCTCGAAAATCAGACATCTTCAACCTTTGGGGTGACCGTGGTCAAAGACACATTGGGGATTTCCGAGTCGTCGACGCTAGTTCGCGTGGAAGAGAGCAATCGCCGCACCTCTTCGGGAGTGGCCTCTTCTTTGCCGGCTGTGTAGGCACCCCGCAGAGGGACTTTGCTGACGTGCAAGTCGCTGGCCTCGGGATTTTTCTCGGCGTCTTCCTTGGGCTGCGTCTCCTCCATCCAGAAGCTTTCGATCACGCCGACGACGCAGACCAGGCCGCAAGCCCACCAGGCCAGCACCGAATACCCGCTCTCCAGACCCTTGGAGTGGAGAAGGCCGGTGACAGTTGGACCAAGGGCACGGCTCAGGCTGGCCGTCGAGGCGGCGGCGCCGTTGATGGAACCCAGTACTTTGGACGACGGGGCGGCGTTGGCGAGAAGGATGGCCGTGGCGGGGAAGGCGATGACATGGAGGGTGATCTTGGAGATCAGGGCGACGTAGACCGCGGCGGGCTGCAGGACTTCGGGCAGCAGAATCAGGTAGGGGACCAGCAGGTACAGTGGCGGCCAGACCATGAGAACGAAGCGGAAGGTGCGCAGAGTGCCAAAGTGTCGCACGACGAAGGGGAACAGCCAGAGTTGCGCGATCATCGAGTAGACGCCTTGTACCGCGAGCATGAATCCGATGGTTTTGGTGGCAAGGCCGAGGCCGCCCGTGAACTGGAAGGGGAGAGCAGTGTCCTCAGTCGGCTTGGGCGTGCTCAGGAAGACGGGCATCAACTGATCGAACGAGACGCTGTGGCTGTGGATGATGTTAGTATCGGGGGCGTGGAAATGTACAGCGGTCAGCCCGCTGACGGGAGAGAGCGCCCACTTACTATGCGAGAATTCCGTAGGCGATGATGTTGAAGATCACCTGCCGCGTAAAAGCCTTGGGCGTCGCACACTGCTGGTCTTTCTTCTGCCCTTCAATGTCGTCATCGCCGGAGAAAGTGTCCACCTCCTTGGTTGGGCCCAAGCGGGGGGAAGACTCGGTGCTCCTGTATGCGGGGGGCGGAACCTCCTCAGCGTCGTAGGGTTCCTCGTAGAAAGCGACAGCGTTTGGCGGGGCTTTGGCGTCGGTGACCTCGGCCACCTGCGCACGAGAGGCGCTGAATTTTCCGACCAGCCAATGGCCGAATTCCAAGCCAGGGTCGCGGCGGTGTTTCTTCTCCGGATGGGTTTCCTCCAGGAAGAGGAAACCGACAACGATGCCTAGTACCAGGACGACAACGCAGACGAGGTTGGGCAGCAGGAAGGGGAAGCTGTCGAAGATAGTGCCGCGTTGGAAGAGCCAGGGATAGCTGTCGCAGGGTTTTGCCAACGCACCGCCCATCGCCGGACCAACGATAGAGCCCAAGCACCAGACAAATGGCATAATCGAATAGGCCCGGGGTTGGTGCTCCTTGACGGTCACGATCTCCGCCACCGTAGTCTGCAGGACGCCAATGTTCCCATTCAGGAGACCTCCGAGGGCTCGGGCAATCATGGCGACTGGCAGGTTGGGAGCAAATCCAAAGACAATCATGCTGATGGCGGTTCCAATCAGCCCCATGACCAGGACAGGCTTCCTGCCAATCTTGTCGCTCATCCGGCCCCAGAACATGCTGGCAGAGAACTCGGCAAACGTGAAGGACGAGGTGATCATTCCAGCGTAGAGGGCAATCTTCCGGTCATTGTCCGTCACGTGGAAGGATTCGACCATGTGATAAACGTAGGGGAAGATAGACATGAATGCGATTGGCTCGCAGATTCGGCATAGTGCTGATACAGTTGTCAGTTTGTTTTTCTTTTTCCAATCCATCGTTCAAGAAACCCCCCCCAGTTCTCCATGGCAATAGTCCAAAGTTGGAGACGATAGAAAAGAAAGACCAAATAAACCAAGCCAAAGCAAATAACCAGAAAAAAGAGGGGATGGGATGATTCTGTGGGAAAAAAGTAACAAATACAAATGGCAAACAAATCCATATTTGCCATGCCAATCAATGCACAAGTGCTGAAGGTCTAGGCGCAAAAGCAGGTAGTAAAACACTGTACGTACCGAGAACGAAAAGTTGGCGTAGAGGGAACGCGGGCCAATCAGCACGTCCATCACTATGCCGGCGGCCTTGTAAACATGACGGACCCTTAAACATCTTGTCGGAGTCTGTGAGTGAATGAATTGGGTTGGAGTTCTGTTGAGGTTCGAGCAGACAAGCTCGTCGAGATAGAGACCCGTCAATAGGGAATATCAAAAAGGAACGAAAACGAGATATAAAAAAAAAGAAAAAGAAAAAAATGAGAGCAAGTATCTTTCAAAAGATACCAGGTCGGTTTCACGGAATCGCAAGGAATGTGTCTTTCGGTCCAAATTCTCCGCTGTAACAAGAAGGGAGGGAATGCAATGATGATGATAATATCATGCACTGAAGAAAGGAGCACCTCTTGTTAAAGGGGTTTGGGCATTTCTTGCCCCCTGTCGAAAGATTGATCTCGGGTAATTCCTTCCTTTTTTACTTTTTTTTTTTTTCTTGCTTCCTGTCCGGTTTGGATGTTGAACTTTGGAAGGTGGTGACGCTGTGAGGACTGCAAGGGAATCACTTCATGCAAATCTTAATTGGAGATAGATACCCGCAGGAGGTAGATCTATGGAACTGCGATTGGGCGGTGGCGCGATCTGAGTTGCAGGTGGACGGGATTGGATAGTCGAGAGAGATGGGGATAGAAGTATACTGGGTAGGTATCGCCGTGATGTGATGTCGGAAGGAAGGTGAAGGTGTAAGAGAGCCAGGTAGGGAGTGTCAAGGGTTGGTAGAAGTATGGGATCGGGAAGAGGTAGAAGATAAGTAAGGTTGAGAGGTAGGTAGGATGTATAGAGGAGCTTCAAAGGAAGAGACTAAATCAACAGGAAGGATATGGACCGGAATATAAGTAGGAAGCTTAAGTGTATTTGAAATAAAATAAAAATAAAAAAACAAATGCAAATAAAAATAAAATCAAAAGATAAAAAATAAAAAAAAAAGAAGGGAAGGGGAAAAAGAGATAAATAAAAAAATCAAGAAATCAAAAATAATAAAATAGAGAAGGATTTGACCGGGAAGGGGAATTAAATGAAGTATTTCAAGTGGATAAGCTACTAGATATGTGATCAGGCGAAAGACTAAAACGTCAAACGGTTCAACATCACAATGGAACCCAATTCGGTTACAGCTGGACAGAACGAGAGACAGAGAGGCCCAGAGAGAGAGACAGAGAAGACGGTGGGATGCAATGTCAACAGCAAACAGTCGAGGAATAACAGGCCCCACTCTTGCGATCTCTGTTTTATTCATTTATTTGTTTATTTTATTTTTCTGGTTTTATAATTTATGATTTCTTTTATTTTATGGTTTTAGGATTATTTATTATTTAGCGTTGGTGGATATTTTATTATTCTGATTATTTCCATGCTAAACTGCCAGTATGATGCTTCCAGCAGACGGATAGACATACAGGAAGACACTAAGATGAGAGATGGGTCTGCGCCATCCGACTGGGCCACCACTTAGTGCTACATACCTGGACATGGATACCCAGACGGCAGGGGTCGGGGGATTGAAAGAGAAGGGGATCAGAGACCGATCATGAACAGTCAATCGAAAATCGAGATTGGAGATGGAAGGGGGAGAAAGATAGAGGGAATGAAAAGAAAAGAAAAGAAAAAGAAACTCAAGAAAAAATAGGGGGGTAAGAAAGAGGAAAGAAAAATAACAGTCATCATAAGAAGTAACAATGATGAGATCATAAGAGAAAAAAACAATAAATCGTAAACTAATAAATCCAGACAGAGAGAGAAAGGGACCTGAAAGGGGGTGGAGCCAAACGGCAGACAGAGAGAATCCGGTCACTCCATACATCATTTTAGGTACTCAAAACTAAATCTTCAGGTCGCTCTTTAGTTCGTTAGGTACGACACAGATCGGAATCCCTAGTACCGTACGTACTGTACTAACCTCAAGCCATTCGAACAATCAATAATCAATCAATCAAGCGCCAGCTGACCCGGAAAATCTGCCCTAATTATCTTTCCGTTTGCATCCCCATCTTGTCTTCCGATGATCAGGATGATTCTTCCCCAAGCTAATGGGCCATCACATCATATCTTGATGGGAGAAATGGGGAGATCAGATTTCGGACCCAGCTGAGTCGATTCATCTACCTACTTTATTATTTATCATTTCTTCTCATGTTTACCCAAACAACAAAATAAGAAGATAGCACATAACAATCCATTCAATCAACATCGTCGTCACCATCTTATCACCATAAAGAATCAAAGAAGGGAGAGAGACAGAGAGAGAGAGAAAAAAAAAATAAAGAAATAAAGAAATAGAGCCGCCCACAGATTAGCCGGTAGTTTAGTCGACCCATCGACTTGATTCCTGGCTCCGGGGAACCGTGGAAAAGTTGCCAATCTCCTTCCTCTGTAGAAGCGCGCTAAATCCGGCCCATAAGGCAAGGATGATCGGCTTTCCAGAAGTCTGGTTTAGTGTGACTTAGTGAGATGATAGATCTAACGCACCCCTCGCACCCCTCCACTTCTCTCTCTGTCTCCTTGGGTGTCTCGCCCCGAGTCGATGTTGCAAGGTAGACCAAAGATCATAACACTGTCAAAATCTAAAAGAAAATCTTAATCACAATAATGATAATAAACAAATAATATATAGCAATGGATAGAATAATCTAATCAAAAAGGAGAAAGATGAATCTCTCTTTCAAGGGTTCTGTACCTTTCCGCCGGTCCACACCTTCGGATTCTGGAAAACCAGCCGGTTTCCACATCCATCACCCGCCTGTGGATAGTCCCACGGAACAAGCTAAGAAATGAAAGCCAGAAAAGTGGAAAAGAAAAGGAAATAAGAGGATAAATAAATAAATAAACAGTGATCATATGGGTGGGGAGAAAAAAAAAAGGGATGGATCACCTTGCTGAACTCACCGCGATGTGTCATTTATCTCGGGAGTTCGGGTGGTCAACCAGCCAGGACGGGGTTGCACAAAACTAGGGAGGGAGACTAACGGCCGACATCCGTTGATTATGGACAGGTAGAATTAAGGGATTTAATGGCGATTTCTGACAGCTAAGTCTCTGTATCGAAAGTGAAACTGGGCAAAGAAGGCAAACCAAACAAAACAACATTAACCATCATAATGACGATACAAGATAGAATGAAATAAATGAACAAAGGTAAGAATAAACCAGCAGGGTCGGATATTAGGCATGCATTGTTTAGGGTACTGATAATATGCGGTGTATCCCAATCCCCCAGCATCCAACCACTCACAGCCGGAAGAGGTGAGCTTTTCGTCGGGAAGTCGGGCTCAGAGAGGGCCTGAATGGGAGAGACTAGAGAGGGTGATGATAATCCGATGTGAAGGAGAGAGGGGGGGCCTGACTGAAAGGAGGGGCGTAGGACAGGACAAGACAAGGAACAAGGGGAAGAAACGAAGAAACGAAGAAACGGTCTCGTAATGAATCGTAAGAAAGAAAGGGAAAAGGTAAAAAACCAACAAAAGGTATAACTCCCCACTGTCATTGTTCGAAAATCAGTGTGGGCCCGATCATCCATCACAACTGCAAATAAGATATGAAGGTGAGCAAGCAGTCGAGCATTCAGCCCTTACGGTGAGGGAGGCGCTATTCCTCTCGTTGCTTGACTTTTAAGTGGGCCGAAAAAACGGGTGGTTTAAATCGGGGGGAGAGAGTTGATTGACAATTAGTGCGAACATGACTCTAAGATACATAGACAGATACGGAGAACAAAAGAATTGTCATTCATTCATTCTTGCTTCTTTGTAGGGAGTTCGGGTTCTTAGCCCGACTGATAAATTCGATAGATACGGTATCTACGAGATTCATGAAGATCTTCTGATCCGAAAGAAACCAAACATAAACTCCTTTGTAAGAATAATACTGTGCCTGGCAAATTACCGGAAAATGGCCACCCCACCAACCACCTTGAAGGGTGGCGGTCTCTAATCGTGAAGAAACAGAATGTCAAGCTTCCGAGGACTCCTGAGAGAAAATGGCAGTGTGATACATACAGATACACTCTGATCAATACAATGATATGATAGCGATTGGCAGTACGATCCAAACTCTATTCCATCTCCTTTTCTTTTCTGATTTTCATGCTATACCCCGCTAGTCAGGATAACAACAATAGCATACCTAACTCCCAAACAATGAAACCCAAGACAAGACAGACAATCCTCGGATTGATGGATGGATACCTAAAGGCCAGCTACCGTTTGACGTCACTAGACAAGTATCTACATCTTAAGTATTGGAAAATCCTCCACAACTAACTGACTAGTGTGTCGCGTCTAGCAGTAGCCTTTGATCCTGTCAAGACAACCATCACTCCTGAAATCCCGCCCGATTCCCCTAGGTTGAAGTCGGAAACACGGTACCCTACTAGTTCGGAGCGTCGAACCATGGATACATGCGCTCTGGTACAGCGCACATAGTTTGGTAAGATATAAGGTATGTATGGTACAGCGGATCCTCCGCACTTTTCCCAGCAACTGAAATTCTGCGCTAAATGGAACGACAACTGATGGATTGTCGTTGGGCCCATCCATCCGAAAAGTCGGTAAAAGATTGCTTGAGCGGGGTTGAAAGATGGGAAGAACAAGGGTTACTATGATTGGATTGCTGGGGTACCTTATACCTTACTGTAGTCCGGCATTCCTTAAACTTTGACTTAATTAATATGTTTTGAACATTTTCATTATCTGCTTTCAGATCATACTATCGTAGCGTTCATTGTAGTAGGTATTGTTAGGTAACTCTGACGTAAGGCACGGTAGGTACTAGATACAGAGTACGATACCGAGTTGAAACCGCCCGCGTTTGGCCAGATTACCGGATTAGGAAAACAATATGATCGTGTGGGTGGGTCAGGGTATAGTGCCTGGCCTAGTGCAGCTCTGATCAGGAGCCACGCGAGTTAATTAAGGGTCAGGAGGAGAGAAGAAGAGTCAAAGAAGCCAGATCGAAGGACCCTCCCCAGGGCTCCAGCTGCAAGTGATAGTTTGACCCTTACGATTGATGCTCTATTATTCCGGTATGGGGGGGGGGGGGGGGAGTCGGTCAACTGACCATACATCTTGCTAGAAAATCAGCCCCAAGTCAATAAAAATGAAGGTGGGGTGTAAAAGAAGAAGAGAAGACAGAACAAAGAAATAGAAAGAGGGGGATAACAGTCACGAGAATACACCGAGAAAACGATGAAACAATGAAACCGCCCGACAAGATGAAAGAAAATAACACGAACACAAAACAGCGACGTCATCGCACCTTGACAGCAACGCTACTGACTGTCTTCTCTCCCAAACCTCTAATTTTCTAGAACTCCATAACCCCAGATGTGCTGACCTGGCAAGTCCGTTCTTACCCTACTCCGTACAGCAATATAGAAGGAGAGGAGGGGAAATTCATGCCGCCCACGCGGGGAAATGCAGCCTAATCCAGGTCATCGTGAGAAAATAAATTAAAGTGAATTATGATATTTCCAAAGTCAGGGTCAACTGGTAGATCCCGATGACTAGAGAGATAGAAAAAAATAGAAAGTAAAGTCAAATAAAAGATAACAGATAAGGCAAGCAAACACGACATCCTCCTGCAACTTCATCACTAGCCCCATTCAATTCCCAGACCAATACTAGCGCTTCCTTAAGAGCCCGATACGTCAGGTAGAAGTAAACACTACTGCTGCTCCTGCTGCTGCTACTACGATGATTACAAACAAAGCACCGAGATGGGTATTAGGGTGACGTGCGGCCAATACCCCCCCTCTATGCATGAAAGTATGAAATGCATATGGCCGCAACTTGGTTGCTTAATCACCATTGAGCGAGTGAAAGAAGATAACAGGAAAAGGAAAAAAAGAATTTCATACGTAAAAGAAAGGGAAGGAAAAGAGAAAGAGCCACGAGGACTGACTGACTCGTTCTGTAACTCTCCCCCGAGGTAATCCCGAACGGAACATATGAACATGGTCACTCACTAGTTCAAGAAACAAAAGCGTGTCCATCACGATATCCATTCGGACAGTTCGGAGATCAAAGAGCGGGGGATAGGCGAAAACGCATTATTAATATTAATAATAATGTAATCAAGCTTGGAAAACCCCGAAGTAAAGACGAAAAAAAAGCAATGCCTAACGAGACACGATCATGTGTATGAGGAACTCGTGCCTCCACGGAGTTAACGGGCTACAGGCGAATCATGTGAGCAATGTGCTACGACTGTCAACTCCAGCTGGCATACGGAGTAGCATGGCATGGCATAAGCATGGTGGTCGCCGCATCCTCTCGGGAATTATTGGCCGGTCGGGAAGATGGTGAGACAGCTAAAGCCGACTACGAGTTGGCAGGAGCTCACTCGGATTAGGTAGGTCAGATAGGCTATCAGCATCGGTGAGCTGGGAGGATCGTTGGGGAGTAGAATTCTCCGCTTCAGGATAGAGGGGGACCCTGCAGGTGCGATGGTAGTGGTGCGCAGTCCAGTCGGGAAGTAAGCAATCAGACACGACATCCTTCATCGTCAGAATCAGGATCAGGGTCAGGATCATCATCTCGACAGTAGGATTGGCAGGACCGGTGGTAAGCGGTGAGCGAAAGCATCAGGAGGGGAAGACAGAAGGTGGGAAAGACAGGAAGAGAGAGAGAAGAGGGGTTTGCATTGCAGCTTCTTGTCCTCCGAGCTTGGGTACAGATGACATACATCCAACAATTGGCAGTCACTGACAAGATCCTGGACGAGTTGTTGACTGTTGGCTGCAGTGCCCGTGCGTTTTTCCAATATGTCATTTATCATTATTATCATGTTCTATTTTATGTACCCCGATAGACTGATCTGTCCAGGCGGTTAGCTTGGGCAGAAACCGAATTTACGGGTGATTTTTTGACTTCATGCCTGGATGATTTTCTTTCAGACGCAGTTAGCCCTTGAATCATGCGGGCACCTCGGCAGTGGACCTTGAAAGGGCCCTGGTTCAACTTGCAGCGGCCGAACCCAAAACATACGGTGAGCATGACAACATGCCTAATCTGATACACAGCCACCATGGCGGTCTCTCGGAGCTTGTAAGGGCAGCAACTCCTTCTCGATGGTCATTGACTACTTTCTCATGCACGGCAGATGGGGTATTTTTTTTTTTTTTTTGATTGCTGTGTACAGGAATTAGCGGCTTGACTTGGCCACGATCGCACGGCGGGGCAAAAGTTACCATGCCCCGCAGTTCAGTACAACCATCGGTTTTGATAGGTAGGTTGGCTCCTTAGTTGCTATCGAGTCGGTGAACCCGCCGTCTCGCCGTCTCGTCGTCTCTGCCTACCTATACTCTCTCCCACGGAAACTGATCAGGCCATACTACGTACGGTAAATAGTCCGACAAAGTCGTTTCGTCTTCTAAGTTTCATCCAATGGTGAATGCATTGAGACTATTTGTCTTGTTGGGCTGACATCTACCCGCATCTCCTTCTCCTTTCTTGTTAGTATCTGCCCTATGTGTATGTGCTGCTGTCTTGTTGATCGCCGATTTGCGGGACTGACATGACTGCAGTCGGCACCATGCGTGTATGCCAGGAATCCCGTTTCACTGAGGGGCAAGCCCATTCAATGATCCTGTCATGACGAGATCAATGACTCCATTGACAAGTGGGGTGATTAACTGGTCCTCGTTTATTTCCCCTCCTCTCCCTCCCTCTCGTCCACCCCTCCCAACCCCACCACCACCCGCCCACCCCCTTTTTTTTTCACCCGCGGTTCAAACATCCACGATGTAGATGATACACATCTCCACCCACTATGAACTAGGACTAGAACTAGGCATTGGTTTTTATTGTTTCTCGCATGTTCTCAGCATCCAGAAGCAAGCCACGACGCCGTCGATGTGATTCTGTCGGTTTGCGGAAGTGGATCGGTTTCAAGCGCAGCTCCTGTGCCAGACTGTCGGGTCCGTTGTTGGGAAGTTTGCTTCAAGGTCATGAGTCTGACTCCTGGCAGCATTTGCATCGGGCATTGAAGCGGTGTCGCCCGTCGAAATGAAGAGAAAGAGATTTTTCCATCTCATTTCAATTTCATTTTTTATTTTTATGTTTATTTATTTGTTCTGTTTTCTTACCTCCCCTGTTAGTAGTTACTACACCCCCAACCTTCTATCTGGCTCTCAGACTGGGTGGGACTTACTGATGGGTCCATTGATCAGCAAGGATGGGCGGATGGATAAGCCGGCGACGTGTCACGTGGCACAGCGCTCACCCCCACGGGCGGTGGCAGAACGTCCGGTGTTCCGTATCGAATCCTTCTAGAAGGAAAAGGAGGTTATCCACTGCATCCATCATTCCATCCACATCAGATGGGCGTTTCCAAGAACAGCTGATGCTAGCGCGGATGTGGCGGGTCAGGAGTGGTCCCGACCCGTTTCTCGAGAATCTCGTTTCCACTTCCTTGGTCTGGGATCTGGTGTCTTAATCATTTCATTTCCTTAGTCATTTTACTAGTTTGCCTCTTCCGTGGTGAGTTATCAACCAGTGTGTGTCATTGATTGGGATGGATATTGGTTCCACCACAAGCAACACCATCCGATAGGTACAATATGATGGAGTTGGAGTTGAGTTGGGGTAGGAGGATACTATGACTAGATGATACTACTACTGAGGTACGGAGTACTCCGTAGAAAGACACGCACCGCTGACTTCATACAGATGAAGGGCTACGCCAGGATCACAATAGTCTCTTTCCTTTCTCGTCATTCATGGCGGATTAATCTACTCAGCTGAGGCATTCATCGAGTCATGACCCCATTGCATGCGACGACCACGCAGTATCGAGTAGATAGATAGATCCTTCGTAGTATACCTTAGGTCTACTAGTAGGTTAGTAGGCACGGCAGACATCATCCACAAAGACAGCCAGCCACTGACCACAGTGACCAACCATCCATCGGTGCCAACTAGAGAGGCAGGTACAAAACCCACGGCTCTGTACCTGGGACCGGATTCGCACCCCCGACCAAATCACATCTGTCCAACCGCCCCCACCCGAGTGTGATATGAAACAGCTCTCTCAGCGTTTTGGAACGCCATTCGCCGGACGAGAAGGGCGATGATGGTCGTTGGAGGTGTGGGGTGGGGGTAGTACCTTAGTGGTGTCAGACTTTCTTGACTCCGGGGAAAGCAACTTCGCTTCGGGTCCCCAAAGGTACACCCACCCGTGGTACTTGTGACGGGTAAAGTACCTACCTTGTTGTGGGTTCGCTTCTTCTACCAGGAACCGAATGGAAATTAAATAGTACGGAGGGGAGGCGATGGTTGTGGGTACGTTGAGAACGGTAGTGTGGTAGTGTACCAAGGTTCAACTCCATACTTAGTATGGACGGGACTTGTTATCCGTCGCCGCGGCATCGGATTATGCATTCCGATGGGGCCAACTTAAAAGGGGAAAGGAAAGGAAAGGCGGAAAAGTCAAGCGAATGGATGGACGGGGATTCCATATTTCCATATTTCCGGTTTTCGAGAAAGTCAATTGTTTCATTTGTTTATTAGACTTTAATCTATTTATTTCACTTATTATCTTAATTGAGTTTTTATTTATTAGCTGGATAAAGAATGAATGAATGGAATGATGAACCGTTCCCCTCTTCCCTGCAAACATGTTGATTGACTGATTGATTGATTGATTGATTGATCTTCCAAGACATACATACACACATGCATACGTACGTACGTACATACACACATACATACACATACATCGGTACATGTTCCGTACTCCGTACGTTATGTACATCGGAGTCAAGGGTGTGTCTGGTACTTTAGTTTGATCATCGTCATCTTTATCCTACGTCGATCCTGTCTATGATTGATTATTTCTGTTTTTATTTCCTTTGTCCCTTGCTTTCTTTTTTTTTTTTTCTTTTATTTCTCCTTCAGGGATAAACGTTGTACGGGGTTGGGGTTTTTGGATGGATCGGTCGATCTGTCTATCTTTGATTATCTTTACCGTTTTGAATGGTATTTTCTGTCGTTGGTACTGGTAGAACCGTACTTTTGAGATTCTTGCCTACCAGGAATATCCAACAAAATGACTTACCACTCATAGCATCTAGTAGATATTATCTACTCCCTACTGACTGGTATTTCATCTACCTACTAAGAGTAATGTACCTGTTACATATCTCTCCCTTGAAAAAAAGGAGAAACAACCCGTTCCACTAAAATCAATAGGTCCATACCATAACCCGGTACTTTGTTAATTTGCCCGAATCAACCTACGATGATGGCATCCCTGCCTCCAAGTCCAAAGTAATCAAACGACGGAAGATACTATTGTTTCCGGACCCACAAAGGATCGGCTTCCACCCCCCGGCTGCAGTCATGTGAGCTGCAGGAGAATCAACCTCCCCTTTCTCGCGGTACCAGGAACGCGCTCCCATTCGTCTATCGGGTTGATGGCTGCTGCGCTCCACTGTGGGACTCCCTGTCGTCTTGGTCGAACGGTCGTTTCTTTTTCTTTTCCTTTTCATTTTCTTTATTCTTTTCGTGCCTTTCTTTGATTGGGTTGGGGGTTCTTTCTTTTTTAGTGGATGGGGTCGAAATGATGTCGATGATGACCTTGGGGACGGCTGGGAGGGTTTGAATGGAATGCGCGACAAGCGTCCCGTCGTCCCCGCCCCTTGGGTGAGATAACCCATGCTTGACGCGTCGGGTTGTTGGGAAATGGTTGGTTTGGATCTATATCGCCCTGGCTGTGTCTGACGAGGGACAGAAGGATGGGATGAGAATGAAAGAATTTGACTGCTTGATCCACTGATGAATCCAGACTGATTGGTTGTCCGTGCCGATCCGATATCATACCTACCTACTTAGCAAACTACATCTGAGTAATTCCTCTATCACCATCGTGGCATTGCCGCGCCAACCTTGCCCCGGTTGACTGTTGGGTTTCATAACGATGCTATAGCCAGGCAGCCAACGGAGCCAACACACCGCTATCGGTCCATTCCATCAAGCTCGCACTGCATCCAGCAGCATGGAGTGTATGGATCATCTCGGACGCGGCTGAGACAGGCTCATCAGCAGCAATCAAGACACACGTTGCCTTCCCTGCGTTGGTCAGGCAGGCATTGTTCGCCTCATGGGGCTAAGTAACCTATATTTGGCACCAACAGGGAGGCGGAGGCGTAGGCGTAGGCGTATAGCAGATCATCTCTTCTTTCTCACGGGCTGAGCAAGATCGAATTATGCATGCCGTGCAGACCTGGATGACTCCCATCCTAAAACCACCTTATCATGTCTGTCGGTATTGTCGCACCAACATCCCACCAACAATGGGACAGGACCCACTGGGCGAAACGCTTCTCACCGTTTTCCTTTTTGTGATTTTTACTTTTTCATGTTTTGTTTTTTTTGTTTTCCAACAGTTGTACAACATCCAACGGGGTGTAATTTGGGCAACAACCGCCCGAAGTCACCGCTGGTTTGGTGTAACAGGCCACTGGAGGGTATGGACTAGGGATTATTGTATGTACGACCTTTTGCCTATCACGGATGCTGCAGAGATCACCAACCACATGATTGATAAGGGTCATCACGTCACCTTGTCACCTGTTACTCTGTCACCGCTGTTATGATCATCAGTGTACGGAGGACGGAGTACTCCGTCCTATAGTGGATTTATTTTATTCTTCCTCGATTTCTATCTCTTTTGATCATGATAGAACGATGTAGAATATACCAATAGAGTAGATCAATTCCATGTTAGCATTAGCTGCCTAGTATAGTCTACAGAGGACTATAGTGTAAGGGTGGAAAGGTAGAGTCGATCCAGAACCAGCCTCGTTTCTCTTGCATACCATTTGCACGATCTTGTCTCGGTGTTGGGCGGTGACAGCTCTGCAGGCTGCACAGGATGGTACTTTTGTCACAGGCCCACTTTCTCCCCGTCTGACCTTTGCCTCTAATGATAATCTAGACTCTCTCGGCTGAGACACCCATAGCAACTACCCTAGTGGCTAGCCTCAGCTATGTGCCAAGCTATACATTACTGGAAGGACAAAAAAAAAATACAAGACAGAATAGGAAAAGAAGGAAAAGAAAATCTAGTATGCAGCGTTAGTAGATGGATCCAGATGGAGCCGTTGATAAGCTAGTGAAGCTCGGATGGGGAGGCAGACAGGTATCTTGTCGGACAGTAACTGAGTCACTTGAGTAACGTACAGTAAGAGATGGATCCATTCATAGATGGAGAGATGGATAGATCGAGAACCCCGACTAGTGGAGAGGACAAAAGTACGCCGAGTCCACCAGTCTGGTACCTTTTCTTCGTTGATTATTTTATCTATTCTATTTTTTTCCTCTCTGTAAAAATTGTGTTTTGATCCACCATCCCGGTTCCAGACCGATCTGAATCTCCAATTCGTACCTTCTCTCCCATATCAAGTCGTACGTTGCATCGGATTTGCATCTCTTCTCTCGAATGATCTCCCTCCGCCTCCCCCTTTTCTTCTTCTTTTCTTTTTCTCTTCGCCAGGGATTCTCTTCGATCGGAGCGTTTCCGGTCCCCATGATTGGCCCCGTACATCTGTCATCATTGCATTCAGGCAATTTCGTCCAGGCTTGGCTGAATGGGTGGCGCCAATGATGCCACTGATAGCGGCGGATGGCGCATCTCTGTTCAGCATTGGAATCGCGAGCGGTCTATAATGATGTACATCTTTTTTTTTTCTTTCCTTTGTCTTGATTCATCCCAAGTTGGCTTTTGGTTTCATTTCTTTTTCCTTGTTAGTGGTTATTTTTGGCCCGTCTATCTTAGCTAGTCCCATCCCATGACAATGTGACACGTCTAGTTCAGCTTCCACTCAATGAAGTCGGTGAATCCTTCTTTCTTTTCTTTCGGACATGACAAGGAAATTGTATGGGCACCAACGGCCGCCATCCATTCCGTGGCTTCATGCGAACCGCCTACGTGCAGAATAGGACAAAGGATCTTTCTATCTCTTTCTTTCATAGTTGGGTAGCTACGCCATATACACAGCAAGTTGTGCCTCACTATAGCAACAACTAAGTATACACTCGGTAATCGGACCCCCATAGCGTCTCCCACTATACTATAGTGCAGTGCTAAGCTAACAGATCCATCCCCGATCAACACCGACAAGAACCCACACGTCCAATGAAGCCCCGTCCCGGATAGTGTGTCTCCCCGCGAAACATCCCGCTAAAGAGGAACAGACAGACAGACAGACAGACAGACCGGTCAAACCGATCCTCGACGCGTCTCCGGGAAGAAGGGAGAGATAGATGATGAGTCGGCTCGTGCGTGACTAGCGCCTCGCATCCCGGAGCCGGTCGCGCAATAGTTTTCCTTTAGCCTTGTCGCTATATCTGCGTCGGCTCTGGGGTTGGTAGGTCCCGGCGCTATATTTATAACATACTAGCCTGGGGATGATGGATGGGGGAGCCGATGACGGCTATTCCTTTATCATGACGCTAGATGCCGACTCTGACTCCGACACGAGATTTATGGCGATCTTCTGCTGGGGTGCGTCGCTTGCGGTTCTGTCAGCTGATGATGGATGGATCTTATGGATCCGTCTTACTGGCGCTATTGTTATGGGCTGGTGGAGAGAGATATCGCCGACTGGGTTGGAACTTGGAGGACGGGTTGGTGGACGGGCTGTTGGCCGTGACTGTCTAGAATCTACGGCTCAGGCCGGCGCGCTGGGCTGTCTATTGCGTCTGATGCACCCTGAGAATTGTAGAGTATTAGCTTGGATCTAGTCTAGATAGATGAGGGAGGAAGTAGTAGTTCAATGGAAGGGTAACTGTCTCGGATACGTAATTGCTATCATGCTGCGGTTTTCGATGCCTTCTGGTTTGATGGTTCTTTTGATGCCTTAAATTAGAAAAGGATTGTTCTACACGGCGGAGGAAATCTATCACTGTTTACAAGTTTAGTAGTGTGTAATCGATTTGAAGTCGTTGATACTCTATACTCTATATATATATTGCGCCTGATATTCGAATGATGATGTCAACTTCCGCCGTGATATATATTCAGCACAAGTAGATCCTGACTTGCTTGCACTTGAGTAAATCATTGACTCATTATGTTCACTATAAATTCATTCCATCAGTTGGAGAGACACTCTGCTGTATACTAAGAATTGTTGATGGTTCCTTCCCCGCATGACGTTGATCGCGTCGGGACAGAAAATGAAAACTCAAAGCGAACGAAAGAACAAACATCCTGTCAACAATACCCTCATCGCATTAACAACCTTGGATTTATGGTTAACTTATTTATCCTCCAGAACTTCTACCTTATATAGGTATCAATTTGATCTGAATCGCTCTTCGCCTGGTGATCGCCAATCGCCTTTGATCATGGTCTATCTCCCTCACCTCCTCGCCTCCGCTTTCTCCGCTCTCGCACACCCGGCCGCCGATGACCCCATCTTGCAATGCTTCACTTACCACCCCGAAAACCACCGTCACCTGATCCTTGGTTCCTCAAATGAAGCGCTTCGCTTGGCAACAGAGAAGCTCCACGCTTTCCCCTTCAAAGATGTCGAGACCTGCTGGCGACGACTCTACACGGACGCGAGCATCGCCAAAGCCTGTCTGCAGGTGGTCGATGGCTGCGGGGTTCCACGCGACGGCATCACACGGTGGTCCTCGATGGTGGAGCCCTTTTTCTCTCGCCTGATCCTTTATCTGAGCCAAGCTGTTCCCCCAGAGACCGAAGAGGGGGAAACAAACGGAATCTCATGGAAGATCAACCCCAATGCACCATGGCTCTCGCCCACCATTCACCTCCTTGACATGGCCTCGATCATGGCCGGAGCCCCCTGGCGCGAATCTCTCATTGAGGACTTGCTTGATGCGCTGCAGGCTGCGACAGTGAGGGCGCCTTTGCATTCGGATCCTGAGCAGCTCACGCGCGACGACTCCGATTGCGCCCGCTCCACAAAGCGTAGAAAGCTATCTCCAACCCTGTTTCCGCAAGACGCGATCCCCGCACCGGAGCTCCAGTACCCCATCCCGCGTGTCTCGGCCCCCACATTTGACGCCATGGAACACCATATCCATGAAATTAGAACCCCCATCGTTATCACCGATGCCGTCGACCACTGGCCGGCCTTGTCTGATCGCCCCTGGACGTCCAGGGACTACTGGTTTGAGAAAACATTTGGTGGTCGCCGGCTGGTTCCTGTTGAAATCGGTCGGTCTTACACAGACAATGACTGGGGCCAGCGTATCATGGAGTTTAGAGAGTTTGTTGACCGCTACGTCTGGCAGGGAGCTTCGGGCGCGGGGCCCTTTCAATCGAGACCTGGCAATGATAACAACCAGGAGAGCAGTTCGAGCGAAGGCGAAGAGCCAGTGACCGGATACATGGCGCAGCATAACCTGCTGGGACAGATCCCCGCCCTGCGGAAGGATATCTGCGTTCCAGATGCCTGTTACATTGACCCGCCTGCCCCGGAGCCTGGGACCCCCGTGGACCTGAAAAAGCGCCAGGAAAGAGAAGAGAAAGCGGAACAGGAGCGGCGCGGCAGAACACGTAGTGACTCTGACACGGCATCGCACCCCCAAGACCAACGCGACCGCGCGAAATCCTCTTCTCCCTCGTGCACGGGTGACCCGATTCTGAACACATGGATCGGACCTGCATGGACCATCTCCCCTCTGCACCACGACCCATACCACAACATTCTCGTTCAGGTAGTCGGCGCGAAGTACATCAGGCTCTACTCCCCCAAAACCCCCGCCTGGCGGATCCATCCCAAGGGGATGGAGCCCGTCGGTGATCCCAACGAAATAGTAGACGAGAGAGGCCCCCTCAACGATGCAGAAAAATCATCAGAAGAAGCGACAGAAAGCCAGTCCAGCTCCTCAAACCACAGCTCCAGGCTCATCGACATGTCGAACACCTCGCAGGTCGATCTAGCAGCCATTGAGCTCTCCCCGGCCGAAACAGAGCACTGGGACGAGATGTGGCCGGGCTTTTTGGGCGCGGAGTACGTGGAGACCGTGTTGAAGGAGGGCGAGTGTCTTTATATTCCTGTGGGGTGGTGGCATTATGTGAGGGCCTTGAAGGCGGGTGTGAGTGTTAGTTTTTGGTGGTGATATCTTTCCTTCTTTTTCTTTTTTTGCCCTTGTATCTTGTTATTGGGTGTGAGGTGGATTCATGCTGCTGGTTATAGATATTATTGTCTTGCTAGAAGGAGTATGTCAGCGCCTGGGTGTTATTATTCCTTCATCGTTTCTTATTCTAAGCTCATTATGCTATATCATACTTCTTTGACTTTCTTGAGCTATAGACGGTAAGCTGTACTTTGTTCAATCTAATCCATCTATGAATCTGCGTATATACATTTATACAGGGTGTAAAGCTTTGTCTAATCATCCTTGTAATCACCACCATAATCATACCACAGCACAAACAAGCTCATATGCCCTATCACCTACAACACGAGACACTACTATATCAATATAAAACATACCCCACTCACTATACACATCATATCACATCAATGGTACACCCTTAAACCCAAGCTCAATAATGTAGTACAAGATCAACCCATCCGCACAAGCATCAACGGCTTCCCAGCCTCAATAGGATCCCCAGACTGGACAAGGACCCTCTCGACAGTAGCGCCCGCAACGTTGGCCTCGGCGCGCACTGCGATCTCCAGTTTCATGGCTTCGAGGATGACGACCACGTGGCCTTCGTCCGTGAGGCGGTCGCCGGGGCTGACTTGGACTTTCCAGACGTTGGCGTTGAGGGGGGCTTCGATGGGGGTTATTTTTGGGTCTGTTTTTCCCTCGTGTTAGTTTTGGGAATACTTTGCATGGTTGAATGGGAGAAAGGAAGGAAGGAGGAAGAAGAAGAAGAAGAAGAAGAAGAAGAAGAAGAAGAAGAAGAAGAAGAAGAAGAAGACAAACCCTTAAGTAACTCGTCAATAGCATCAGCTGGAACACCCCTTTCTGCCTTCTCAGCAGCCCATTTAGTGAGAAGCTCGCTCTCGAGGTTGTCCATTTCAGCCTGCGCTTTGCGCTGGCGTGCGCGGATCTCAGATACTTCAGACTGCGTGTCCCGGAGAAGTCTGTTGTGCTCTGCCATGTCAAATGTAACGTCCTCCCACTGGTACTCGTAGCGGCCGCTGTTGAACAGCGCGAGCTGTTTCTCGTACTCGGCTTCGCTGACGCGGTAGAAAGTTATCTGGTCGAAGTCTTCGAAGAGCCAGGGCTGGTTTGCTGTGTAGCCCTTCTTGGAGCCCAAGATATCGACGCCTGGGATCGTCATTCCGGTCATTTGGTACCCGCCGGGGGAGTCGACGTTGTATAATCTGGGTTGGTTAGCCAGCTATCCTCCTGGATAGGGATGGGTGGGACGAGAGGTGGTTGATGACGTACGCCATGCAGCTTCCTCCCCATGATATCGACCCTGCGGGTGTGTAGACCCGACTGGGATTCATCTTTGGACAGTTCATGCGCTGTCGTGGATCGACGGGGAGGGACAGCGGGAGCGCTGTGAAGAATCCGACGGCGACGACCATGAAGCTTGCGCTGAGGTAGATGTGTTGGAACTCTTCCATGGTGAAGGCGTTGTTCTTGGCGACGAAGGACATGTTGTCGGGGAGGTAGGAGGCATAGGGCCGCTGCGTCTCCATGTATCGCTGGAGTGCGTCCTTTTGTCTCTGGCTTTCAAAGGTGAGTGGTAGTTTGAAGAGTCGGCTGGGCATTTTGGCTGTGCTGAGGTCGCCGAGTTGGGCTTCGATATTGCAGAGGTGGGTGACGAGGTCTTTCTGGGGGATCTTTGCGCCGTTGTAGTAGAGCATGAGAGCTGGAAGGGATTAGTATTGTGCCCCTGTTTGTGATTGCGGAGGACGACGTACAGTTGCCACATCCCACCATTGCGATGAGCCCGGTTGAAAAGTTTATGTCGCCCGTTCCATCGTTCAGCGCTTTCTTGAGAGCAGTGACTCGGCAGCGGTGGTTAAGATCAAATGCGCCTCGTCCATAGTCGATCAGGATGTAGTCATCCCCAGCCTGAAAGCTCAGTCAGTTTCAGCCTGTAGACGGGGATATACGATGCCTTACCTGTCGATATGAAACAAGTGGCTGATTGCCCTTCTCCTGGATCTGGTGGACGACACCACTACCGCGACTATTAACTGTCACTTCGGGCGGTAGATCACTTGAAATGGATGTTACGTCGCTCCAGCCACTCCCCTGGGAACAGCACTGAACGACCTCACTGACGAATCGTTCAACGTCATTGCGGGAGGCTATGGCATCTGCCAGGGAGGTAGCCCTGTATTTGAGGGTATCTCCCGCTTTCACCTGTCCTAATTTCCAAATATCTGCCTTCACAATAGTATGACTGCTGATAAACCCGCCAAAGTCCGGTGCATCCTGTGGGAATATAACGGGGTCGTCCCCGGTCCAGTTGAGCGAACCTATAGCGTATCCATACTCGATCAAGTTGGACGGGTGAGCGCCGCCTTCGCCTCCGTCTGAACGTGCCCAGGTGGGCTTGGGGCCGATGAGTCGGATCCCACCTCTTGCAGCGTTATGTGAAACTTTCCATTCGGTGGTATAAAGCATGTCGATGCTTTCTGGCACGAGGTAGCCTTCGTCGTAGGGCCCAGGCATAGCCAGTAGCTCCCAATGACTTGGGTACTTGGGGATGAGGTGCTCTGGGAGACGAACGTCCACATCGGTATCTGGAACCTGGTCCGTGATTGAAAGGAGATCACCCGAAGCAAGCTGTCGACCTTGGTAACCTCCTACTCCGACCATAGGAGAGGTAGATTTGGATCCGAACCATTCAGCAATATTTGAAAACCCACCGTACACTGCTAGATAGGCTCTGCAGCCATTTCCCAACGTTTTGCCTACCTTCAAACGCTGACCAGCAGTAACTCGGACCTGGGCCCACATCGAGATAGGACTGCCGTCGAGGCTGGCCTCAATCGGGGCTCCGCAAAGCGAGACGACCGCTGGCCCCAAAAAGCGCAATTCGGGTCCGCTGAGGGTAATTTCTAGCCCTTCAACTCCGACAGGATTCCCAACCAGCGCGTTCGCAATCCGGAAGGCCAAGGGATCCATAGGGCCAGAGTGGCAGAACCCACGACCGAGAGTAGGACGACCAGGCCAGTCCTGAATGAGCGTATAAGCACCCCCAGAGAGCACGTCCACAGCCGAAATCTTGTACTCGAAGTTGCTTAGAAACTTGGTAATCGTGTTCCCCGAGGCAAATCTCTCATCGGCGAGGATTGCGGCCAGAAATTGTAAGTTTGTTGGGGGGCCGCAGATTCGTGATTCTTTCAGGATTGTTTTCATTCCCTCAATTGTCTCCTTTCGGCTGGGCGAATGAAACATGATTTTTGCGAGGAGAGGGTCTGTACCTCGTTAGTTACCTATCCCAGGGTCTTGATGTATACCACCGACATACCATAATTCGCCGACACTTTGATTCCTCTGTAAACCCAGGTGTCGATCCTGGACCCCGGCAGCTCTTTCCACTCGACGCTCTGCAAAGTTCCTGGACACGGTGCGAAATCCTTCACTGGATTTTCCGCATAGACTCTAGCCTCGATAGCACTACCAGACGGCGCATCCGTGGGCATCGAAGCAAGGAAAGCTTCTTCTAAGCCCGACTTTCCAGAAAGTTGAGCGTCCGCTTGCTTCAGCATTAGCTCCACCAGGTCAAGCCCATAACACAGTTCCGTGATTCCATGCTCGACCTGAAGACGGGTGTTCATTTCAAGGAAAAAGAACGCCCCGGTCTCGTCGTCCACGAGATATTCAATTGTCCCAGCTGACGCATAGTTGATCGATTCGGCGAGTCGGACGGCAGCCTTGCATAAGTCTTCTCTCAAACCGGGGTTCCTTGTGACAAACGGACTCGGGCACTCTTCGATGACTTTTTGGTGCCTTCGTTGGATCGAGCATTCGCGTTCACCGATAGATATGGCTTTACCGGCACCGTTACCGAATACCTGAACCTCAATGTGATGGCTCGATGGATAGTAGCGTTCGATAAACATCCCGGCATTCTTGAAGAGAGCTTCTCCTCTGGACTGAACGGTCGCAAACGATTCACGAACTTCCTTCTCCGAGTGGCAGGTAAGCAGGCCCATTCCACCGCCGCCAGCTGTGGCTTTGAGCATAACCTGAGCCATATTAGCATTGCGTGAAAGAAGTGGACTGGACCGTAGAATTGAACAATAAAAGTACCGGAAAGCCCAAGTCATTCGAAGTTTTGACGGCCTCATCTTCACTCGTTACGAGCCCCAGCGAGCCTGGGACAATAGGGACTCCAGCTTTGGTAGCTAAATCCCGTGCCGTGTGCTTGAGTCCAAATGCCTCGATACTCTCCGGGGAAGGGCCCGCAAAAACCAAGCCAGCGCTGGACACGGCTCTCGCAAAATCGGCGTTCTCAGACAAAAACCCATAGCCTGGAATAATTGCGTCGGCGCCAGCCCGCCTGGCAATTTCAATAATTTGATCCCTGTCTGTTGTTAGAATAGCTACGCTGGGTATATTCTTTACGGATATCGGTATACCCATCGATGTATGCCTTGGAAGGCGACCCCGAAAGCAGAAACGCCTGGTCTGCTAGATGAACGTGGGACGAGGCAGCATCGGGTTCGGTATAGATAGCGACTGTGTGGAGGTTTAATTTCCTAAACGCAATCAATCAGCCACCTTGGATCGAGCTATGGAGACGATTTATCATTCGGCCTTCAGTGTTGCGTACTTTGCTGTTGTCAAGATCCGAACCGCGATCTCGCCACGATTCGCGACGAGCAACGTTTTGAGTGAGTGCATTGTAGGTAGGGTGCAATCGAGAAATGATTTCCCAAGGCCTATGTTCTCGTTGGAGACATTGCGCCTTATATGGGAAGGGCCTTACCTGGGGTGCTTCTCTGTCTGCGGTTCTTTTAGTCAGACAGGAATCGGCGAACCGGCGAGTCGGTATTATAACCCAATGGCATTTGATGATTGCACCCGATAATGACCGCCAAGGCTCATGATGTGGGTGAGTTTGGGGTCAATGTGGACCGAATGGGATTGGGGAATGTGGAGAAAAGTGCGGAGTTGCTCCTCCATGTGGCAATGATAAGGAAGAAAGCCCCCTTGGCCCGATTATCTATAAAGCGAGCGGAACCATGAACATTCGGAGTGTGGTCCAAAGTTTAAAACCCCGCCCGACTCAGCTTGGATAATAACAATTCCCAGCAACCCGCACACTCCTTATTTTCGCTCTTTCTCCGACGGGTGAAAAAAAGGAAGGAAAGGCATCGAAAAACTTATTGAACAACCGCAACAATGGCCCCAATACAGCACAAGGCGTTGATCAACTGCGATATGGGCGAGGCTGTAAGTCAAACCAAGGGTTGCTCTGTCTGGCAGTAACTATGGCGTTGACGCATTGGACAGTATGGCAACTGGGCCTGCGGACCCGACCTCGAACTCCTCCCCATGGTCGATATTGCCAACATTGCCTGCGGTTTCCACGGCGGTGATCCCCTCATCATGATGGAAACCGTCCGAAACTGCAAGGCTCATAACGTTCTTATCGGGGCGCATCCTGGACTGCCGGATCTTCAAGGGTTCGGAAGACGGGAGATGAAGCTTTCCCCCGAAGAGCTCACGGCCATCACCATCTACCAGGTGGGCGCATTGCAAGGTTTCTTGGACCGGGAGGGAGTCCGGTTGAATCACGTGAAACCGCATGGGGTGCTTTATGGGATGATGTGCCGCGACTATGAGGTGGCCAAAGCGGTGATGCAGGGAATCCCCAAAGGGGTCCCTGTTTTCGGGCTTGCGGGGACCCAGATGGAGAAAGCGGCCAACGATCTGGGAATCGAGTTTTGGGCGGAGCTTTATGGGGATGTCAAGTACGATGCTAAAGGAATGCTCGTGATCGATCGGAAGAAGAAGCCGTGGGATCTAAAGGACGTGGAACGACACGTGAGTCAGCAGGTGGAAGAGCAGTCGGTCACTGCGGTGGATGGGACTGTGGTGCAATTACCTCTGAAAGACTACCCGTTGTCAATTTGTTGCCATTCTGATTCTCCAAGCTGTGTGGACATCATCAAGACGACCCGAAAGGTGGTGGATGCCTTTAACCAAAAGTATGGGAAATGACCGTGTCGGCGATGACGTATGTATATACGGGCATGTACAAAATCAATAATATCGAATATTAGTGAAATTGCAAGTAATAAAAGGCCCCAGAAGCCAATTGACGTCGCATGTTCAATGTAAACCACTGTAAGGTACCTGTAGTGGGAAGAACAGATCAAGAGAAGCATGGGGATTCATCATGGACGAGGAAAGTGAAGTCGATGGATGGGCAGAGATTGAGCACCTGAGGCAGGTGTTTGGTTTTGATCTGTTTGCTGGATTTGTCTCTCTCCAGGGCCATTGATCCCCCATCTCCTACTCCTTATATCTACATTCGGATTTACCCGACATGGCCTTTTCTGTATTATTCCCCCTTACTGTCGCTTTCCGCCAAGACCTGATCTCCTCGTACATGGATCAAACTTACTCTTCCAAGAAATGGGATTATGAGCTTGTCTAGGATAGCTGTTAAGAGATCAAACCACCTAGTCAGATTGGATAGATCAAACATCAAAGACTCCACGAGATGGTTCAGCGCACGTCCACACTAGGGCCATCGACGTCAAACAAAAGGGTCAACACGAGAGTCAGCCTTGGGGTACGAGGACAGCCAAGGCATGCGACTGGCTGATTGGGACAATCGGTGGAAGCCACACAAAATCTGGAGACGGTTTGGAGCCTGTTAATGATCCAACAAGAGGTGCTAAGCGTTTCAACAGTGCCTTCCTCTATATGGTGACGATCTGATACCCTTGTTAGAGTGGATAAGGATATAGGCGGATGATTCATACCTGCCGTGTTAGTGTTAGCGGCGATGCAGAATGTTCCCCGCACCAAGACACTTGCCCAAAATAGGTTTAGAGTTGTCATTCGAAGGGCGTCGCAGATGCAGGGAGGAACATTTTCACCTTTCGGACGCCTAGCACAACTCCGGCCAGCCCCCATCCATGGATATCAGTACCTAACACAGGACGGCGAATGACCGAAATACGGTGCCCCTCATCCACCAGACACTAGTGTCTGTGGATACAGCTTCCCACAGGGAAATAAACGATAGCATGGAATCCATAGTTCCGCAGGAGACATTCTCCTCTAGTCTACCTTCTGGCGGACCCACTGCTGCTTATTCCCATATACTTGTGATACTCTAGCCGGCTTTATGTCTGGCTTTCTCACGTCGTCAACACATCAATCCGTCCATCTATTTTCTTGATACTTTCCTCAATTTTGCTTTGAATTCCAATTTCCTGCAATATTTCACGTTGTACTGATCATTCGTCTGCTCCATATCTTATTCGGATCAAGGATCACGTCGACGAATTCCTGAACTCTGTTTCATGGAATATTTCGATTTCAACGAGGCCTCCCATGGCTTTCACGGAAGGGACGATGATGTGGCTTCAGACCGCATCGAGGTTGATGAGGATGACAACGCGGCGGCCAACAATTGTACTCTTGCCCTGGAACAACCGCTAGACTTCTCCAATGATCCCCAGGAACCACCGGTGGCAGAACGAGACCCCCAGAGTACCTCCCATCCGACCGTGGATAATCGGGTTTTTCCCATGTTTCGTGCCAAAGATTCCTGTGACTTTTGCAGGAACATGGGCTTGGATTGTTTTGTTGCAACACGCGGAGTCATGCAGAAAAACGGCTGCACATGCTGCATATCTCTCTATCGCGAATGCAGTTTCAACCATGCGAAGGCACCGGGTAAATTCTTGGACACCTTGCACCCAATCAATGAGAACGTGGACATCCCTACCGGAGGTCTCACGGGAAAGAAGGCGCTCAAATCGCTCTCGGGCGTTGCAGTCCCGGAAGACTTGGACACTCGGTCGAGGAAGAGCACGTCTCGACTGTCACGCGAGGCTGTTCGCATCCTCAAGGACTGGCTCTACGAGCATAAAGACCATCCCTACCCCAGTGAGAAGGCAAAGGATGAACTAAAGGAGCGCACAGGCTTGAAACGCATCCAAGTCTGCAACTGGCTTGCGAATGCCCGACGGCGCGGCAAGGTTCGCCATGCCCCGCGAAGCAGCTCCCCCGTCCCGGGAGCAATTGACATCCCGGACCAAGACAAGCAACGGAGGGACCTCACCCTCATGACTCCAATGGAACGTTGGAAGCACTCACCCCCCGAAAACGAACCCGCCGCGACCACAGACATTTTGCGAGCCCTGGTCAATACTTCATTGGATTCTGTAAGGGAACGATCGTCCAATTCGGGTCACGTGCGTTCTTACTCTAGGGTGACTGGGTCTAGCAATGACTCAAGCCATGCCAACTCCAATATGTTCCACACCCCATCCGTCTCTAGCTTGGAGACGAGCCAGTCTGCCACTCGTTCCTCAGTCTCCTCTCTCTCTCTTGTCTCGGACTTCTCTCATCGGTCGTCTCTTGGATCGTGGGGCTCAATGGAGCGGAAAGAGCGTCGCCGCCATCGCAAGGCGTCGGCGCCCATCAACCCCTTCAACCAACAGAAAGCTCGAAGTGCCCGTATCTTCCAATGCACCTTCTGTGCCGACTCCTTCCAGACCAAGTACGATTGGCAGCGCCACGAAAAGTCATTGCATCTGGCCCTGGAGAAGTGGACGTGTTCCCCTCAAGGTGGGATCGTTCAAGTGGATGGTGCCAACCGCTGTGTCTTTTGTATGGCTGCAAACCCGGACAATGTTCACTTGGAAACCCACAACTTCAGCAACTGCCAGGAGAAGTCCCTGGCCGAGCGTACCTTCTACCGAAAAGACCATCTCAACCAACACTTGAGACTCATGCACGATGTCAAGTTCCTTCCTGCCATGGACAAGTGGCGCAGCAACACCTGCGAGATCCGATCTCGCTGTGGTTTCTGTGCCAAAGAATTGATGACCTGGAAGGACCGAGTGGATCATTTAGCCAGCCATTACAAAGACGGCGCTAGCATAGACCAATGGCAGGGTGATTGGGGTTTCGACCCCAAGGTCCAAAGCCTGGTCGAGAACGCCATGCCCCCCTACCTTATTGGACAGGAGCGGAGTTCGTTGGATCCTTACACAACTGCCGACAGCCTAAGTCGGCCGCCAGGCCTCAAGGTACCCGACGACGCCAACTGCTTTGAACGTCTCCAACGTCAACTCACTGCCTTCATCCATTCCCAGCTGGCAGGCAATGTCATTCCTACAGATAGGATGATCCAAGATGAGGCCCGGCAGATCATCTACGGGACCGATGACCCCTGGAATCAGACATGTGCCGATAACCCTGTGTGGTTGAGTGTGTTAAAGCGGGATTCCGGGCTGGCGTCTCTTCCCAAATCGGACCATATCCAACTCGACAATCTTGGGATGCGACCTCCCTATGCCTCCGATCACGGTCTACCACGGGCGCCCATGGAGACCAACTTCCTCGCCCGGACCTTTTGCTCCCAACCGATGTTCAATTCGGGGCCTTTCAGCTCTGGGATCCACAGCCCCGCCGCTGTTGGTACCGGGCAATCCTCCGCTGCTCCTAGCTTCCCTGGTAGCTCTTCTGGGAGCTACGTCGGGGGCAGTGGAGCGGTGCCCGTGACCCACCGCGCGGGATTGTCCGCAGACTTGGGGAGCAGCTATTCCCCCGGCCTCTCATTCGGGTCGACCCCTGCCAGTGGATCGGCTGATCCACTCGTGCAGATGGGATTCGAGCCGGCCTTTTTGCGGCGATTGGAGGAGAATTATGATGGGCTGCAGCTGGAAAACCTGGCAGGCTTAACTTTTGAAGACAACCCTGTCCCTGAAAGCGAATGCAAGACCGGGAATGCTGCAGGAAAGCTTCCGGAGCCGAGCCCCGAGTCCATCCGGATCTCGAACTCTAAGCAAGCCGACTTGATGGCGGTGGATGATCCGTGGGAGGACCCCGCACAAAGCATGCGCTATTGGGGATAGGCGATGAGGTATGGATGACGGCTGGGAATTGCGGACATGATCTATTGGAACTTTGGCGGATTCAAAAAGCGGTTAAATATTCTTTCCTTCTCATTCTCCCCTCTTTTATTATTCTTTGTGGACATATCCTGACCACGGCGTGGACATTAATGTTTCCCTGTTTCCCTGACCAAATTGAACATATGCGACACAGTAACATGCAAAATCAGAGACATTTACTACTGAAAACTACGGAATGGAAATGCAACCTAATTCCAAAACAAGTCGTATCAATATGCACCTTTCCGCGGCGTAGTTAGGGTCAGTGGCGTGTGATAGTACAACGTCGGATTTGTTTCAAAAACACACATGCGTGGCGGAGAATTTCCAGCGCTTATCGGGTTTTACTTGATCGGCCCCACTGCCTGACATGTGATGATCGGCTCATTTCCTCTTGTTTTCTCCTGCTTCTTATGCCTTTGATCTTACTCCAGTTCGTATTTTGCGTTGTTCTCTTTTATTCCTCCATGTTTCACGGTTGCAGGCCTCTATTTTCCTGCCGGATAGATTGTCGCCTTTTCGTCGGACCCCCACGGCAACCATGATCGTCTAGAGGGGCAGGTTCTCAACCAAGGGACTTCTTTCTCAGCCACTGTTCAGAGTCCATGGCGTCTATCAAGCTTTCTATCATTGCGCAATTTCCATCAGATTGATGCTCTTGCCTCTTTTCAGAGTTTAAAACCCCGCTCTTGCGCACCGCTATATATCCCACCGTGAAGAAGTCAAACACTCCAGCAAAATGGACATCCCACCACCACCGCTGGCCGATACCATGCTGTTTCCGCCACCTGTCCTGGGCCTCTTCCAGGTGATACCCGCCTCGATCAGGCAGCGGATTCCTAGCTTGTATTCTTCCGTGCAAGTTAGGACGGCCTTGGAGAGAACCGGCCCACCGGCGAAGGTGGGGAGAGAGTGGTCCACGCTGCGTTCCGTGTCGGAGCCAGAGCTCGACTACTATGGTACGGAGCCGATCGCCACAGCGGGGGATCTACAGCGTCCCCAGACTGCGCGGAGTACGGCTGTCGACCAGGTGTCTTGCCAGTCGCGGGTCTCGGGGAAGCACTCGGACTGCGGGGACAATCATCAGGTTGCTGACTCGGTGTCGCTGACGGCGAACTATGAGCCGCACTCTGGTATTGGGTGGAATCGAGTGACTCCGGGTTCGTATTCTTAGTTTTCTTGGGGCTGTATCACGCTAGGTTGCGCAGGCGCACTCGTAGTGAGTATCACCGTTCATTGCTGATCCTGGTTAATAGCGTTGAGCCTCCTGCAGAACTCCGGGAATGAAGCCCGACGACCCAACTGCGACGGCCGTCTGGCGCGATCCCTGTTCCTTCACGCACTCGGCTATCTCCTGGGCGCCCTTCCAGACGATCTGTCTCCGGAAGAAGCGACATCCCTGAAAAACAGCATCCCCGGCAAAGTCACGCGGTCTATTGCGTCGTCGTCGCTGGCCGAGACGGGCCATCCACCTGGGTCTCTGCAACGCCAGAGCGTACAGGACTCCGTGCAGCCGTCATGCGTTCATCGACTCCTCGCTTTCACGATCATTCAGTTCTCCCTTATCGTGCACTTTCTGATGCCGTACATCAAGGTGCTGTTGCAACACATGTACCAATATGAGCGGTCCCACCGGATCACAGAGCGGGTGTTCTCAACGGCCCTGGGCGCGGCCGATCATCTGGGAAAAGGCGGTTGTAATCTTGGGTCGAGGGTTATGACCATGCAGGAAGGGAAACTGGGCGCTAAGGTGTCGGGAGCGGCTGCGTGGTGGATGGAAGGCGTCGCGGGTGGGGTCTGCGAGGGCGTGGGGGAAGGAATGGCGATCCTGGGGTTTACTCGACCTGATCCTGACAGCACGGCGAGAGCGTAGTGGCTAGGAATTTGATTTACGAGCTTTAGACTGTCTCAGATGAGCAGGGCGTAATTGAAGTATTAGGATGGGTGTAATCATGGTTGTTTTTGGGCACTGCATGTACTATGAGAATGTACTATCAGCAAGTGAAACGTTGGTTCTCGTCTGTAACAATTGACTCTGATTCTAAGTATTCAAAAAATATATCGACGCTGTCTTCACTATCCAATACAGAGTAATATTTCCCCCATCTTGTTTAGTTTTCAGGTCTATACTTGCCCATGACACTATATACTACTGTTTGGCTAACCTCGGAGATAAGGCCTACGCTTAGCTCCGGGTCCAACCCCGATTCGAGGGCGGCTGATTCTCCGCGGCTTCTCCGCCATCCCGACCGCGACGCCCTCCACCGCATCTCGAACCTCAGTTCACCTCGAAACCAATATGTCGACTTCCAGATTACCCAACATCCCGGCCCTGCGCAAACATCAGCTGCTTCTGGAATTGTAAGTTTCGTCCAACTCGTCAATTCAGGCGATGCGATACTAATTACAACCCACCTGCAGCGCCAGCCTAAGACATGCTGCCCCTCCGGGTGTTTACGTGAGCCTTGCGCCAAATGATCCGACCCTCTGGAGTGCGGTTGTGTTTGTCCGCTCTGGTATGTTAACTGATGTTGTGCTATCTCTCCGGTCTGATTGCATCAGAGACAGTTTACCTGGTACTCCAGTCCCTTCAATCGCTGACACGTGTTGCATTGCGCCAGGCCCCTATGCGTCAGCCATCCTCCGCTTCCAGATCAAATTCCCTCCATCCTACCCCGACCTTCCTCCGCTGGTGACCTTCTCCACCGACGTTTTCCACCCGTTGATCGTGCCCCTCACCACATACACGTTTAGCACGAATGCGTCGAATGCGGACCCTGTTAGCGCCACGGACGAGGAGCGGTTACCGCCCGGTGGGTTTAGTCTCCGACATGGGTTCCCACACTGGTTCGGTCGGGCGAAGCGGAGTGATGTTACCTCTGACGGGTGCTCGAGGGATGTTAGTGTGAACGGGTCAAGTGATGCTGCTGAGACTGCCACGGCTGCTGGGACGGAGGACTCCAAGGCCGGCGACGAAGGGTCACCGGCGTCTCCAGTTGATGGAGACGGTGAGGCGACGCTGAGTGACACCACTATTTCACCTCCGGTCGATAAAGCTACAGAGACTAGGAAGTCTGTTCCAGTCCTGGTTCTGTTGGATTATATCAGATCTACCTTTGACGACGAGTCGGTTCTGGACTCGCTGCCGCTTGAGGCGGCTGGGAACCCCAGCGCATGGCATGCCTGGAAAGCCCACAGAAGAGATCATGGTGACAACCAAGCGCTGTACAGTTCCAAGAAGGGAAGCCCGCAAACGCGACTTCCTGGCGACTGGCATTGGGATGGGATCTGGGCCAAACGGGTCCAGGAGGAGGTGGAAGCGAGTCACTCGGAGGGGACCCTCTTTGGAACTTCGACTCGGGGTGGAAGTGACGATTTGGTATGCTTACACCTCGAAAGTCCATTCGATGATTATGCACCGAGATAGATACTGACGCAACGTAGGCATCGCAGATTCGCTTTTCTCGGCTAGACGACGCGACGTTAACGAATATCAAAGAAATGATCATTCCCCCGATGGAGGAGGCGCATGAATAAATAGACCGTCTGTTTTATTATACCCAAGATCGCAGATTACCAATTCGACATAAAATACTATACAGCGCTTAATTCCAACCCCAACTCGCTGGAAGGGTCCTCGCACCTCCCCACCTCGCCCCTTCCCAAGTGACACAAATCACAAACTGCACCTTGCAGGTAACCCGGCAAGACCAACGGCCCAAATGCCAATCTCTAAAGTCCCTATCATGGAGTCCTGTCTCGAGGCACACATATTACCTATCCATAACAATCCCCAATCTCTGTCCCGATCGCACTGCATGCAGTATTCAGCTCAATATGCCTAAGAGTTTATATAAAGTCCACCGCACCCCCATTATCGTGATCGCATTAGTCTTTATCCCGATCATCGTCCTCTTCTGCGTACTTGCTGTAGCGCTGTCATGCTCGGAATTCTGGAGCTCCGGACGGCCTAGCGCCTTGTTCGCGAAACTCACTTCCCGGATACGATGGACTAAGCGGTCTGGTCATCAGAGTCAGACTCTTCCGCCTCCTGTCCCGTCATGAAGCCTTCCTGGTGTGAGGAGTCCTGGGAGAGCGAGTCTTGGTTGAGTTGTGTTGCTTCTGGTAGTCATTTGTTTCGAATTACGCCCGGTGGATCGATCGAGTATTCCCGTTTGGACCAACACGACCTCTACACTTCGAGCGATTGCATAGCCGCCTCGTCTACTATTTTATATTCCACGAGATCGTTCGACATGGAAGCCTGGATCCCGAAGACCGAAAAGATTCCATCGCCTTGCGTGACCTGCTCGAATTGAAGTCTGTGTTTGGTCTCGCCATGGCCAACGGTGGGTGGAACCTGGAACAATCATGCAAGAGCAAGAAAAAGGGGAGTTAAGGCGAACAAGAACAGTCTATGCACCTATGCACTCTCTCGGTACCAACATGCAATCAACACCACCATCAGTTCTTCGACCCAGGTCAGGTACAAGAGCAGAATCTGACAAGTCGGCGATGGGAGGGCGAGACTATCACCACTAATGGTTGCATTGACTGTGCATCGGCCCCCAGCATACCCGTTTGTATTGTTTTCTGTCTAGAAGTCTGGCGCTTTTTATCCTTGGAAATGACATTGCATTGCACGGCATCTTGGTAGGTGTTTACCTGGTATGGCAAATAGAAGATATATCCATCATCCAATGGTTTGATCAACACATAAATAAGAGGTCACTCTAACCTGAAATGGCACGAAAATCAGCGACTCTCACCATACCAGATAGTAGACTATTGCACAACATAAATCATACGACGGGACAGGACAAGCCTCTCCATTAGGATCCACAAGGGCAAAAGTAGACAGCTTAAGACAAACAGACCAATTACATAGGGCCCGATCAAATGCCACCGACATACAGAAATAATCGAGTCACAGAGCCAATCGTTTCTCGCGTGGTAGGCCAATTGTCCAGTTGGAGTTGACGGAAACGGATGTGTTGTCGTCATGGTTGCGAAACGGATGGCCGGGTCGGGGATAGATCGAGTTCAGGTGCTAGGGTTGTGTACTACCTACATCTCATGCCACCCCCAGAGGAGTATTACTATCTACCTATAATCTAGTGCATTGCTAAAATAATATCCATTTCACTCTTTCATCTTTTCGAATATCTCTTGCTTAAAAAAATCAAGAAAAGACACTAATACCAACAGGAAAATGCCATCCAAAATACCCGGCGCTACAGACGACGACATCTTCTACGAGCCAGACTGGACCAAAACACACAGTCACCGCATCGGATTGTACAATCGCGACGATCGCTTCCCGGGTCTGACGCATGCCGGAGATGATTGGAGATCTGAGCTAGAGGAGGAGGCGGAGGAGAAGATCGAGCAGTTGAGGGAGAAGGTCGAGAGGGGGGAGTTGCTTACTGTGAGGGATTATTTGGCAAAGCAGCAGGTGAGATCTCTTTCTTTTTTCTGTCTTTGCTAGGCGCGTGAAGATGGGATCGGGGGATTTGTTGTAGAAGGATACAAGTTGATAGAGTCTTGATGTGAGTGAATAGGACTTCCATCTGCGACGACCGGAAGTACACCCGGAGCATTGGAGATATGTTCTCCACACGACGGAGAATCATATCAAAGAGGGGCAGCCGTGGTTGATCAACGAGAAGAAGAGAAAAGAGGCAGAGACCAAGCAGCGAGAGCAGCAGCGGCGACAGGACAGCGGGGTAGGAATAGACGGCGCCGCTCACCCAGAGGACGAGAGCAAGAAGTACACCCCCGAAGAGCAGGCACTCTTAGATAGCCTGCTCAAAGAACGCGATCATTTCCTAGCCATCAAACCCAACGACGGAAAGGGATCTTCTCCATTCAAAACAGGGTACTACGAGCCGGGCGAGATCGACGAGGCGGACCAGCTCACCCCGGACAACTGGGTCCCTCGCTCAGGCAACCTGATCCGACTGACAGGGAAGCACCCGCTGAACGGGGAGCCGCCGCTGACGCAGCTGGTAGACGCAGGGCTCATCACGCCGAACTGGCTACACTTCGTGCGCAGCCACGGGCCCGTGCCGCATCTGCTGTGGGAGAACCACAAGTTGGAGATATCGGCGGGGCGGTCGCTGACGGTGTTCATGGATGATTTGCAGGAGGATTTCGATAGCGTTAATATCCCTGCTATCCTCGCGTGCGACGGAAACCGCAGGAAAGAGCTGAATATGATCAGACGGTCGAAGGGCTTCAACTGGGGTCCTGGAGGTGTCAGCTGCGCGTACTGGAAGGGTGCACTTCTGCGAGACGTGCTTCTGAAAGCTGATATCATGCCGTTGATAGAGGCGCACAAGGGCGAGACGCTGTGGGTGAACTTCCAGGGATCGGAGAACCTCAGCGAAGGAAAGTACGAGACGTGTCTCTCGCTGGACTATGTCATGGATCCCACGAACGACGTGCTGCTAGCCTACGCGATGAACGATCGCCCCTTGCCCCCAGACCACGGGTACCCGGTGAGACTGCTGGTGCCGGGCTTTGTCGGCGGGCGCAGCGTCAAGTGGCTGGGGAAGATCTGGATCACAAACAAGGAGAACGACAGCCACTACCATGTGTACGACAACCGCGTGGTGCCGAGCTTCGTCACGGATCGATACACGGAGATCGGAAAGGCGTTGTATAATCATCCTAGTACGGCGTGCATGGAGCAGGTGCTGAACTCTGTCATTGCGCGGCCTGAACATGGGGAGAAGCTCGATGTGGCTGATATATCTCGCGGCAAGAGTACATACCATCTGCAAGGCATTGCGTATAATGGGGGCGGCATGGAGATCCAGAGAGTCGAAGTCAGCTTGGATGGAGGAAGTACATGGCTGTATTGCATTCGTCAGGTGAGTTAGTCCGACTTCACTGTCTGTCCGCTGTTGATATGGGCTGCACTCGACACAGTCGACATTTCACGCAGCTGACAAGCCCAGTACCCCGATAAACCACTACGACACGGCAGGAAATACTGGCCTTGGCTCCACTGGCATTTGGACATTGACGCCATGCGGTTCCTGCGAGCAGAGAGCATCATGGTACGGTGCTGGAACGCGAACAAGAACACCCAGCCCGAGAAGCCAACATGGAACCTGGAAGGGTAAGCGCATTGATTTTCTATGTACGGTTGAAAAAAAGCTGACGAGCACAGAATGATGAACAATTGCATTTACACAGTCAAACTGGAGCTAGTATCCGATTCCAAGACAGGAAAGCAGTATATAATGTTCCGACACCCCTGCGAACCAGGCACCGGTCAGGGTGGGTGGATGAAGCCAGCTGCAGAAGACCAAGTGGAGGATATGAAACGCGACGGGTCGACTCCGGATAAGCAGTTCACTCGCGAGGAAATCGAAAAGCATAGATCTGCTGATGACTGTTGGATTGTGGTTAATGGGAAAGTGTACGACGCCACTAGTGTGCTCAGCTGGCATCCTGGGGGCAGCGCATCCATTATGCCTCATGCGGGACGTGTCCATGCTGAGACGACGGAGGAGTTCGAGAGTATACATGATGACTTTGCACACGAGAAACTACAAGGTGAGCATGTCTTCTATGCGTGGTGCGAACGTGCTGACCGGGTGTACGCAGAATGTATCATTGGCGTGGCGACGCAGAAGACACAGGACTTTATTAAGTATGAGGAAGAGCAGAAAGCCAAAGAAAGGGCAGAGTCTATACAGAAGGATTCTTCGATCGCATTACGACGCCACAAGTATGCCCCCCACCTTGCAGTTTTAAATACAGAAAGCTAACCCTTTCGCACTAGATGGGTCCAGGCCAAGCTCATTTCCAAGAAACGCCTTTCCGAGGACACAAGCTGTTACACCTTTGCCCTGCCCTCAAAGGACCAAAAGCTGGGTCTCGCAACCGGCCAGCATCTTTTCATCGGGTTTCACTTCAAAGACCGCATGGTCTTTCGCTCGTACACGCCAACGCGACCGGTATCCTCAGAAGAAGAAGACGGCACCTTTGACCTAGTAGTCAAGACGTACGCTCCCAGCCCTGCCCAGCCAGGAGGCACCATGAGCAACATCCTCGACTGCATCGAGATCGGCGAAGAGGTCGAGATCAAGGGCCCGACGGGTGAGATACAGTACGAGGGCAATGGCAAGTTCCTCCTCGATGGCAAAAAGAGCACCTTTGACAGGATCACGCTTGTCCTCGGAGGCTCCGGCATTACTCCCGGTTACCAGGTGCTTTCTCGCATTTTGAAATCAGGTGGCAAAGACAAGACGAGGATCCGCGTGGTAGACGCCAACAAGACAGAACAGGATATCTTGCTGCGCGAGGAGCTGGATCGGTTTGCCCAGTTGTATCCGGATCAGTTTGAGGTTACCCACGTGTTGTCGGAGCCTGATAAATCCTGGAAAGGCGAGAAGGGCTTTGTGAATAAGGATATCTTGCACCGGTATTGCTTCCCGCCTGATGAAAAGAGTATTGCGCTTCTCTGTGGCCCTCCGGGGTTGGTTCAACATGCGGTGTTGCCTGTGCTGCTGGAATGGGGGTACAGCCAGGAACACAATCTTTTTGGATTCTAGTCATTCAGTTCTTATGTTGTTGTCTTGCACTCCTTGCGCGGAGTCACTAATAGGAGAGGAAGAAATGAACCTGCTTCGCATCTCTACATGGTCCTCGGGGTCAAGTTGTTGTAGATTTAGTGACCACCCAACAAGTCAATGCACTATGTAGCATCTGCAAAGTTCGCCAGTGTAGGAGCATCGTCCTCAATCGGCTTCCTCTCCCAAAAAGGTTCACCATCGTCATCAAACTCAGCCCATTGGAAGAAATTACACGTTTGCTTCCCCGGGGCAAACCCAGCATAGCACGTCCACATATACCGACCTCGGGTCTCCTTTTTGCGCTGCACACACCGTAAGATTGCATGTTGACCGCATTGGCACCGGGGGGTGTACTGCGGATGGAGCGAATCACGGTACCACCGGTATGTGACGTTGATGCGGCGGTTTCCTGACAAGGGGTGTGGGGAGATGGTTTGGGCAGGCGTGATGGCGTGCTTCCATTCTTCTTGCATTTCGGCATGCATTACCAGGAGAGAGTTATGCGGTAGGTGGATGGAAATTTGGCCTTGCACGTCGGCCCGTGTCTGTGGCGCTTTTTGTGGTTTTTGTTTCCGGGTTGGGTCCCCTCCACTGCCAGCGGTGGGCACGTCAGCGCTGCTGTTTGACGGAGGGCTACTTGTGTCTTCCTCATCTGGGGGCACAATGCGTCGGACTCGAAACTCCCGTTCGACTCCCAGACTGAGACTGCCGATTATGGCTTTTGGGCCCAGGTAGGTGAGCTCATCCGTGTGATACCCGACGCTCTCAGCCGGCCCATCGTAGCAGTTGACAAAGGCTGCGTTTGGTATCCATTCCTTGGGCGACTGGAAGCGAAGTTTCTTCCCACCCGGATATACATTACGAATTCGCTTTTGGACTTCATCGTTCACGATGCGCTGGACCTTTGTGGAGACATTCCGCATGTGAGGCGTGATTTGCCTCACGTTGGAGCGATACGTCCCGCCGTAAGTGTACACGGAAGTATGCTGCCGATGTTCCTCCGGTGTAGAAACGTACACACTAGCTGAATGTGGACTTTCCACAGTTTTGTCGAACACTTGGAACTTGTACCTGGAAAAATGCTGCGATTCGTCCAAGAGCTCTAGAAGAAGTGCATTGGCTTGCTCCGGGGGGAGGAAGTTGTGGATGATGGTGCATGGGGTGTGGGCCGCGACATCATCCGGAGAGAAAAGATGGAGGGTTTGCCCTTTTTTTGTAGGACGTCGCTTCGGCTCTGGAGTCCGATCCCCGGGTGTGGTGATGTGGGAGATTAGCGAGGTCTGGACTGAAGGACGCGACACTGCTCGCTTTTTGATTGGGGCTGCTGCCAATTGCTCCGAGATGATAGTCGCCGTGGCTTCAACAGACCCCGCAGACGAGACCAGAACATCGAGCAGAGTATCCTGGGACAAATCTGGAAAGAGAGATACGAGCTGGGCCAGCTTCACATCCGTTGACTCCTCTTCCAAGAGGGGGTTATCAGAGTGGCGTGGTGCATCTAGTGCCCCAGATGACGAGGACCGTGGTCTCTTTCGTGTCACATAGCGGTCCATCGATGCGGGGACAAGTAAATACTGTACATGGCTAAAGAACTCTGATGTCAAGAATGGTTGGATTGAAGAAGTTAGAGAAACCGAAGATATCCCATAAATACAAGCTGCACCCGATTATAAATACGGACACGTGATTGCTCCGGAAGTGGCCAATCAACGTACGACAATGTACTTGCACTTCATTACTCGATATGTCCCTTTTCATAAATGCCAAGCTCATGTTTTGCAACTACTAGACATGAACGCTAATGGAAGGCTCTATAGGAGGCCGCTGTGCACGCTTCGCTCGATACACTAATATGCAATCAAACCCATTCCCCATTTCCAATATACACCCTCCCGGGCCGGTGATAGCTTTGGAGTCCTTTTCCCCACTGCCGTAGACCATCAAAGATTTCCACCAACGAGGACAGCACGACCGTGGTCCAGCCAGGATAATCTCCTACTGCCGGATTTGAGTCCGTGCGGTAGAGATCCGGGAAATTCTCCTCCACCATTTTCACGGGGCACAGTCCGTACTGGGGCGCTTCCCCCTTGAACTCCGCATGTTCCAGTGTAGCCGCCAGGATGCCAAGGACCCAACTATCAATCACCAAACACACTCTCAAACGAACGGGCAGCTCAATCGCGGGTAACATCAAGGCGACTTTGAAGTTATGGAATGCACTGCGCACAGCGCCCTCACTCGCCTGCTGGAACATCTTTTGGCTACTGAAAAGCCGAGACGAATAGGTATGTACGAGCATGTCATGCTGCTGCGCTGTCCCGGGGAGGCAGCGCGGTAGCGCCTTTCGAATCTCTCGGGCGAGGGCGTGCAGGAAGATCGGGAGAAGGTCATCGGACTCAGGCGAGTAGATGGTCTGGTATATGATGGGACCCCAGGTCAGGGTCAGAAAGTCCCGCTCCGAACCTGGGGGAAGAGAACGCAGGCCGGGCTGCGCGCCCAGATCATAGACTTCGGTTTGAAGGAATTGTTTGGCAGCGGATGGCTCATCGATGGGTGATACAGGCGATGGGGAAGATCCACCTTGAAAGGACATCGTCCAGAACGAACGAGATGAGATACCTAGCAGTGAAGGAATTTTTTACCTACCGACATGGTTCATGCAGTTCAATATATATACTGTCGTTTTGGTTAGTGGATATATTTTCCACGGAAATCGAGTTCTGTTTTTCTGGGTCTCGGACGAGTATCATCGTCATCGATGGCAAATCCAAATATGGACTGTTTGTTTATTTGTTGTTCCCCTCGCTGATTGTGTTCTGGACTTTTGAACGAACGGCGTCGGTCCAGATGAGGGTATATGAGACATGGAGTTCGCCAAAGGTCCTCTGGGGATGATTGCAAGACGATCCCCAAGCTTTGCAGATCACATCCTCGCCCATCTGACAATGACGTCGGGGAAGATATGGGTTCATGTCATGTGATACCGATAGCGTGTATTATCCGACATAAATCACGAGTTCTGCCGTCTCGCCACTACGAAGAAACTGTGGGCTGTATTTCCATATTCCACATGTACATCGCACTGAAATTAGAATTGACCAAAATAGAAAGATCAAAAAGCTCTTCATAAAGTTTGGCGGAAAATTGGATGGACCAGAGTATCTCATCTTTCAAGGTTGTCTGGATCGCCACACGATCAGTCGACCAATTCTACAGGCGGTGAGACAAGCGGTGAAAGCAACGGCATATGTGCCTCAGGCGCAACCTCGGCTCAGCGAGTGACCCAATTTCCTCCATCCATCCTACTCCCCCGCAATCAATTCAACTCGACCACTGCGACGCACTCCGCTCAGTCTTATCCGACGGCCATGATCACTACCAACGCTCGCTAATTTTGGTCTGGTGCTCATTTCCCCTCCTTGCCTACTCGCCCTTCGCGTTTTTCTTGCTCTTGAGACTTCCCCGCTTCGCCGACTTCCGCCCGAACCATGCTCCACTTCCGTACCGAAGGCTACAACGGCTGTGCGGTCAAGTACTCCCCGTTCTTCGATAACCGGCTCGCCGTCGCCTCTTCGTCCAACTTCGGTCTCGTGGGTAATGGACGGCTGTATATCCTGGAACTAACGCCTAACGGCATTGTTCCAACAAAATGGTACGCGCCTGCCGGAGTCGGAGGTTGTCCCGCCGGCAGTCCTCCCCGCAGCCCACCTAGCAAGCGATATGCAAGAGATACTGACAGATTAGGTTCACCACGCAAGATTCGCTCTACGACATGGCCTGGTCGGAGATGCATGAGAACCAGGTTCTTACGGCGTCGGGTGACGGTAGCATCAAGCTGTTCGACATCGGCCTAAACGACTACCCGATCCAGAACTGGAAAGAACACAACCGCGAGGTGTTCAGCGTAGGCTGGAACCTCGTGGCCAAGGACCGCTTCTGCTCCTCGAGCTGGGATGGCACGGTGCGCGTGTGGTCGCCGCACCGCCCGCACTCGATCGCCACGCTGCCCACCCACAGCTGCACCTACTCCGCGGCCTTCGCGCCGCACTCGCCCGACCTGGTCTCGTGCGTCACCTCCGATTCATATCTACGGTTATTCGATCTGCGGACACCAGCCTCAGCCTCCAACCACCTAGCCCTTCAGATTCCCATTCACGCCGCCCCCGTGTCACCCATCCCCGGCAGGCCGGGCGTGCCGCCGGCGGCGTGCGCACCATCGGAGGCCCTGACACACGACTGGAACAAGTACCGTCCGTCGATCGTGGCCACAGCCGGCGTTGACCGCACGATTCGCACCTTCGATATCCGCGCGCCCCAACAGGGCCCACAGTGCGTGATGACCGGCCACGAATACGCCGTCCGCAAGGTGGCCTGGTCGCCGCACCTGTCCAACGTCCTGCTGAGCGCCAGCTACGACATGACCTGTCGCGCGTGGAGCGACCAGTCCGTGCCAGGGGCAGTCGGCGACGTTGATAACATGCGCGCGGGGCCGGCCCCGGTCATGGGCATGGAGATGGGCCGCATGGGCCGGCACACGGAGTTCGTGACCGGCGTGGACTGGTGTCTCTTTGGGAGCGAGGGTTGGTGCGCTAGCGTGGGGTGGGACGAGAGCTTGTACGTGTGGGATGTGCGGGCTGTGATGGGCTAACTGACGACTACGGTCCTGTCTGTTTGGTTTGTACCTTGTTTCTTTTCTACGTCTGTATTGGATATTAGATTGCATGATACCATACTACTATCTATTATGCTAAATGCGGCTGACGGCATAAATATATCAGCTATTGAGTACTTTGGTTTTGTGGAAGGGTGGTGGACATAAATCAACTGGTTTGAGACGATGGCCCTAAAGACCTGCACCCGATCCCGATGTGGTGGAGCACAGTTTACCACCCTATCTACGGAGTAGACGTAGAGCTTAAAGATTTGACTTACAGAGACATGCTAGTTGTACTAATGCTACTCATGCATGAGTAAAAAAAGTTCGAGTCAACATAAGAAAGTCTCAGAATTTCATGATGAATGGATATGAAACGTCCTTGAACAGGGCAAGTAGCCTACTCTCATCGTTTGGGCCTGGATTTTGGAAATATAGGTATAGACAAAGAGGGCCACAATGATATACACGACATCCTAGTCGCGGCTCGGTCCCAAAGCTATTCCAGAGACAGGGACGGAAATGAACATATACATATGCTTAACGGGGCCCGGACACGCATCTGTCCTCAGCCCTCACTCCAGTGACCACGACCCAGGATCCAGGGCGAAACCAGTATAGAACGCACAGACAGACAAAACAATTATTTAGCCAGTCTGCCCTCCTTCTTCTTCCTCTCCGCATCCCGCACACCCGCAATCTCCTCCCGAGTCGCATCGAACGCAACATGCGCCTGGTTGAACGGATTCTCATCACTCTTCTCAAACTCCTTCCTGCAAAGCTCGTTGCGCTGGTTCCGCCGCAGTCCAGGGCTCTCCTGCTCGATCTCGGGCATGCGCCGCGCCTCGTAAGCAGCGTAAGCCGCCTTGTACCGCCGCTCCGGGTGTCGGTCGATCTTGGAGGTATCCTTGTTCGTGAGGGAGAGCGCGTCTAACGCGTTGTCGATACCGGTTGCGTTGAGCGAAGCGCCCTTGCGCCCGTCGTCGTCGAGCTGGGACAGGTCGAGGCCTCGCGACGGCGCGGCGGTCTTCTTGCCGGCGGATTTGGCGCCCGCGCCCTTGGGCTTCGACGGCTGGGAGGCCTCTTCTTCTCGCAGTTGGGCGTCACGTTCGGCCTTCTTGCGCGCGGCTTCGGCTTTCTTGGCTTCTGCGTCTTCCCTGTTTTTTTGGTTCATTGTTAGTTTTTTTTATGTTATTTTTGATTCTTTTTCATCTGTTGTCCGCCTTTTTGCGAGGCGATAGCACAGATAATCTAGCGTATATGTGATGAGATGTAGGGGGGTGACCGGACATACTTCTTAGCATTGCCTCCCTTTGCACCCTTCTGCCACTGCTTGGACTCCTCAGCCTCGCGCTTCGAGTCCTCAACGGCCTTCTTGCCCGCAGCAACTTCGGCTTTCTGTTTCAACCATATCCCTCATTAGCCTTGACTCAAAAAACCCGCACACCCATTTCCCTAAAGCAAGCGCACGGAAATGAAGCGGGAACAATGTATCTTAAGGCAAGATAGTGGGGGCGGGGTAGATGAAGCTGCGGCTGCTACCGTCATAGGGAACAACGTACACGGGCGTTTCCCGCTGCCTTCTTGGAGTTATCGGCTCCCTTCTTGCCTGCCATGGTGGATAGAGTGTTTGTCCCTTATGGTATTGTGGGGTGGGTATATAGAAACCGTAAGTTGTGTTTGAAAGATCGAGGTGACTCTGACTCGGGTAGGATGACGGAGGAGCGAAATATGTAGGTGATCGAATCGGGTTTAGGCTCGCTGGGAAAGCTCCGATCGGAGGATGACTAATGACAGGGGCATGTGATCTGGTGAGCCCTTGTTTGGGATGGGGTCATGTTTATGATGCCGATTGTACTAGCTTTGAACTGTGACTCGTAAAAGGTCTAGTGGATTGGTGATCATTATTACATCGTACATCATATCATACTCGAACAACCCCAACACATAGCCTGACCTCCATGTAACATGGACCTCATAACACATACCGGTCGAAAGAAAACATCATCACAGTGGACCGGTGACAGAGCGGTCTACCATCACTCTACAGCAGGTAGCAAGTATCCCTCTGGGACCTCTGGCCACGCATCATCCCCATCCAGCACAGCCAACGCCATGCCTCCGTTCATGTGCATCTGGATATGACAGTGAAGCAGAAACGGGCCCGGGTTAACAACATGGTACCGCAGAGCCAGCCAGGTCGGGCTGGTAGTAGCCGCCGGAGTTGCATAAGTATCGCGAAGCTGCGGATTCTGCAGATTGAAGTTTTGCGGCACGTTCTGGATCGCCTCATCGACGGACGACCACGTCCACGGCTGCGAGCCCTCACCGATGACGAAAAACTTGGTCGAGTGTTTATGGATCGGGTGCGCGGGCTGGCCGGCTGTTGTCACGTTGAGGATGAGGTCCACCCACGTGTCATTATGCGTAGTGATAGTGTACTCGGTCGGGATCGAGGTGCGATTGAGCAGCAGGGGAGTGGCCTTCTCGGCTTCGAGCGGAAAGCTGCTGTTGCCCATCACCCACCGGTACGAAGCGTTGAAGTGGTCCACGTTCAGGATATAAGTGTGGTCGGCCTGCGGTGCGGGTGCTACGGCCGGAAATGGAACGATGATGGACTCGTCTAGCAACACGGCGTCGTTGATCGTTGCGGCCCCTAGTGTGATGGAAGGAGTCGAGGGTCCGCGCTGCTTATCTGCGTTGCGGTAAGACAAGACACCCGTGCCACCGATGAGCTGGGCGCGGAAGCTATTGGCGGCTCGTAAGGTGTAGTCTCCAGGTTTGCTGTCCAGCTTCACGAGGACGGAATATCGTGTCCCGATGGGAAGTGTGATGGCGTCGACTTTGACCGGCTCGACGTATCGGCCGTCGACCGCGTAGATGTACATGGGGTGCTCATCTACGGAGAACACAAGCTGCGAGCTTCCAGCCATACTGAGCAAGTCAAAACTGGCATATCGGGTAGCAGGGTCTACTATGAACCTCTCCTCTGGACCCTGACTAGGCCTGCATCCATCCTGGAAGGTCTCAGGCAGAATGTCTGCATTCTGAGGGAAGCCAGTGCTATTGCCAGTGACAGCAGGCAGGCAGCTGTCAAATGTCTTAGTACATATCTATTAGCAAGCACAGAATAGCAAAGCTTACCCAAGATCAGTCAATTGCCTGTCTCCAAGACCAATCCGCTGTATAGGGGTAGTGGCTGCGTTGAGCTCGTCCTTGGAAAGACACTTCACGGACCCCTTCCCATTAATCAGGACCGCCACAGAGCAAGTACTTGGGACCCCAGAGTCTATCTCTGCCTGCCAGATTTCTTCTGCCGTGAGGGAGCGCCAATCTGAGAGAAGGAGCGGCTGGGTGTTGCGCTCCGCCTCCAGCATGGCATGGAGGTCGTCTTCGTCTCCAGCGATCAGCCCAAAGGGTCTCTCCTCGGACTCATCGGGCTGGATATACATGGCCCCGTAGCAGCCGTCGTCCGTCTGGCCTCGCGTGTGCGCATGGTACATATAAATCCCATACTGTTCCGCCTTCCATCTGTAGAGAAACTGGTCGCCTGGCGCAATCTCGTACTGCGACAAACCAGGTACGCCGTCGGACCAGGGTGTACCGCGCTGTTCAATTCCTGGATTTGTTGAGCATGGATGGAACTGGGATAGGCGAGCTGCCATAATGGAATGAGTGAAAAAACCAACCATGAAAATGAAGTGTAGACCCAAATGGCATGGAATTGTTCACCAGAATTTCAACATCGTCGCCTTGTTGTATCCACAACGCCGGACCGGGGGTATGCCCATTTGTGGCAATGGCTTTCCTCGTAAACCCGGCGACTTCCTTATCTTCCCATGTGAGATTGAGTTCATATTGAACTACCTTGCATGCGACCCATTGAAACAAAAAGATCAATGTCAGCAACGTGAGCTTGCTCTGGAAGACAGACATGCCGCCTCGGCGCGTAAAAGATTAGGTCTTGCACGAAAAGGAAATGAGATCATATACAAATTTAAAAAGCGATAAACGAACAACAAACGAAAGAGAAACAAAATAGAACCCAGAATATTAGAAACCTGTGAGCCGCAACCTACCAATTAAAGGACGACAAGATCATTTTATATGTTATGTGCCTGTATCTTGATCCCAAACGCGATTCAACGTGCCGTTACCCTAAGCGATATACAAAATTTTCCGTGGCAAGGGGATAAAAAGACAATGTGTAGCTTGAAAGTAAAAGACATGACAAGCAAGGAACAACAATGTGATAGCTCGTTGAATAGATAGCAAACGGAGCTCACATTCGAATCATGTCCTGAAAGTATATACCTAAACGAGCCGAGCTATATAGAGTTTAGAAAACGGAAAGCACGAAAGCAACCATGAAGAGGTAAACAGAGAACAGAGTAGAAAGAAAACATCTAATCGTACCTGTAAGGAAACATCCATGATACACCTCCTATAAGGCCATGAAGAGATGGGAGTTCTAATGTGGATGCAGCACATATCTGCGCCATTGCAGGTGACATTCGACAAAGACGTCTGTAGGTTCTGCAAGGAGATGTGGCGCAAGACTTCCTGGAGGAGAACCAAAATAGTGGGCAATCGATCACTAGACTGGTCATTGGGGATGGAGGCAAGAAGGAGGAAGAAAAGATGAACGAGAATAGGGCAGCTTGTGCAGCCCTACAGGACATGATATATCAGATCAGATTCTCCCGACCTGGCTGGTGGCTGAGCCGAGGGCCACATCGACGAGTCGGCTAATATGTAGGTTGGTCATCTACGCGGAGAAAGTCGAAAGTTTTATGAAGATCTCGATTGACACAAATAAGAGAAAGGGAGAAGAAAATAAAGGAAAAAAAAAAAAAAAAAACTTGCGCTAGTTTGCAATGTGTAACATAACACGTCCACGGCGATATAAACCCCCACCATGCCATCATAGAAAATCGAATAAAAGCTTAAACAACACATTATTAACTGGAAAAGCAATAGCCAAACCGTTCAATGAAAAGGGATAGATCTCATCAGTCATCAATCGTATTTCTCCGTACCTATGCATGATCATTGTTGAATCAGTTACAGGTTATGGAATACCGGACATTGGGCATAGGCAGCTGCAGCTGCAAGGTCCAGGTCCATTAATTCGACCACCTCCGCTGCATTAACAGCGGCATCCGTCACGGTGCGTGCAGGATCGTTGGGTTGTGTCAAAGGATCTGGTGGTGCATATGTATCTGCGCTCTCCTCGGCAAGTGGGAGATCAGTCTCGGGCTCGGAATCCAAGTCATATTTAACCACAGATTTGGGTGTGCTCATCGGACGGATCATATCTGCGGAGATAGATGTCGCAGCTCGCGCCGGCAAATTATTTTGGGACTCGAAATGGGACTCGAACTGGGGCTCGTTCGGGGAATCGTTTGGGGAATCGTTTTGATAACCGGTCTGAAATTCGGTCTGTGAATCATTTTGGGACTCGACCTGAGAGTCATTGTGGTAGTCTTTTTGAGAAACCGACGTAGGAGAAAGAGGAACAGAGGCATGCAGCTCCAATTCTGATCCATCCAGGTCCTCCATACCCGGAGATTCGGAAGAATATGCAGAGCCCGGCCCGACTACAGAGGAATAATGCTCCAGTGACACAGTCTGCATAGAAGCATGATAAACCATGTCCGAAGCGGACGGTTGTACTTCAGTGCTGGTGCTGGGAGCTCCAGATCTGGAACCAGTTACCAGGAAAGCGACAAGAATAGCAAGAAAAGCCAGGACGACATTGCGCGGATCGCTGGCCAACACCCGGAGATAATTCACCAGCAGCGTGTTGAGGTCGATCTCTGCCGGAGGTGTAGAATAATATTGACTGGAAATATGATCGCTCGGCGATGGACTGCGGTCTGGTGGCGTCTCCGAATCCAGAATGGGCAATCTCCGCTTCTCTGTGTCGAGGCTCATCGAGTGTGGTTCGTGATGCACGGTGGCGATCGGTTCCTGCTCAAAGGTCGGCTCCGACTCGCGTAAAGGTCCTCGTAATTGAGGTGCAGGCGGGCGGCTCTCCATTTGATATATCTCATTCTCGAGCAGTCTTCTCTCAAGCTCCCTCCGCACCTCCGACGGGAGCCAAAGTCCAACTTCCACATCCACCTTCTCCATCTCCCTCCAAGCTGCAGCCCAAGCCCCGGCCCGCATGAGGCCATTCGCTGCGAAGACTTTGATCTCCCACTTGCGTCCAGTGTCTCGGTGGCGGACTACTCGGCCCCCACAGTCTGGACACGGTTCTCCTTGCTCGTCGTCTGTGGCGCTTTCCTCGCCGTGAAGTGTCTCTTCCTCGGACTCAGCCTCGTCTCGACCTAGAAAGTGACCATGGTCAAGCCGCGGTCGCTGCAGCTCCAGACTCTCCAATAACCGATCCTCAAGCAGGTCGTACATATCCTCCGGATGAGATATAAGCACACCCCGGTCGCGAAGCACCCCCGAACCGACCTTCTCCTGCAAAAGTTTCCACCGCCGCCAGTACTCCCCCGGAAGTACCTCCCTCAATAGCTTCTGATCAGGCGTGTCCGTAAAGCCCGAGATAGGGAGCGACGGCGGCAACAAGGTGCAGTGGAGAAGAACGAGCGGGTATTCCTTCTTGGGCTTGGGTTTGCTTGCGGACCCACTGGGCGAGTAGTACGGTGACCGCTTGATCGGAGACGAGCCCGCAGATCGCATGGAGATGTCGGAGAGACGAGCGCCAGCTCGGCGCCTCGGGGGTGTCAGAAAGTCATCGTCGCCTTCGTCTTCGGTGTGCATCTGCATGGCTCGCACCGAGCTGGGCTTGCGGAATGCTGTTTCGCGGCGTCGGATGGCGTTGATGCTCTTGAAGGGCGAGTCCATCTTGTCGTAGCTGGTGTGGTTGAACTCGTCATCCCAGGGATGAAGGGCTATGTGATCGTGTGTTCCGTCTTTGTTGAACGTTTTGATGCGATCCGGTGGTTGTGTCAGCACCGAGGCTGGGAGCGAGGAAATAGAAGATCGGCTCGAGGCCCTCGAATGCACACCACCTGCCTGATCTCCCTCATCCGGGCTCCCGCTCAGTATGTCACTCGAGTATTGTGTCGAGGAAGCCGACGACTGATATCCGCAATCCTGCACGAACAACTGCCCGTTCTCACCGTCTAACTCGTCGTGGTGAAACGATCGACCCGGTATATATTTCGCAATCGCTAATGTCGGAGACGCCGGGGCCGGTTCGTCGGGCTGGTAGGGGCTGCTGGACAGATCTCCCGATTCCATCCACCGGGACCCATGCGCAGAGTCATCCATCGGTACTTGCTTACACCCTTCCAGGCTTTATATATGTCACACGCAGAGCGAGGGGTATTCAAATGAATGTATCGAGATCCCGAATCACGTCCGGGCTGTCACACATGGAAGCTCGGGAATGTAGGGGTAGATTCCTCGATTGACAATAAAACTGAAGGACAAACTTCAGTGCCCGGAGATGAAATGGGGCGATGATGTGTCGTGGGCGTTTATGCGGTGGCTGGTGATGCTAGTATATTGTTGCTGTTTCACCGCTAAGGCCGTTGTCTGGGCAACGATGATCCCCCAGCCACATAATTACCGTGTCGATCTTGGATAGGGTTGGTTTTTGGGCTCAGAAGTGTTGCGATTAATTTTCTTGACTCGTGGTAAGGAGGGTGGCTCTAATGTGATCTTGGTATGCCCGGTGCCCTTAAGTACTAACACCATTTGGTTGCCCAGTGAATACTTCCCAAGATAGTTTACGCATGTAAGAGTCGACCTACGCCCAAGAATGAATGTAAGAAACTTTGTTTCATGCCGTAGTTATCGGGTCAATATGGATACAGAGATAAGGGTTATGTTATATGCCACCAAAGAGATCCACCAGGTGCTATAACTCCGACCGAAGATCTCACCGTAAGTCGTCAAAGCCGTAACCAATAACTCATAACAGAGATACTCCTTTGCGCTAATTTAATCCTTGAGAAGAAATCGAGGGGCAACAAAACATGGAAAGCAAGATATCAAACACGGCCGTTAATCGTAGAGGTCTAATTTTGGTCGCAAATATCCAATATGTCCTAGACGCCGAGGGGAATGCTCTCCCTAAACCCTCAAAGAGCACATGATATGGGTCACATCATAGAGTGAAGTTGGTGTACTTCACTGAGGGGGTCGTGGAGTACTGTCATGGGAATTCATCATAGTAGGGTAATGTTGATGCTCGCCGAAATAGCTGAGGACATCCGGGGGAAGATATTCGAGCCAGGGGAGAATATCGCCACTAAGAGCGAAGGGAAGTTGATCTTGTTGTTGAAGGGTCGCCATGTCGATATCTTGGCTCTCAATCAGAACGTCACGACCCCGTGGGGCGAAACTAGTGTGGTATTCAGGGCCCATGGAAGTCCCACTTGTGGACTGCTCCGCAGCGGCCGCTGGCATCTGATAACCGTACGTCGCTGGTTGACCTCCCATCCCCGATGTCGACGGCAAGTCCTGGCCATAACGCGTCTGCGCAGCCGGTGGATGAGATCTCGTGGTCGGGTACGTTGCATTTAGACCCAGGAGAAGATTGGCATCGGAAGTCGACACCCGGCCAGGAGGTACAAGACCTGGGTACTTCTCTGCAGCTGCAGCGATGGACGCGCTGGGTGTGGACACTGTGGTTCGCGATGCGTCCACTGGCTGTGAGTAGGAGCTGGAGACTTGACCAGCCCCAGGTGGAACGGAGAGATTAGCGTAGCTATGGCTGTGCTGGGACGGAAATGTGGGCTTTTCAGCGGCCGAATGAGAAGGCACGGCAGGCATTTGATACAGCAAGCTCAGGTTGGGCTGCGACGAGTTAATCGCTCCGGTGAGTGCCCATCCAATGGCTGGGAGCCGAAAAAGTTAGTCAATCTTCTGGGCTAGCAAAAGTACGGGGAAGGATCCTCACCTTGACCGGGATCAACCCTCGGGGACTGCGTAGTATCAGGTGTCGCCTGGCCCGAGATTGTCGAGTTCTCGGCAATTAGTGGGGCCCCTATTCCTCGCCGGTGAGGCGCAGGGAAGGGCTGCATGGTGGACATCTCAGCCGTGTTTTCCATCTCCTCCACAGTATACAATAGGGGATCAACAATTCCCTTGGCCTTCTGATCCAAGACCGTGATAATATACTTGGTGCCCTCCCAGTAGGTTTCGAGTGCTTTCAACGCCTTGTAACATCGCTGGTAATTGTCCTTTGCCGCGGATGCAAGAAGGATGTGCTTGGCCGTGGCTTTTCGTTCCGTCCCGGCTGAGCAATCTATAGTAGGTAAAACAAAATTACTGGTTTGGTTGGGAAAGAGTGGCTGGTTTGGTGGAGAGCCGGACCCCGACGAGGGTGAGGTGTAGTAGGCACTCTCCATCAGAAAGGCGCAAGCAGCAATATACATCGGTTGGCTTGTAAAGGGATTACCAATAAAGCTTTTCCCATCCACAAGCTCAGAGAATGAGAGAATATCCGCAATGGTCTTAGCCGACGACATCGACAGCTCCCTGCTGTTCGGGTAGAGGTGCTGGATCGTCCCACCAAATGAGTGCAAAAGCGTTGGTTGGTGCAAGAGAACGATTAATGTGTGGAACCAGAAGTGGAGGAGTATGAAGTTCGTCCCTTCCTTGGCTTTGACATAAGCCTGGAAGTTGGCCGCATTGAAATGAAGCCTTGGAGATAGTCGCTGATAAATGCCAGTCAAGTCACTTTCCATCCCGGCGAGCATTTTGAGGGTCTCTGTCGTAACATGATTGACAGCCTGTATTCCATTGATGAGGTCTGTCACCCGCCCGTAGAGATGTATGATGCGGATCAACGGCGGGAATGGAGCCGGCCAACCATTGGACAGCTGCGATTCGGACTGGGTTGGAAAACACAACTCGATATCTTCATCCCGTAACGTGACCGGGCGACCTGTGCCAGACGAGATCACTCGATCCAGAAAAAAGATGCTCCAGAACGTGTCCACTCTCCCGCGTTCCCAAGCGCGCCGATCTTCGATGTTTTGTGGTTTTTTGGCGGGGCTTTGTGGGACCTGGAGATCGCCATATTGATCTTCCCCGAATTTCCCCGCCTGTCCCGTCATGACCGTATTTGGCGCCACCCCACTTTGGCCATAACTATACTTTAATCCCTGAGGTTTTTGCATGCCGAGGTCCTGTGCCATCCGAATGGCAATGCCCAGATACATCCAGAGTCCGCTATCGTGGTTCGAGCCAAAGCGCTCGTAAGCAAGTAAGAGACAGGCTTGGACAACAGAAAGCGTGGGGCACGACAAGGAGGCTACCAGGGCACTGATTGCTCTCTGTGCAAACGATTGACCACGGTTGGACTTCTTAACGTCGAGAGGTGGTTCTGATCCATCGATCGAGGGTGCCTGTGGGGGACTCAAGAGAGGATGCGGGGAAAACCGAGCAGACAAAGCGCAAATGGCATCCACGAGCATAGTATCAACCTTTTTTTCTTTGAGCTCGTTGAAAAACCGTTCACGCTGCAAGAAGGGGAAATTACAGCCCAAATGTGCAAAGAAAAGCTCACAAAGATGCATCACCAGATTGCTAACCGGTAGCGAATCATCCCGATCGTAAAAGGGAATGGTATTTGCATCGCGGGCGTCACGGTTGTCGAAGACATTCAAAGGGTTGACCCCGGCTTCAGTAAGCTTTGGGCTGCGGAGCGGAGATAGCGACTCTGTAGGTCCCGGGAATCAGCATGGAAAAGCCAGTTTATAGCTGGAGCCAGGACTATAGCGGCATGTTGTCCTCTGCCAAAAAGGATTGGGGGGGGGGGACAAGAGAGGCAAACCTGATGACTGTGACGGGTTGCTCCTGCGTGAGCCTCGCACCTGGACGACCTATAAAACGTTAGGTCGTAGTTAACTGGAGAAACCTGTGCAGTCCAACCATTTGTTTAAACCCGGGAACAATAGCCGTGGGTCCGAAATATCGAAAGTAAGGTACGTGGGTGCGAGCACCTGAGCTGAGAGACGTGCGACCTATTGAGCCACGCCGTCGTTAGCGTTTGTATAATTTGACGTCGACCAATGTAGGAGCCGACCGGGCACATACTGCTTTCAGGAGTCTCCCCCGTCGTTTGCTGCTCGGATTCTTTCGTTGTTCGTGACATATCCCTTGAAACAGAGCCAGTTTGAACTTCGGGTAGCTTGGCGGCTTCGAATGACTTCTCAACGCTCGCAATAGGTGGTGGTGGTGGTGCGTTGCGAGGAGGCGAATCTGACGGTCCGTTCTCCACTTGGGTATTTGTGTGCGACGCCGCTGGTTCGCCGGGGTCGGGAAAAGTGCGCATTGTCGGGGCTCTGAGCGCGACTTCGGGCTGTGGCCGAGCCGAGGGCGGCTGGTCGCTGTATCCCAGACATTCATGGTTGTAATCGGAGCAGGTTCGACACACTATCCACCAGCCGACACCTGTCAGGAATCGGCCAACAACTGCGCATTTGGCCGTCACTCACCTGGCTGTTCCCCCGAGCATCGTATCTTGCGCTTGCGACACGTTCGACAGCTGCACAACACGTGACGACGTCAGCTAGAGCTGGGAGAGGGAAACTCTTGTCAGGAAGGACAGGGGCACGCATACGCAGCATTCACCCGTCGGCGTTTGGTCTGAGGTTGACCGTCCGTGGAGACAAAGCGGATCTGTTTCGGGGGAGGGATATTGTTGCCGCCGTTCTTCTGAGGAGAAGGGTGGCTCATCGCGAGCAAATTATCATCCGGGGTCACGACACATTGGGCACCTAATCATTTATCGACGTTACGGAGAACAGACGACAAGTGTGCACCTCAGGGGAGTCGCAAGCAGGGAGCGAGAGTGGAAGGTAGGGCGGACGGCAAGTCTTTTGAAAGAAGCACCAAGCAAAGAGCAAAATCCATGAGCAAGAGATCCCACGCTATGTAGGTGCCGTTGGGCGGTTGACGTCGGACGATCCCTGAATGACGAGGACGGAAGAAGCGGAGGTGGATAGTGAGGGGAGGGTAAGGTCAGGGACAGAAGAACTATCGGTGTCTGGCAGGAATCGAGTAGTGGGGATGGGAGGTTGATCGTCCTCGATGATTCGACGTGATTGCACGATGGGAAATGGTTCGACAGATAGAGATAGACAAATAGATGAGTTGGTAGATCGATAATCGCGGTGAAGGCCGTAGCAACGAGCGATTCCACGGATTGAGGATGGGTCTCCTTCCCGGGTGGGAAACGGATGCTGGACGGGGGAGAAAGAAGAAAGACGAGGTCAAAGGGAGCGTAGTGAAGGTGGTGAGATGTGACGAGGATCCGAGTTCCAACAGTGACACTATCGTCGGAAAGCCACAGAAACGGCCCAAGCCAAATGTCTAGCCTGACCGCCCAGGTGATCATTCCCCTTTCCCCATCAATGAATCCATCGAACAAATCTCTGCTATCCACCTGACTGTCTTTCCCATCGTGGACCCGCAAATAAATCCACTTTAAAAAAAGGAAGTATACAAATCAAAACCGATGTTTACGGGTTAGGGCCAAGGAGCCGCTAAATTGGGTTGAATCCAACTGTTCAGCCCGTCCATGTCTTTCCAAGGCAATATCATATTCCATGTCTAAGTTATCCAATGTCCTCATTGTCTACAGGAGAAAGAGGAGCACCAATTTAGGCTTATGGTTCCTGCAGGTACATAGTATCGGATTTCGAGAATGTTCCTGGTCACGGCTCCAACGAGATGGAAAAGATCATCAGGATGATGATCCCATCGGGGGATGGGGGGGTTTAGTAGAAGTCTGGGCCGGCAAAGTGGATTATGTGGATTCTCTCCCCCTCTCCCAGACCGGGGGTAGCGGGGTGACTTTACCCACTTCTCTATTCTGGTGGTTCCAATGTCTCCGCGGTTCGCTCAGCTCTGCCGTCGGTCGGGGCCATGTTCAACTCCGATGCACGATGCTCAGCCCGATCGAGCCAGAAAGCCTATATTTACTATCTGCGGTGCCCGGTAGACATCTGAATGGCGTAATATAATTCCCACAAGGTCCAAGGTTGCCCGGTCCCGGGAAGGGCATACAAAACTCATTCCATGAACCTTGATTACTAACTACCCTATGCGTACTCCGTATAGTTAGACAATTGTTCAGGGAGCCTTGAACACCGTCTGTCTAAGAATGACGTCAACACACGATAACAAAGGTGAGCATAACAAGAAAGATACAAATAGCCCGACTGGGACACGTGGAAGTTGTTGGAGACATATCTGGCCAGAGTGACAGTGCCTAGTTATGTTTACATCCCGATATCACTGTTGCTTGGATCATGGAGGGAGAAGCTCTTTGCGGCCAGCACACATCTTGAGGTCGATCCCAGGTTACGGATACAGACATAAAAATTCTGGTCCCATGCAGCTCGAGTTCCATCTAGCCTAAATGCTGAGAATAGTAGCAGCAGCGACAAGTGTTTTCTCGACCGAAAAGATTAGTAAACGTAGGGCTCAAAACCACTATGCAATACATGTGCATCCGACACATTGCGTTAATCGAAAATCTAATGAAAAACAAGAAATCCGCATTTGGCTAGTCATATACTGCAGTCTTCCTTGGTTGAAGAGTCTAACGTTTACTAATTATGGTGGACTCTTCCCTCTTTTCGATTTTGCAATATCCTAGTTAGGGTTGGTCCCGTCGCTTGTCGTTTGTTTCGCTATACCCGGAAGAACCAAACATAAAGTACTGCATTTATATATAGTAAAATTGATTTTCACTTCAAAATTTACGAATCGATATCATTTCCATGGCCTTGCGTTGATAACGCACCCGTTAGTAAGCAATCTGTGACGGTTGACTGGCCACGTACATGACGTTGTTGCATGAAACTTAGGATCGAAATGCGGAAGCATTTCGCTAAGTATCTATAACAGTGTTCTAAGTGATGTGTTCACCATGATGCATGTCCCAATTGGTCTGCGCACACCCACTCTTGAAGCGGTGGACTCTCTCGGACGAAAGGCTCAAGTGCCCATCTACTCAAAACTATAAAGATGGTCACATGTTCCGAGCCCCTGATCACAAATCCTATCCCATGACCAAGAAAAGTCAAAACAACAGGTATGGCTACAATGGATTCGATCGAGTGGGGATATAGGGCCTGTCTCGCTGAGATGCCAGCTCGTCGTGCGGAGGTCTTATAATCAAGTCTCTTTCAACGCATCATGCTCCAAAATGGCAGAGATGATTTTTGCGGGCGCTACATGCTCGGGGTCTTATATTCCCTATCGCTCTAGTATTTTCATAATAGATTGGGTCTTTGTCCCAGTAGCGTCAGATCTAGTAATGGCCATACATCATTTAATTTATGATCGAGGATGGAGGCACCTGCTGTAGAGACCTAATGTTAGCACAGCACCTTGCAACATGAGCTGGGGCTTCCCCTCCCGGTGACTAGGCAGATATTAACTGAGACAATAAAGCAACCATGGATCCTCGAGCGGCTGCCTTGCTGTCTTGCGTCCCTCTGGTAGCCATTCAAGCATTGACTTGATAAATTGGATAAATGATGCTTTCTCTTGCCCAGACAGTCGCCTCTCCAAGCTCTCCAGCGAGACCAAGTGTATGGATGCATCTTCATGGGCCACCCAGGCGCCTATATACTCGTCAGACAGCTGTATCTGGGGCCAAAAACTTTTTGCGAAGTCAGGATACTTACCACTGCGGTCAAAACACTGCTCCGTCGTCTCACTACGTCTGACGAATTCTTGCAGTGGCGGTCCAATCAACGCAACCATGAGCGCCAGATGTTTGAACGGGTCATGGCCTCCTTTCCTATCAAATATATCCTCAAACAAATGCTCCCCTTCGAAGAGGTCCCAAATCTACTGGGTGTTCAGCAAGGGACCTCTATGGCGGCTGCACAAGCGCTGTCCTTACCAAGCCCGCCAGGTTCCAAATGTCGACAGGACTCCCCCACGGCATCTCAAATATTATCTCTAGTGCTCTGTAAATATGTGGTCTAATGAATGGGCCGGACTCCTGTTTTTTTCCAGTCCGCGCCTCGCCAAAGCCACAAAGTATAGGGAGTCCATAGCCTTTGCCTCCAGTCGGCCGGCGGAATTTTCTACTCTGGTAGTTGATATGTGACTTATGAACCTCTCTCCGAGGGCTTGGATCTTCAGCTTCGTCCTTTGCAAAATCCGCCAGCATGCTATTATCCTCCAGACTGAGCATCAAATTATCATCTACTTCAAGTTAGAAACGAGTTGTTCCCGCGATATAATGACAGGGCTGGATACCAGTATGAATTATCTCGGCGTCAGTGTGTAAAAAGTCTAGGGCTAGTAATAGTCGCTTGACAGTCATTTTGAGGAGAGGTAGGTCAAACGGCCTTGGATTCAGTCTCATCATCTCTAGAAGTGTCATATGCATCGGTTGCAGCACGAAATGGTGGTACCTCCCAACAGGGCCTTGAATATCAAATGAATCGTAAAGCTCGCGGATTAGTGACTGGCCAGGATGCGAAGAATTTACTTTCGCCAGATGCTTATAGATCTTCAACTCGCGATCAATTGCAGTTGGGTGTGTTGGCAGTGATGTAGACACCTTTAATACTTGATATTTGTTTTCTCTACGCATTTGTGAGTTTTTAGAGGAGAAGTCGCGAGGGAAGGTCGAAAGAACGCACTGAAGATCTCGGCATAGCCAGCTTGTGGAATACGCCCCATAACCAATATGTCCTGAGACCTGATATCTAGCCTCATATATATCTCCAATTTTGACTGTGTGGCAATGCTCAGGTTTATAGTAAGGTATATAGTAAGGTAGATTCTCCTCCTCCAAAGGTATATCGAGTGGCAGAGTAGAGTATAAAACGTGGGGAGTTCTTCTCAATGATGAAAACTGTTGCCGCGGAGTGTTTCCCCACGCGCGTAATTGTGATGCCATGCCTACATTGCCAGACCATCTAATGCTAAAGCGAAGTTGCAAGAAAAAAGTGAGTGGAGGTATAAGCACTGTTGTGGATGGTGGCCCAAAACTGGAAGAGAGCCACCTGGTTATTGAACTTATGGGCCGTGATATACTAAGTCACATGATTGTTATGATTGGTCATGTGTTAATCGTGAAAATACGTCCAGGCTCAGAGGGACAGAGACTCGCCTATCTGACCATCTAGTAAGAAGAATGCTAGGGCCGGCCCATGGAATGATTGGGAAAATGAGTTGAAAGATAGACTCCACGGCATGTACACGCTGTGAGAAGGCGTTTGAGAATACAGCACACTGGAATAATCAATCTGTCAGAGTCTCGAAGGAGCAAGAAAACACCTTATTATCTCTCTCGCTGATACTACAATCTCTCTAAAAGAAATCTATGATAATGAGAAACCTTGTATCGTTGGACAAATTTTGTATATGCAGCCGGATAAACATAGAGTAAGCAACAATGTATAACCAAGTCTATCTGATCTATCATGAAATCTATCAAACAAAACAAAACAAAAATCGCAAGGAGATAAGACAGCCCGAGCAATCTATCTCCGTCTAGATCTGAGGCCTAGGAATCTCAAAAGCCTCGGTGGTCCGGCCATACTGGATACCTCCCAGCCGACTGATCGGCTTCAACACCTTGAGATCGATAACGCTCTTTTCCTCATTGATGGCATCATCCCGCACCCAAAATCTGACGCCCTCAATGATAGCCAGGACGCCTGACTTTTGACCCGGTTTGGCGCGACTCTCAAACTCCTTCACCTCCACGAGCTTGCCCTCGATTGCCAGAATGGACTCCTTGACCCGGGCAGGCTGCACGACAGAGGTAGGCGCCTGGTGCAGCCCGGAGATTTCCCACTCGGAGACTCCATAGGGGGCATTGACAGCGGTGGCATTCGCCGCCTCCACGAAGTGTTCGGAGATGATGTTGATGACGCACTCGCCTGTCTCAGTGAGGTTCCTCAGCGAGTCCTTGGCCTTGTCGAGGGCGCCGACAAACCCCACCGTGAACATGGGCGGGTCGTAGCTAACGACATTCGAGTAGCTGAATGGCGCCAGGTTGGTGGTCTGACCATCCTTGGACTTCGTGCTGATGAGTGCGATCGGTCGGGGAACAACCCCCGAAATTAGAAGCTGATAGTTGGATGCGGGGGAGCGTCCCTCTCCGTAGGGGTCGATTTCGACATGGTTCTTTTGCAGGCTCTCGCCGCCGTCGTTGGCGCCTTCGCCCTTTTGCCAGGCGGGGTGGGGCGGCTTGGTGTACACGGCCTCTGTGTGCTTGAAATCAGGTCGAGAGGCCTGAACCTTGCTGAAGTCGGTTCCGGGCTTGGACATTGTGCGGGCGTGGCTTGATGATCGGAGTTGACGGCTGGCTGCAGGTGCTGGTTGGCAGGGGGACAAGCGGTGATGCCTGCGTTGTCCCGTTAATAAACATGTACAGCATTGCTACTAGTCTGCGGGACTATTGTAATGTTTTCATCTAGTCCTTACTTGGTGGTCGAGAACTTACAATGGCAGACAGGGTACTCGAATGAATATTTGCTGGAAACGCTTGGAGAAAGGACAATGCATTAAGGCTATGAAATTGCCGGATGGTTTACCAGTGGGGTGAGCATCGTGGGGTAGTGAAGCTCGGCATCTACTAATTCCACGCTGATATTGAGCCGATATTTCCACACCCGCCTGGATAGATTATCAAAATGCCCTGGGCCCTAATAAAAAGTGAGTGGAAATATCCCGTGAAGAGTTGATAAACGTTTGTCAGCGCCCCGCAGCGGGACCACATATTACTTGTTTAGGTTATATAGAGCACGCCCTCAGTGGTTTGGACAGGACTAGCTTAGCCCTCTAAGCTTTTTGGCCTTTGAAAGCGCACAGTAACTCTTCAAGTATGTCTCCCTTTATATAAACCTTATCATGATCAGTGATTGGTTGATGTGAGATCATTAGGAGTTCACCAATGCTAATTCGTTCAACTTTGGTTCTGGAAGTATCCTGCCGTGTACATCCCGAATATAAACTGTTCTAGCACAATGCTACCTAAGTAGTCATGGTAGTAGGACATCCTAACTTACTGTGGGGAAGACGCATGTCGCATATACAGTCATGAATTGCGACTTTGGCGTAGTAATTGTTATACCCTGTACCTAACATTTGCAGCGCTGGCCCTGGACAGCCGTGGATATGTTTTCTGACTCATGAGAGTTGGCGGGCACTATGCAAGGGCTAGGTACTAAGTATAAAAGTGGTAATGTCCCCCAAAATTCTGCGTTCCTCTCCAGTATCCACACTTCTTCTCCCATGGAAGTCAAAGGGCCAACCACTGACTCTGATGTCACCAGATACAAGTTCTCTAAATGGCGGAAATGCCTCCTACTTGCAGGCTGCAGCTTCACGGTGTTTACCAGCGCGTCGGCCCTAGCGTCCATATTCCCGGCGACCGCCCATGTCGCCTTGGAGCTTTCCACCACGGCCAAGGTGCTTAACATCGCAAACGCATGCGTCCAGGTTGCAATGGGACTATCGGTGTTTGTCTGGCAGCCGGTTCAAGTCTTCATTGGACGTAGGAATGCTTTTCTTTTGGCCTTGCTCATTTTGCTCTGCTTCTCTATAGGCGCTGCACGGGCTACCAGCACTGGCATGTTCATTGCGATGAGGGTTATTGTGGGAAGTACGGGAACCTTTTTCCTTCTGGCGGGCCAGGAAATACTGGCTGAGACTTTCGAGCCTGTGAGTTGGATGTATGGGAGTCGCGAAATTCTCGGCTATCCGCATGTCTCTTTCTACGTGGGAAATTTATGTATAAGAAGAAATGGTTAACTCTTATCCTGATCTATAGGTGACTCGGGGTACTGCATTTGGGTTCATACAAATAGGGAATACAGCTGGCATGACGATTGGTCAGTCAAACACCATTCTTGTCCTTGAATCTCAGCTAGCAAGATTTCTTTGGCTGACTCTCCGCTTCGCAGGGCCCTGTATTGGCGGCGCCATTGTTCATTATACCCATTGGCGTGTGATATACTGGGTACAGGTTGGCTTGGCTGGATTAAGCTTGATCCTATCTTTTTTCTCCATTCCAAGTGAGAAGGACATGAGCAACGACCAACCCAAAGCAACAGGCTCAAAGTCTGCAAATCTGAATCCACTAAGGGTCCTAAAGCCTCTTCTCTATCCAAACGTCCTGATCACAGTGAGTCCTGGTTCTCATCTCTTGATCCCAGAATTCCCGTCCAGTATCTAAGAACCGCAAATTCTAGGACGTTGCGTGTGGCGTTCTGTGCTTCTTCCAATTCGTAGTCCTCACATCCATCCCCAATACGCTCAACCCGCGGTTCAACCTCACATCGCCACTGGTCAGCGGTCTTTTCTACCTAGCACCTTTCGGCGGATTTGCTCTCGGTTCGCTTGCTGGAGGTGTTGTATCTGATCGCACCACCCGACGGTATATCAAGAAGAGAGGAGGTATCCGTCTACCCCAGGACAGATTAAACGGCGCGCTGCCCATTTGGCTGGGGCTTTTGCCGGTAAGTATGGCGATATACGGGTGGACCTTAGACAGAGAGGTTGGCGGAATGGCTGTTCCTATTATCAGTATATTTTTCGTCTCTTGTGGAATTGTCGTGGCGTTCAACGGGCTTAACACGTATTGCGCCGGTAAGACTACATTCCTAGTTCTCAAATTCGTGACAATTGAATTGCTGATCATCCTAGAAACACTCCCGGAACAACGGTCTGCTGTTATCAGCGGGAAGTACGTCGTTCAGTATAGTCTCGGGGCTGTTAGTACAGGCGCCGTCGTACCGATGATTGATGCCATGGGCGTGGGGCTGGTGTTCACAATCTGTGAGATGATCTTCTCTCCATTGCCCTCGTTCTGTTGTGATGGCGTCGGCGGTACTGATATAGATATAGGCACAATAGTCAGCTTCATCGGTGGAATTGCCGTCTTCCTGGTCGCCAGATATGGGCTTCAAATGCAAAAGTACAGGGTCGGCTGGAGGACATGATCTAGTCGACCATTAGCAGGGATCGCAATCGTTACGGCGGACTATTAGTGTCCAGTAAATATGTAATTGGATAGAACCATTGTTGGTATTTATATGGGAGCACAAAAATGCTCCCCTGCATTGGTCAATCCAGAAGACCGTCGACAAGGATCCGTGGACAAGGGAGCTCACCGGCCTAATTTCAGAGTCAGTGCTAGGGATAGGGTTTCCGTTTAAGTACGGTTGAAAGGATTGTTTTCATTCCCTTTAGCTTCGTTGGCTGAATCCAGAGCGTGAGACTTTTGGCCCAGAACCTGGAGAGTTTTGTCAATGAATGTAGGAGGTATCATTGTATGGTAGTGATAGATTATCGCTATCAATGCTGACCTTAAGAGCATATTAATATTTCGAAGGGGGTTCGAATGACCGCACCAAGATTTCAATAAACTTCCACGATACTTTCAACGGTAAACATGAATCAAAAGCAGGGAATAGAGCAACGATGCAGGCAATGAAATGGTAGGCGATGTCAGCTAATCGCTTCCGACTGTCATTCTTCTCTCCAGATGGGAAGACGATTGCAGGTAATGGACCCCCCCCCCCCTCTGTATTTTCGTGACCTGTACAGAATAGATGTAGTAGATACCAACTAGTGGATTTAATATAGAATTACTCAAGGCCGAATGACAATGTTACCACGGTGGGCTATACTCTGGTCCGCATATTGATCTACCTTTCGCTAGACCAATGGGTAATCTTCTCCACTCAGTCATTGAGACTGTACTTATCGGAAGGACCCATACTGTTAGAGACATTTCAATGTTTTAAAGTATCAGCTATTGACATCCGATACCCGACAGTACCACTAGTTGCGTGGAATATACTGAAAACACAGGTACTACTCTACACTCAAGGTCGGTGATAGCTGATTGGTTTAAGGTTATAACAGTAGTGATAACCGATTTCAACGACACTGTGCAATTCTTATTGATAATGTTAATCTCCAATCTAACTTTGAACGTCTTCACAGTCTGTTGACCCAATGATCTCCCCCCAGCTGTCCAGCATTTCTTGCTCCCGAGCGATACTGCCACCAATGGCGGCCAAGGCATCGCTCCCCAGGGCCAATCTTCCCGGAAGTTTACGTCCCTTACATCGACCAGTTTTAGTGAAGGCTTCGACCAGGATCTGAGCACCCTTATTGGGATCACCAGGCTGGTGCAGACTGAATGCGGCGATAGCGTCACGGGTGGGCTGAGTTCCGGGATCAAGCTCGGGGATGCGGTTCTGGGCCGTGACCTTGTGACCGACAGTGAGGAAGTCCGTGCGGAATGAACCTGGTTCCACGCAGGTCACTTCGATGTTGAAAGGGGCCAGCTCGTGGCGCAGGGACTCGGTGTAGATGGCGATCGCAGCTTTGCTGGCACAATAGAAGCCCGTCACGGGGGATCCATACCAGCCCACGATTGACCCCAGGTTGGCGACGATACCAGACCGACGAGCACGCATGGAAGGCAGAGCGGCGCGCAGAACGCGAACTTGCGAGAAAAAGTTGACGTCGAATTGGTCGACAATCTCTTGGTGGCTGCACCCGCGGATTAGGGCTAGGGTTTGGAATGTGATTGAAGAAGATACACGGATTCTTACCTGCACTCTTCAACGCCTCCTTCCAGGACATACCCTGCGTTGTTCACCAGGACATCAATCGGGCCAACCGTCGATAGGACGTCGTCGATGACCGCCTTGACTTCAGCATCGCTGGCACGCACATCGAGCTTCTTCACGATCACCCCCAGCGAGGCTAAATCGGCCAGCTTGGCGGGGTTGCGCGAGGCGGCGACGACGGTGTCTTTGTTCTGGGCGGCTGCGATGGCCAGTTGACGACCGAGGCCGGAGGAAGAGCCGGTGATGAACCATATACGAGGCATGGCGTCCTAGAACGGACCTGATTTGACCCCAGGGGGAAAAAAAAGGAGGATGTCGAGATTCGAATACAAAGCAGAGAAGAACCGCGTGCGAGATTAAATCGACAAGGAGTAGTCAGGGCCAGGACTGATTTGAATAGAACTGGCGACGCACCTTGAACCAACAGAATTGTATCTCTATATATATCTTTTTGCGTCGATCGGAAATAACACTATCTCCGAGTAACTCCACGGTGTGCTTTCTCAGTGTCAGTTCGCACTAGGTGTGATAAGCCCCCCGATGGCATCTACGGCAACTTCCCCGCGGCGTCTGACCATGAATCTCAAGTCTATTCTGAACCGGGCCGTTTCACGGACTCTTGGGCTCTTTTGTGTAAGCATGGCTTCTAAATCCTGTCGTAGCTGCTATGTAGACCACATAGTTAGCGGCTAGATCACTAATCATCGCCGTACTCGGACCTGCGACACGGGTTCTCGAGAGCCGTATACACTTTATGCTGGGAATGACACTCAATGCAAGCCCTCCCAAAGCGTTGGACAGCATTTTGATGCAGTAGATATAGAACCTTCGCGAATTCGGGGTGGGATCAAAAGGCCATCGCGAACTACAGAGAGAAGAACATCGTGCGACTGCGTAAAATGCAGGGCTTGCATAATTCTACGCAGGACTCTTAATGTTTGATTCTGGGTGGGCAGCAATTGCCTAAACAATAGGAGTCATTGATGGGTTCGTTTGGATATTGTATTTAGGGTGAACCATGTAGTATAAACACACATATGAGGAGTACGAGTCGTATTATCCAATGACGTCAAACCACCCGATTTTGGATCTTTAGATTGTTATATGACCCCTCACTATTGCAAAGCTGCGATTTGTTTTCTCCAATAACTCTATCTCTCTTCCATTCGTAAGCACGATTCATAACTGTCACACGTGTCCTGCGGGGTTATTAGACTCTGTTGTGGTGCTGTCAGAACACTTCAATTGAAACATCTATTTTCTGCAAGTAATCAAAGACTAGTCAAGATGACCAACGAAGAATTTAGAACTTATCAGCTGGGCGACTGGGAACTCCAGAGTGGAGAGAAACTTCTAAATGCGCATCTAGCATACAAGACCTTTGGTGACCCCAGCTTCCCCGCCGTCGTTTACCCGACATGGTTCTCCGGACGTATGTCTCTCTCCCATTCAAAACCACACATATATATGCAGTAGAAGCAAATACTAATCCAGAGCAGTAATATCCGACAACATATGGCTAATCGGGGAAGACAAGACCCTCAACCCCCAAAACTACTACATCATCATCCCCGCCCTCTTCGGCAACAGCCAGTCCACCTCGCCATCCAACTACCCCGCTCCGGGCCCGTTCCCCAAATGCTCCTTCTACGACAACGTGCGCGCGCAGCACCAGCTCGTCTCGCAGCACCTGGGCATTACGCACCTGCGGGCTGTTGTCGGCTGGTCCATGGGAGGCGGCCAGACCTACCAGTGGGCGACGCAGTACCCGGATTTCATGGACCTCGCCGTGCCCTTCTGTACATCAGCTAGAACGTCTCTGCATAATAAAGTGTTTCTTGAAGGTGTCAAGGGGGCACTCCTGGCGGCGAAGGGCGTTCCATCGGCGGGGTCAGGCGAGGGCGGTATCTTTCGCGCGGATCAGAACCCGCGGCAGTGGTCTGCTGGGGAAAGGGAGATTGGACTCAAAGCATTTGCGAGAGTTTACGCGGGATGGTGAGTGTCAAAGCATAGCATCTGTTAGGGTAAATAGGTGCATACTGATCACGATGCGCGGAATAGGGGTTTCAGTCAGGCGTTTCACAGGGAGAAACTGTATGAAACAGCACTAGGCTTCAAGGATTTGGAGGACTTCCTGCAGAATTTCTGGGAGGCATGGGCTTTGTCCAAGGGTGAGTGGCTACATGCAAGACTTTAGATACCATGCAATAATTTACTGATGAGTGCCCATAGACCCGGAAAATCTCCTCGTCATGCTTCAGACGTGGCAGAATGGGGATGTTGCTCAGCAGGCCCCGTATGATGGCGATTTCGAAAAGGCCATGGCTTCGATCAAAGCAAAGACTTTAGTGCTTCCGGGAAAGACGGACCTATACTTTCCGTGAGTCTTTCTTCCTTCGTTCTTTTCTTTGCTTTCTGCCTGTTTCACAGCGGAGGCCTAATATCTGCACAGACCAGAAGACTCGCAGTATGAGCTTGTGTGCATGCGACCGGGAGTCGGGACACTCGATGTTTTCCCTTCTATCTGGGGCCGTAAGTGTTCAGCAATGTATGATGCCTATTGCTCCTGCTGACCTTGTTGGACAGACTGGGCTGGCGGACCGGGAGATAGTAAAGATGATGTCCAATGGTTGGACCAGAAGCTAACAGAATTTTTCAAGCAAACTGATTGTACTGTTACTCAATCGATGGGAGATCTTACCATTAAACAATGCAGGGGTAACATAATTGTGAAAGGCGAACAGGAGTAGTGGTGATGGTGTGGGAGCTTTACATCACTCACTTCAAATATGCTCTTCCAGCTAGCAGGGACAGCAAAAAGTAAGAAGAGCTGTGGACTGATTTGTTTCAATACTCTCTAGGAGATCGTGATAGCCATTGATGTATTTACAAGGAAGTTGAAAACAGCCTGAACTGGTGAATTAGTGAGTTTTAAACTCATTATCAAGCTACCTCATCCCATAATGTAAGGATAAACCAGACAGAAGCAAGGCGGGATGTCAATAAGTATCTGTTTAGCCGAGTATACATATAAAGATCTTTGGGGCCATTTAGCGCCTGCCACATTGATGTGACCTCTACTCTACTATGTAAGCCATACATCTAGACCAGATATCAGGAGATTTCACCCGAGTTGCTAGCAACCTGGAAACGCTATAAATGTACAAGAGGGTAATTATCTTGGCGAAATGGGAATTTAGTCAAGCATACCAGCCCATTGAAAATAAGCCTAAGTCATTCAGACAAACTGAACAAATAGAAGAAGGGATCCAAGTCCGAACTTCAAGGGAAGTACCAGAGGCTTTTTGAGGGGCAGGATCCTCAGGCAGTGACTTCTGCATTGTCACTTTCTCTCTCTGTTTCTATTCACGTATTGCTTTCTATAAACTGTCCAAACAACACCAGTCACTCCTCCATCACAAAGATTGTCTTACCCAGTCCGTGGCCCGAGAATTTGAGAACCTTTCTAGTAAGATAGAGGGTTCTATGAGGTGTTTACCGTCGTCATCCGAAGAGGAACTGTTAGTGGCATGAAGAAAGGAACACATAACTTTTGATCAGATGTGGCAGGGAAATTATAAGAGTTGAGAGGTTGATTGCATGCTAGTTTACATTTCAAAAACAAAAAGAGATAGTAGTGCTTAACGAAGCCCAGATAGGTGTCTTTCTGTAATCCAGCTCCATAGCCAGTATGATGTTTGTTACGGCATTTTATCTCTCCATCCATTCCTCAAGGTGGTCAAAGAATGCCTCATGGTAAGGATTTCTACCAAGCCAATCAACTGGTGTGAACACGCGCCCAGATTCAAGATAAAACCGTGTCAATTCGTGGTTCAAACCTTTATCAGTTACTAAGTCTTCTCTTGCGAAGGACATTGTCAAACATACGATCCAATGCTATGGAACAGGCCGGTTGTAGGGAGAAGCGAGATTCTCGCTCACGAAAGAGATTCAGTGATTTTGGAATATTAGTGCCTCAAGAACGTCAGTTCGGTTTGAAGAAGCAGGCGCAGGGGGGGTAAGGAAGGGGGTTACCTTTAGGTATGCATAGGTAATGAGGTTCAGCCGCGAGCTGACCACTTTCTAATCCATCCAAGTAATTATCCCACGACCTTCGTGTAATTTGTTGCATGAAGTGTGTATTTGGCATGAATTATGCACCATTTGAATCTATACGGGTCAGCATTTGAATGAGTCTTATTTATGATTGCATACCGTCGATCGTGATAGTCGGGTGGACCAAGCCATCCTCAGATACTTTAATTCCATCCTCATATTCCCAATCATCTTTTTCAAAGGCCCTGTTGAAGAGTCTTGAATCACAGTGAGTCTGAAACCGATACAAGGTTGCCGGGAATGTCCTGTGCGAGGACACATAAGAGAAAGCTCGCTTGTTTGAGTAATGAGAGAGACCACGCGCAGGGCCCTGCGAGATACGAACGAGATTCCGAACTAAAAACATGATGCCTAAATAAGTTTCATGCACTGAGAAGATTGAAAGTCCAATAAGGATAGATAGATGTCAGGTTGGATGGGGATTTGTGGAATGTCCCACACGTCGGAGGCAAGCGGCCTGAGGTGACGAATCACATACCATCTGTTGCCAGAATTGGGCTTTTTGAATAACTCGATACTTAGCTTTAGCAATTTGGGGGAGAGAGAGAGAGAGGAGAAATCTTGTGGAGGAATGTACAGGCTTGTATGGGAGTAAGCTCGGATCTCGGGAGGTTTATGATCACCTCTCTTACTGATTATCACTATCACATGAGGTGTCGCAAAGTATATAGTGATGATATTACTGTGTTGAAACAAGGGGCTGTGTAGACTGACAGAGCAGGGAGTAAAGGATTAGTCACATGAAGCTATTCACAGCTGTAGTCTGTCACTGCAGAGACCACTAGTCTACTGAAACTACCACATCATACAATTGTTTCAAAAATCATTAATAACATAATTATTTAAAAAGAAAAAAATCAACTTCAACTATAATAATGCTGGGGGCCCTCCAAGAAGCGGAATATTGTTGGTTATGATAACAGCCATACCACGGGATGTAATTCACTTGCAATACCAGGTGGATCTTACTATAGCCGGCATGGTCTGCTAAACAGGTCAATAATTAATCTTTTATAACATGTATCCTACTGCTTCTAATAGCCTCCATCATCACCACTTCTTATCCAGTTCTAATCATGGAACGAACTGCCAAGAATAGCATATATAAAAAAGTGGAGACGAAGTGCAATTTTGACGTTTGTGAGAAGGATGAGGCTTGAGGGCTGTAAGATGTAACTATGAGCGGAGGCAAGCAGAGAGGTCCCGTATCTAACCTAAATAGCTGTCTAGAAATTGAGCAAAGCCTAGAAAAGCGTACTTTGTACTCCGTAGTTGGAGATGATTTGGCCATGTCTGATGGGGAAAGAAAGAGGAGAGGAGATGGGATGCTGAGTCAGCCGACGATCGGGTGGCCAGTTAGTTAAGGAACTGAACGATCAGCCTTTGATTCTCTGCTCAATACTCGACCCTGTCCGCTGTTCCTCGTCATCGAATCGCCCTCCTTTCCTTTTATTTCCTCTTCCTTCGTTGCTCTTTCCCTTATTCTCGGTTTTCTTTGCTCTATTAACCTTTGTCGTCGTTTATTGGGTTCCGCTCTTTTACTCCGCCCTCGACCATATCTAGGCGCCTGTCGCTAACGTCGGCGCATCGTCAGCCCTGCTGCAATATTCCTGGAATAATAAAAATGGCAGCACCCTCAACTCGACAGTGGGGCGTCACGCCTCCGATCTCTACTGTCCTACCTACCACAGATGAGCTGGCTGCAAATGATGACTTGATTGCAGAGCTGAAGGCCCAGAACAACTTCGAAAGTCCCGCGGAGACCGAGCGAAGGTGAGACACGCACCCCCCAGGGACTCGATTGACTATGGACACTGATCGAATTGGTCGCGTAGGAAACAAGTCCTCGAACTGATCCAGCGCGTCATGCTCGAGTTCGTCAAAACCGTCAGTCGGAAAAAGGGGCTCTCCGCAGCCGCGGTCGATGCGGCCGGGGGGAAGATTTTCACTTTTGGAAGCTATCGCTTAGGCGTCTATGGGCCCGGTATGTCGTGCGGACTAGGTTGGATGGAATTATCCTCCATGCGTTGCTGACTGTTGCTGTGTGACAGGATCGGATATCGATACCTTGGTGGTTGGCCCGAAGCACGTTTCGATTGATGACTTTTTTGCGGAATTCCCCTCCGTCCTAGAGAAGCTGGCCCCTGCGGGTGCCATTGAGAAGATGACCCCAGTTCCAGATGCCTTCGTTCCCATCATCAAACTTGAAATGTCCGGCATCAGCATTGATCTAATCTTTGCCCGTCTCATGGTTCCGTCTGTTCCGATCAACCTCGACCTAAAGAACAATGACTATCTGAGGGGGCTGGACGAACGCGAGGCCCGGTCGCTGAACGGCACCCGTGTAACCGACGAAATCTTGGAACTTGTTCCTCAGCAGAAGACCTTCCGCTTCGCATTGCGTGCGATTAAACTTTGGGCGCAGCGTAAGTGGTCTTGTACAGAGCCCTCGAGCCTGTCAGCTAATCGCTCGCTTCCAATCCATAGGCCGAGCTATTTACTCCAACATTGTGGGTTTCCCCGGTGGTGTTGCTTGGGCAATGCTTGTTGCACGCGTCTGTCAACTCTATCCGCAGGCTACTGGATCTGTGATTGTGGGCAAGTTCTTCCGGATCATGAACAAGTGGGCCTGGCCTCAGCCCGTCCTGTTGAAGCCAATCGAAGATGGTCCTCTGCAGATGAAAGTGTGGAATCCAAAGGTATTAATTAGACCGGCAATATTTCGCCCTGTGCATATGGCTGATTGTCCTTAGATATACCACGGTGATCGATTCCACTTAATGCCTATCATCACCCCCGCTTACCCCTCCATGTGCGCCACACACAACGTGTCACTGTCGACAAAATGTGTTTTGCTCCGCGAGCTCCAGCGTGGCGGTGACATTGTGGATAAGATTTTCATGAAGCAATTGAGTTGGAGCGATTTGTTCGCGCGGCACACATTCTTCACCAAGGACTATAAGTATTACCTCAGTATCACTGCCTCGAGCAAAACCAAGGAAGCAGAGGCCGTGTGGTCCGGTCTCGTCGAATCAAAGATTAGACTTCTGGTGGGGGCGTTGGACAGAAAAGCGACTATCGCAGTGGCTCACCCTTTCCCCAAGGGGTTTGAGCGTACCCACATCGTCTCCAATGAGGCAGAGTTAGAACAGGTCAAAAACGGGTCGACTAAATACCAGGACAAAGGCATCAAAACCGAAACCACTGACGAGCAGAACGATGCAACCCATCAAGCTGTAGCTCTGAATGGGGTTGAGAGCGAAAACGCTGAAGTTCCGGAGGCTGCTCAGAAACAAGCGAACGGCGACAGTCGGACCATCTACACCACCACTTACTACATCGGCCTGGAACTGAAACTCGAGCCAGGTACGCCAGTCGTATTCCCTGCGTGATTCCACTGACTTTGGTAGGTGCGTCCCGGTCGCTGGATATTTCCACCGACGCACAGATCTTCAAATCGACTTGCACGTCTTGGGCTGGATATCAACCCGGTATCAACGATCTGGCCGTTACGCACATTCGCAAGTGAGTCATTACTCCGGGGTCAAGGCGAACGTCGAATCTAACCTGCTTTAGCTTCGACATGCCCGACGATGTCTTCCAACCCGGAGAGACCCGACCAACTCGACCTAAGAAGAAGGTCGTCAAGAAGGCCGACGCCATCAGCGGTCAGAAGCGCACCCTCGAAACCATCGACGTAAGTGCATATAAGAGCGTTAAGACAAACCACGATCAGCGAATCACCCGCCATGGATAATACAGAAAGCTTCCACACAGTGTGTTGGCTGCCGAGTTAGTATCTGGGATTTACTGATATCAACCGTCTGTTTTCCAGGACCCGTCGCACCCTTCGAAACGCCAGGCAACATCCAACACTCCCAGCGCCGCAACGCCTGCCTGAGTGGTCTATCCACTGCAGGTCCGCCCAAATTCGCTCCGGGGCTGGTCCCCACGCTCTATTGTGCGCCAGACACGACAGCACTACTGGTTTGAATCCGTGCGCCGATCTTTTGGTATACGTAGATACAGGCCGATCGATCCCAGCTGGTTCTGACTTTGGGATTGACTCGATATCACCCGACGTCAGAGGTTCAAGGTTGGTTTTCGTCTTTCTTGTTCCTACCTCTTCCCCATAACGATCCCATCTTTCTATATCTTCCTTCCTGGCGCCGATATCGCCTGCGCAGATAATCAACAACGGCAACAATTATGCGGCCAACACTCATGATACAAAAATTGGACCAGCAAAGAACAGCCTCCAATCCTCTCCCTCGTTGGCAAATCCATTCGAAACAGATGGATGTTAACCCTTTTTTTGTCTTCCTTGCACCATCCCAGCTTGTTTAATTTTGCATGCCGCGCTCAAACACCGAAAGTAAGATCTCTTTGGTCCTTCACTGTGGGTGATTTTACCACTGTACATATTCAGTTTGTTTTGTTTTTGTTCGGTTTAGTTTTCTAGCATTTTTGCTGGCTTACCTAGGTTTAGTTGAATGAAGGCATCGTATTTCGTGGCCTACGGGTCACTTTGCACATTTTTCTGTACGTTGCGCTGGAGATTGTAGAAATGGAAGTGGTTTACCATATTAGAGGATACAGAATACCACTTTCCAGCTACCAACGCTGGTGTAGAAAGGAAAAAAGAAAGGAAAAAAGAAAAGGAAACGAGAAAGGGGAAGGGGAGAATAATAAATCTAATGAAAAGCCAAAGCAAAATAAATATTACCAACTACAGCTCACATGTCCCGAGACACGCTGAGAGCATTGATTACATAGTTGTATTAGATAAACTAATTATACACCGAGAAACATAGTCAAATATAAGAGCGACAGCCCCCAAAACCATCTCGTAAACGTAGTATTACACGCAAGCCCACAGCCCGCGCTAGGAATCTCCGTCATCGACGGAGTCAGCTTCTTCCACAGCTCACAGCTCTCAACCTGCGCCTGCGGCACAGTCTCCATGTTCGTCGCACCGGTCTCAATCTTCAATCTTTCGCCCCGCCCCTCGCCCCACGGCTCCCACATAGGCGCATCGTCGCTCTTGAACGTGTTCGGATCCAGATACTTGACGAAGCTGATCCAGTAGCGCATGGTGACGGGGACAATCGCTGCGTTAACCTCCCTATAAGTGTTATCGGGGGCATTGTGCAGCGTGAAGGCATTCCCCGGGCCGAATATAGCAGAGCTCTCCCACGTGTGTGGCGTGCCGTAGCCGCGATCCACAAACTGCGGATCCTGCACGTTGAACCGGTAGTTCCAGACCTTGGTGGGGGATAGCGACTTTGCGAGGGACTCGGCCATGAAGTTCCCCGGACACACGAACGCCGCGTCCCCGTAGGCGGCTGCCGCCGACGAGAAGTACTCTGCGTGCTGGGCCGCGGGCTCGAGTTTCGGGTAGGCGTCGTTGATCTCGGCTAGCTGGGCGGGGCTGAGACCTGGGTAGTTGGCTTCGAGGAAGGCGGAGACGTCGGCGGGGGTGGCTGCGTTGTGTACGAAGTAGGTGCCTTCGTCGGTGTCGTCGCCGATGAGGAGTGGGACGTTGAGGTATTTTCCGTCTTCGAAGACGCGGTACAGGTAGTCTTGGACGAGGTCGCCGTCGACGACGGGGAGGAAGTACCATAGTGGGGGCGTTTTTTGGTTCGGATAGGGTGAGGGGACGTTGGCTGCTTGGATCTTGGTGATGTCTGCTGAGCGGAGGCAGGACATTGCGTCTCGTGGGCCGCTGCAGCCTGCGTCTTTGACGAATCGGTCGAATTGGAATTCGGAATTTTGAATGGTTGAGAGGCCGGGCCAGAACGGTGACTCGACTGCTGCGCCTATGAATAGGCTGTCGTTGCGGCCGCCGTAGGCGGACATGTGGATGCCTACTGAGGCAGCGCCGGCTGAGGCACCGTGAAGCACGACATGGTCTGGGTTCCCGCCGAACTATGCGACATGTTAGCAGGTCTTACGCCCGGAAAAATGAGCCAGGTGACGGGTTTCCTGTTTTGATTGACCATACCTGACTGATGTACTTCCGCACCCACTCCAACGCCTTCCGCTGGTCCAACAGCCCAGCATTCAAATCTCCGTTCGCCCTGACCTCCTCGCTAGCCAGAAACCCCAACGCACCAACCCGGTAGTTGAAATTGACGAACACGATGTCGCCCCCAGACTCCTCGATCACCGTGGTCCCGTTGAAGTTGGCATTGGAATTGGACATGAACCCGCCGCCCTGGATGTAGACCCAGACGGGAAGACTGGAGTTGGGGGTAGCATGCGACGGCTTGAAGACGTTGACGAAAAGGCAGTCCTCTCCCTTTGTCGCCGTCGGCTTTTTGGCGCCCGTGCTGATGCAGATGGGTTTGAACTAGCAAAGCGTTAGTCAAGAATGATCTTCGCGCTGTCGTCTCCGTCATATCTGTGTTTTAACTATATAGGGGCATGTAGGCAGATAGGATACTGACACTCGACGCGTCCTGCACAGTGGAGGTATTAACGGGGTCTAACGGAGCCCTGAATCGCAAATTCCCCAGCGGAGGGGCCGCATACCGCATGCCCAGAAACTGATCCACCCCGGTGTCAGCAACATGGCTGCCGCGGTATGTGGAATACCCCAGGTCGACGATTGGCGCGTCGGGGTCCGCGTCTCGCTTGTGTCCATGACCGCTCCACAGCGTCTGGACCATCAACACGAGGGCGAAGAGGGTATACATGGCATGATTCCATGCATGGGCTGGGATGAACTGGGGGGAGGGAAGAATAAGGCCAGGTCGATCTGAGGGTCAAAAGTTGCTCAAAGGTTCTCGGGCGTGTTGCTCCGCCACTTTGATGGGATCGACGTGGAATATTTCCTAGGCGGGTATAGTATCACGTCATATGACATCATGATGTGGTCCACTTTTTTCAGGGACCAGGGGAAATGTTTTACAGGAGATCGAAAGAAGCTTTTGATTACTTTAATTATTTAAATTAAGTAGATGGATCTTCGTGATCATCTGTGTCCTAAGTACGTACTTGTGAACAAATGAATTTCAACATGAACCCTCAATCCAAACGTGCCATCATGACAATTTGACCAAATCTCTCACTTGGATCCAACACAATAGGAAAATAGATAGATGAAAATAGAAATTAAAACCATCCCGGGAGTCCATGGAGCTTATCCAAATGTTCATTTAACCAACACTCTCACCTCCTGGCTACCCTTTTGAGGACGGGAAAAGAACAACTCTGCGGAAGCATCCACGTCTCTTTGTCTAACGGTGTCAAACAGAGACAGGGTCGGTTGACCTTGGTCGTTCGCACCGGGGCCTTGGTTAGGGTTGCAGTTCCGCACGATTCCGTAGAGGATGGTGTACATCTCGTGGTGCGCCACGTTGATACTAATCCGTGAGTTAGCAATATGACTATCACATCTCCACCCCTAAGGAAAGGAGAAAAGAAAAGAAAAGAAAAGAAAGAATGGATAACCCACCCAATACACATCCTACTCCCCTTCGAAAACGAAAGCAAGTACCTCTCAAGTCCTGGATTCCCAGTCCACCTCTCAGGCACAAACGATTTCGGAGACGGAAAGACCACCGGATCCATGTGCACCAGGAGCGGCGTCATACTAACGCGTGTTTCGGCCGGGATGGACCAGCTGGCCCCATTCCGCTTGTCGGTATAGACCATCGGGTCGCGGGAAACTCGTTGCATGCGGTAGAGGACCCCCGGGTGAAGTCGGAGGGCTTCCTTGACCACGGCTCTGAGGTAGGGAATCTGTTCCAGCTGGGCGACGGTTGGGGTACAGTCTAGGTCCGGGATCATGGCAGTCAGTTCGGCTTGGAGCTTTCTGTACATGGTGGGATTCTGCAAGAGGTAGAACATGACTGAGGACATTGCCATTGCTGTATTTCAATTTTTATCAGACTGTATTTTACTTGATTGGGGAGATAAGAGATGGACTCACCGGTCGAGTGCTCGCCCGCGATGCGGAGAGTATGTATCTCATGGATGAGTCTCAGTTGTTCCTTTTCCGGCTGAGGAAGTTTGCCGTTGAGAAGGAGATGGAAGATCGTGCGATATTTGCTATCTTTCGTAGTCGGTTCTCCTTCTACTTCCTGGAATTTCGACGCCCATTTCTGCATTACCAGTCAGCTACCACCATATTAGCATCAACAGGAAAGAAAAGAAAAGAAAACACCAACCTCATGCATAGACACCTGAGTCTTTAGTTTAGGAACAACCCTACCTTGCAACCAAAACGGCAAAGAATCAAACGCAGCCGCTATCCAAGGCAGATGCGCAAAAAGATGCGCTTTCTCCAAGCTGCGCTCAAACTCAGCCCCAAACGCGCGGTTGAATTCATCCTTTAGCACATCGCCCTCGGATTGTCCAAAAAGCAGAGTGGTGATGACCTCGCTCGTGGCAGCTTTAAACGCCGTCGTCAACGGCATTGGCTCGCCCGATTTCCTGTATGATTCTATGCGCTGAAGCAAGTCTCGCAGCACCCTTTGCATGACCGGCTCGAGCCTTCTAGCGGCGGCCTTGGAGAAGATCGGGCTCAGGGCTGCGCGTCTTCTGCGGTGGAGTTCGTGCGATTCGGTGCCGAGGGTTGATTGGCGCCCTGGATAAAGTATGTTAGGTTTTTTTCAAAAGGAGGGGGGTCGATGTGCGCATACATGACCATAAACCTTTCATCAGGGGTCCTTTGTCTCGCTTGTCAAGAGGGCCGGTATAGAGGATCTCGATGAAGTCGGGGTCGTTGACGTGAATCTCATGCGGGTTGATGCGGACGATGGGGCCTAGCGAGCCAACAGATGGTTAGCGCTGTAAAGCATCAAGCGAAAGACGATGCATACCATATTGCTCGTGCATCTGCTGCACCTTCCAGATGTACTGCCCCCGATGGCAGATATCGTAGTAGGCTTGGTACAACCCCGTAATGGCTATCGTGAGTTAGCATGATAATGATATTGTTGTTTTGATGGAACCAGCGCATACCTGCAAGCTTTGGACCCGGAAACCCAGACAGCGGACTGAAGTACACTAGAAGACATCACAGTTAGTATAGAATGCTAGATAAAGCTGATTGGTTGTACATACGTCGATAAATCATGGTAGAGATGATCACCGCTGGGAATAGCACCACAGCAATGGAAACGACCTCCATGAACGCTGACATTTGGCGATGAATCTACGCTTTCTACAGCTGTAGAGGATGGCAAGAGGATGGTAGAGGTTGAAAGGATTAGAAAAGAGTGATGGTAGGAGAAGTTAGCCATTATATACACAGATTCTCTCTAATTATAGCAGTCAACGTAATGATTGATGCTCGAGTGAATGGATATTTATCAGTGATCGTGGTGTCTATTATAAGCCTGGACTCAGAACCCTTGGGTCTACCAGTCAAAAGAAGGCGATGTAAACAAGGAACACCTGGATATGGGTGCATGGAAGTATATAGAAGTATTCTATCAGTAGTGTGTCCTCTTTCTATACAGAGAATGGATATTTACCTCTACAGTATAGATCCTCTTTCAAAATCTTTTCAACTCGTTGATAATCAGATGTCTACACTGGTAAGTGGAAATGATACTATTCCCGTGCACAAAGAAGTGATTCTAATTTGTCAACAGTTAACATTTCTATGTACACTCACATAAAATCCCACATACATCCTCAAAGCTATCCTGCTAAATCCTGTTGTGTATAGTGGCATAAAGCTCTGATTTCCTAGTTGCCTCAGACTAAATTCTGGCATGTATATCCTAGGACAGCTGACTTCAGCCACCTATTATAAACTATGATTCACATATTCATGCTTGAACAGGTTAGTACAAAGAAACAGTCATTTAGTATTCTTATTTACTCCTACCTTCCCCTGATCTAGATACTCACCTCTTTATACCCACGTGCAAGTTTAAGTCCACAAAAACAGTATATACCATGCAGCCCACCAATCAACTCCAAGCCTCAACAAGCCCACACAGAGTAGACTCTCCCCCAACATTTCCCGGGAATACAACAAAAGGCACGCCTTGGTGTCTCGACGTCGGCTCATCGCACTGCCACAAGGGTACACCCGGCGCTGCCTGGCCAATAACCATGGCGCGTTTGATATTCAGGCCTTTGGTTGCAGCATCGGAGGAAGTAATCCCACCCTAGGATCCTGTCAGTGAAACTCTCCACAACCCCCATATGCCATCAGACTGGTCCCGCAAGGAATATACCTTCGCAATAATATACCGTGGTCTCACCTCAACCCCCCGCAACACTCCCACCAAAGCATCCGCGACCTTCGACCCGATAGCCAAAGAAGACAGCTCGTCTTCTCCAGTAATCAGTGTACGACTAGTCATGACCAGCGTATCCATCCCACTCCGTAGATTGCGCTCCGTCTCGCGCACAACCTCCTGGATCAACTGTGTTGTTCTCTCGGGCGAGGCCACGATCAGATCTTCAACTTTCATCTCGATGACAGCTAGTTGCCCCGAGCGTCCGCGCGTATCAGTCAACGTCTTAAGCTGCGCTGTCGTCTTAGGCACATATGAACCTGCGATGATGAGTCCACCTGTCTCTCTCGGGCTGGGGAGGCCCAGCTCGATGGCTGTCTTCGGAGGTATAGAGCGGATACCGAGACGAGTGGAGACGAAAGTTGCGCTCGTTCGGTAGATGTAGTGTTTTCCTTTTGCTTCGGCTGTATCATTTGCAGTCAGTACTATGGTCACTCTCCCAATCCACTCCTAGCAGAGAACCAGGATAATACCCACCCATCAACACACCCGCCACAAAAACACACATATCCGACTCCACCACTGCATTCACAATAACCACCCCACCCCTCGGCACGCTCATCAGCTTCTCAAAAACCGCGGCCGGCCCACCTATCCGAATATCCCCAATCGACACAGACACGATCCGCTCCGCGCGGCCCCGCCCAGGCGCCTTCTCCAGCACATAGTCCCTCAGACTAGAGCTGCGGTAACCAAAGGTAGCGTCCTGCGCAAACTGCGTCTTCCCAGCAGGGACAAGCTGCTCACCCTCCCCGACGTAATGCACATCGTCGATGGTGACTCGGCCCCCCTGGAAGAAGAACGGCGCGAGCACCCACGCGTCCGCGGCGCCGAACACAGACTCCGCGACGTCAGCTTCGAGCGGGAAGTGGCCGCGGAGGGTGCTGTCGCTGCGGAGGACGATGTCGATGGTTTGGTTGGTTGTTGCGGCGGCTTGGGCTAGGTTCTCGCAGATGGTGCGGATGAGGGGTTTGGCTGTGAGGGGCGGGTGCGCGCGTGAGTTGGTTAAGATGAAGAAGCCTGGGGGTGGGGGGGTTCGTTGAAATTCTGCGATTAGGGTGGGCGTGTCCCAGGTTGTGAGCACGGGGATATTGTGGCTGGTTTGTGTGCCTGTTGGGTCGTCGTCGAGGATGACGAGGCGGTTGAGGGGGTTTGCGGAGAGGAGATGCGAGATTTGGTCTTGGGCGTTTGTGGGGGGTTCCGGGGGAAGTTGTGAGAGGGTTTGCTCGCGTGGGAGGGGTGGGTAGGATTGTGGGGTGAACATGTTGCTGTTGTCTTCTTTTCCTGGAGTGTTAGGTGAGGTATAACATAGGGCATATCAAACATGCAGATGAGGGGCAGCCAACGCGGGGATCCACCGATGATCGGACCTCTCCTACAACTACAATATAGCATCAATGCGGATACATTGAGGAATCCAAATAATATACCTAATAACTAGTTATATCTGGGCATCAAGTGGCTGAAATCTGATTGTATATCAACAAACACACGATAGGATAAGAAAATATGCAGAACCCCATAGCGCCGTGACATGTGCAGAGACTATGCAAGAAGGTCATCATGGACGAGAAAGAGCAGCGACAATGGGACAGATGCTGGTGCAACCACATAAGAGAAAAGAAGAGATTGAAAAAGAAGGGGAAGAAGAAAGAGAAAGGAAATCCCAAAAGAATGACAGCATTATCCCCAACCCGTCATTACCCATACCCAATGATATCCCAACAACCCCAGTGAAGAGAGAAAAAAAAAAAAAGTAAAGAACTATTGCCGTGCACCCCTTGAAGCCTCATACCGCGCGTTGCTGATAGGAAAAGTATATGAAAGCAGATCCAAACGAAAGTTCAGAACATATCACATCAACAAACACGAACATCAACCGACAGGTCATTCTCAACCCACCACACTGCGGAAGCTCAACGCCTCAAGGAACCCCCCAAGGTCCTCCTTCTGCACTTCAACCACGCAGTGTTCAAAGCTATCAATGCGGACCCTTGTGTTAGTCTCCTGCACGACCTCCTGGAAGGCAATGCCGAACCGGTTACGCAGGAGATGCTTGTTGCTCTGAGCGCTCTCCTCGTCCTCGGATTCCGACTCAGATTCCGACGACGACTCGTCTTCGCTCTCCTCCTCGGAGCCATCGTCGTCTTCTCGCTCGGCACGTTCGGCCGCCCGTTGTGCCCGGCGGTCCTCCCGCTCCTTGCGCTTCTTGTCTTTCGCTTCTTTCTTTCTCCGTCGTTCCTCGCGACGTTTGGATAGCGCTGCGAAGTCCACGACGCCGCCGCCGCCGCCGGTGCCGACGACCACGTAGAGGTCCCGGTCTTCGTCGAGGCCGGCTAGCACGAGAGGGGTTCCGGTGCTGCGCTTGCGTCCGACTTTGGTGTCGCCCCGCTCTCGTTCTTGCACTTTGATCGCCTCGGCGATCCACAGCGCTAGTTTGGTCAGGGCGCCAGGGTTGGTGAATAGCTTGACGTCTGGGCCTTCTTTGACCACGGCGATCCGGAACGCGCGCAGATGCCGAATCTGGTGCTTCGAGAGCAGTGACGTGCCGGTGCGGAGGATGGCACGGTGAAGATGCTGGGCAAGGGGCAGAGAGGCGAGGAGTAATGTGGGGGACTCGGACGTGAGAGACAGCGCATCGTAGGCGCTCCAGAACCGGGGGAGAAGGCTAGACAAGTCGGACCCCGTTTCGGCCAGATCACTTTGCTTGGGTTGCGACACACGCTTGGTGTCCCACGAGCCCGGGGCCTCTTCCGGTCCAACCTCGAGGATCGCACCCACAATGACTCCAACGTCGGTGGCGGATAGGCATGCCTTCCAGCCCCAACAGCGGACAAACCCCCATCCCTCGCGGGAAGCGGCATGTCCGGATGCCTCCGCGGGAACGAGTCCGTCTAGGCCATACATCGGAGCGTACTTGAGCAAGCGCTGTCGCAGCACTCGCTTCAATTCCATGTCCATGTGGGTGTAGTTCTGGTGAGACTGGCTCAGACTGATGCCCATCTTGGCCAGAAGCTTGTGTAGGCGTTTCCTGCCGTTTTCGGACCACACGTGGAGTCTCGACGCCAGGTAGGGACTGTGAAGCATGCTGTCGTATAATGACCAATGTCGTACAAGGATGAAACGAGGCTCGGGAGACAGCCGGATCGACTTGTCTGTGGGGGATTTGGCCGTCGTCGGGATGATGCCGTTGATCTCCCCTCTGATATCGCGATCCCGCTCGTAGGGGTCTGGTGGATTCAACCGATGGACTTCGTCGCGCATGATTTGGCGTACTCGCTCTCCCCGTTCGCCGCCCCAGCCGGCCGATCCTCCCAGTTCCAGCGAGTTGGATATCCCGACGCCGGACATGGTACGACCGCTCAGTTCTAAGCTCGAGACTCCCACAATGGCCAGCCACAGTAAGTCGTTATCCTCGCGGCCAAGCTCCGACGCAAGAGAGTACACGAGGGAGGATATTGGTTCTGAGTACGAGGTGCCCGCAGAGTAGTATTTTTGAAGCACACCCTCGTGTTTCTTCTTCATCCGGATCAGGCGGCGCCTTAACGAGAGAGCGGACGGCTGTCTTGGCTGCGCAGGGGACGGTGAATCTGACACGGGGGTAACAGAGCGCGAAGAGTTGGAAGAATCGTGGGCTGGTCTTCGGTGGCGGGTGGGAGACGAAACGAGGTACGAAGAGTTCTGTGAATATTAGCATGCCGCCCACACGTCCAGAAACAATCAAGGAAGCACACACCGAATTACTCCGCCGTCGCTGACGAGGCGGCCCATCCTCCTCCTCCGACTCACCCTCATCATCCTCCCTTGACCACGACTTGCGCTTCTTCGAGTCCGAGCTCGACAAAAGATCACCACCACCACCCCCACCATCCTCACTCCCCGAATCATCCAGACCCACATCCACATCCTCCTCATCCACATCTGGCATCTCCAGCAACGCACAATACGCGTCCCTCTCCCTCCCCATCTCATCCTCGATATCCCCATCATCAAAGACGACAATCCCCCCAGCGCCCCCAGGATAAGACGGCGAAATACACCCCCGATCAACGCCGCGCGTTTTCCGGCGCGCAGTGGCATCGACAACCTCGCCCCCAGCCTCGCCGCCAAAAACATTCGACAGATTCCACGGCCGCCGCGCATCAAACACCCACACCTCAACGCCGCCCAGGTCCTCCTCCACGTCTTCGTTCTCCGCACCGTCACTACTGCTCAGGCTGAGCAGCTCACTGAGATCGACCAAGCCGCCGACGCCCAGACACACGACCACGCCGCCGCTGCCGCCGTTCGTGGTCTGCATGGGCTTGATCAGCTCGTCGCCTGCGCGCGCGAGATCGCCATACCCGGCTACCGGCTGGATCTTGTGCGGGATGTAATCGCGTTTGAGGAGTGCTGTCAAGATGCGGCAGGCACAGAGCGCGTCGGGCTCGAGGGCCACGAGGATCAGGACGGGCGGGGAGAGCGGGTGGTGCGAGCGGAGGAGTTGCAGGTAGAGGTGCGAGATGAGTTGGCGCGGGAGATACATTGTTGATTAGGTGTTTTGGATGTATCGCTTGTATGTAGATAGGTAGGTAGAGAGGGAGGGCACACAAGAGGGGTGGGCGGACGCGGTTGAAGGAACAATTAGAGACGAGTAAAGAGGCCTGCAAGAGGCCTCCTGATCTCTTGGGAGAAGCACAATCTCACAGATGAGAGTATAGAATTACAGGCAGAAGACCGTAGACGGCTCCATCGCCCGTTATCTGTTGCTGTGTTGGGACTGTTTGGGTGGTGGTGCTGGTGAGGTAGTTCACTAGGGTAACAAAGGCGCCTTCTTTGCTCCGTCGCGCGCATCTCTTTCCAGCCCCGGGACGGACAACGCGTCGCAGTTGGGTCGGGACCCGCACGTGCAGAGACCAGCGCCAAGCCTGTCCATTCGTTTAATCAATTAGTGGCAGGCAATTGATGCAACATTATTCATGGTTGACCTGGAGAACATCCTGTGCGCAGATAATTGTCCAGGTTTTTTGTAAGTATGTGGGCTATACAGGAATTATGTGGGTTCGCATGTATTCGAGTTTCACCGTGGCATTTTTGACCAGCTTGATGATCCACCCCGTCGCGTCAAAATAATCAATCAGTACTGACGCGTTGATGACCATACGATTTCCAGGATCGTGAAAGGATTTCTTCGGATATTGATTAGATACATAGCAAAACACCAATGACAAGTAGTATATACACCAATGAAGGAACTCGTAGATCACGGCTGTACCCTAACGCGCAAGCAATGCGAGCATTCTCCTCTATTCCATGATTATGCAGAAGAGCGACCCAACTTCGAACCGGCAAACCAGATAGCAGCACAAGCGCCTAAAACAGACGTCCCGATCAACCGTTTCTCCCAGATAGCGACATCGGTCATCTTAGCGGGTCCAACTTTGTTCGCTGTGTCATAAGAGTGCGGTTTCTGCGTCTGCGACTCGGCATCGGAAAGAGGTACGTCGGTGCTGTTCTGGGACCCGTCGGCATGCGCAGCAAGATATTCCCGGTCGTGTGAACGCCATTTCTCCACCAATCGAGCGATTTCGATCAGATCCTCCTGCAAAGAACCCGGCTCCGTGGCATTCGCGTTCTCGACCTCGACATTCTGGACGTTGCCGAAGAAATCGACCAACGTCCGCAATCGCCCTTCTTCTTCACCACCGGGGAAAAGGTCCCATCGCACGCCGGGTTGAGAGTGGATCTTGCTCTCGTCGTATGAGTCGAAGAGGTCGCCCAGCGTCAACTTCGAATTAGCACTCGTCACCTGGGTTTCGAGGAAGTCGAGCACGTAGTACGTCCACCTACAACCGTTGTCAGCATATACACACCATAATCCAAAGTTTCTCGTAGGGAGCCATACCTGTCAATGACCGCAACACCCACGTCACTATCCGCATGGTGAGAGTAGGACGACTGGTCGAGCGCACTAGAGCCCGTCGCGACAATGTTGGGCGAGTAGAAATTGGTGTACATTGTGTTCGCCTGGCACGTATCGATCATGAAAAGCAGCTCGTGATACCGCTTCTTCTCCCACATCTGACCGAACGCATCCGCCAGATCCCACGCACCGATCTCTTCCGCATCTTGAAACTTCAGGAACTGGTCTCCGCCGTGGCCCGTCATGTAGACAAGGACGTTACTCCCGGCATCCGACCCCAGACGCTTGCTGCGCGGCACGTCCTCGTCTAGTCGGTCGGTCAGGAGACGGATGAAGTTCTCCACCGTCACTTCGTATCCTCGGTAGTCCACCTCGATGTTGTCTCCGTATAGGTCGACGGCGCGGTCGGCATTACTGTAGACCGTTCCCGGAAAGGCGTTGCGCGGGTTGCAAGCCATGTCGTCGGGGAGCATCAGGATGATCTGCGAGTCGGGGATCCCCAACCGCTTGACGGTGCGGTACAAGGAGAGTACATTGGCGAGGTGGCGGTAGTTGAACCAAAATCGAGATGTCGAGACTAGGACCGCCCAGTTCGAGGTGTGTTCCGCGGAACTCAGGACCGCAAGGAGGGGGAGGAGTAGGAGGACTCGCGTGAGTCCGAGAAGGTGTAGGGCCATAGCGAACGGTCGGAGGTCAGATCATCATAGGAGTTGGTGCAGGACTGAAGGAAAACGAAGAGACACCAAAATGGTGTATACAATAGGCGGAAGATCAGCCCAAGCCCAGTGAGCAAGTATTCAAGTTGTTTCAGGTAAAGAGAGGATGAGAGGGGATCTCTAACAGTAGATGAAGCTGGGGAAGGCAGAAGACAGATCGGGAGTTTCCCTGGGCGGGTGGAGAGCCTTGACCCACTGGCCGATAGCAGCGTGATAAAGGATTTTATACGCCCAGTTATGTTTGATTTGTCAGCCAGGTATGAACCTTTCTTTCTCTCTCAAGCCTCTCTTTACCAGATGGCGCATCTATTGATACAGATTTGATGATAATAGGTACAAACAGCGTTCAATAACAGCATGTTTCTTCCTACGTTGGACAACCTGTAATGATACTAGGTGTGTACACCGTCCCAATGAGTTCTAGCCCTGCGGCCATGCAGGAACCAGGAAACAGTCGCCCTCGCCGTATCACCACCACCATGACAGGACTCAATCATCGAGCTTCTACATTCTACACGCCTTGATGAAAAAGCTTGACGCAGCCCTCATTGGAGCAACATTGAATCATACTTTGTCAGAGGTGGTTCCCCGATGACCCAGGTGCATCACGTGCTTGTGTAATTCGTGGGCGATTTTTCAGCTTTATACATAACAGCAGATCGGAACTGATGTTGTCGCTGTATACGGGCTACTTGATCGCCGAGAACAAATACAGAGGGACCATGTCATGACCAAAAGTCTATCGCAAACAAATATTTTGGAAAAAATCTAGGAATATGTATAATACACCAATGTCTTCACCTGTTGTCCATCTATTTGGAGATCTCAACGCCACCGGTGACGCCCAGGAGACGCTTGATGTCACCGTAGATAGCGAACTGGCCAGCAGTGATGCTACCAACCATGAACAGACGGGCACCGATACCGGCGTACGAGCCACGGAAGCCAAGCTCCTTGCCGATCTTGAACAGACGGGTCATGGTACCCTCACCAGGGGCGCCCTTGGTCTTGTTGATCTTGCTCAGCATGGTGTCAGCGGGCTGAGAAACGAGAGCGGCGGCGAAACCGGCGATGAGACCGGAGCCCAGGTTGATACCGGTCTTGGTGCCGTCGGAGGCGGTCTCCTTGTCGACGGTGCGGTAGATGCTCTCGGCAACCTTCTCGAAGACGACGAACTTGGCCATGGTGTAAGGGACCCTGAGGAATAAATTAGCATCGTGATAGTCGCGTTTCTAATGCGGGGCTGGGCTTACTGCTTGAAGAGCATGGGACCGAAGCCAGAGTAGAAAGCGCCGATACCCTCGTTCTTGAGGATCTTGCCGAAGCCGCTGACGAGACCGCTGGCGAACTCGGGCTGGGAGACGAGACGGATACGGGTGGCCTCCAGGGGGCACAGGGCGATATCGGCGAAGAACTCAGCAGTGGCAGACGAGGCGAGGTAGACAGCGGTGCGGTTGTTGGAGGCGGTCTCCAGGCCGAGCTGGTTGATCCACTGCTGCTTGAAGAACTCGTAACCACCGAACTTGAAGGCACCCTGCAGGAAGTAACCGGCAGCTATTTTTCCACGTTAGCACGACGGAACCGGGTGGTCGAACATCGACCAGGGCGTCAACTTACCGGTGGGACCGAAGCCAGTGAGGAGAGCGCCAGCACCCTCTTTAGCGACGACCTGCTTGAAGCCGCCGATCATGCCACGGTTGTAGGTGGCAGGGTCAAGCTGAATGCGGGTCTTGACGCTGTGAGATGGAAGAGAATCATGTTAGCGCTACCGTCGGTGAAGACAAGAAACCGGATGGGCGCGGTTCAATGACCACCAGGGCCGATTGAATTCAGGAAGCGCAATGAAGGTGGACTTACACATCGACAGGGGTCAGAGCACCGTGAGTGACGGAGCAGCAGACGGCACCAGCGAAGGCGAAGCCGGAGTAGAGCTGAAGGCCGCTCATCTTCTGGGGAGCAGGGGCGACCTTCTCGGCGACCTGCTGGACGGGAGCGGGGGCGTTGGCAGACATTATTATGATACAATTTCTATATTGTATTCAAGCAAAACAAACAGGAAGAAACGATGGACAAGAAAGAGGGGAGAAGGAGAGGAGAGTGTGGGGATGCGACAGCACGAAGCAATTGAAGAGGAAAGAAAAATGACGGAGGGAGAGAAAAGAGACAGGATTTGAAAGGGATGGCCGACTAAACAAGTGGCACTAGCGGCACCAAACCCGAAAACTTTTCGCGGGCCAAGTGCGGGAGACGCTCGGGCGGCCGGTAGTGTTCGTCCTGGTCCGCTTGCCAGTTGCCACTCATCGTGCGTCCAGTTTCCGATCACCCGGTCAACTGACGATACTATAAAACTTCTTGGACAAGAGTTTAAATGGTTCTGATTGGAAGATCAGGTCATTCTCTTGTCAAAAGACGTTCTAGTCTCTGGCCAAAATGATTCAATTCCATCCAAATTCCAGATCTCTCCCAGACTGGCTGATGTCATCGCTTGGCTTTCTTGATGATGGAAGTCACCTGATTGGCTGTCCAATTCTCACGGGTTGCCCGGTGCGTTTGTTACCTCATTGATACTTGGCATTACAATCATTTTATTCCTCCAAATGGGTCATATTTATCAAGCATGGGTGTCTATTCCACCTCTATCCATGCTATACTAATTGACTTCTTGTGGAACGTAAAATATACAAATCAGAATTTTCATCCAGTCGATTATACACATGGTCCACGGTAAGACCGGAGGGTTCCTTACCTAAGGGAACGCCACAACTCAAACGCTGCGGCTCCACTGCCTTCATTGTGTATACCAGAGATACCCAGTATATCTCCGATTTCTCCTCCGTGCTTCAGCCTAGTCCCTGATGGCGCACTCTTCATCTCTTCCTCCATCAATCTATTCTATCTGATGCACTGCGCGTGCGACAGATCTATATTTCTCAGAACTTCTCGCCACAAGCAAACGAGTTCCTCTAGGCGATATGTGCGCAAACAGTTAATCACAAGATGCTGCAATCTTGACTCGCACGGATTAGTCAATACCAAGTCTACCAGTTGACGTGGTTTGCAATGTTGGTTGCGGTGCCAAGTCGCGTGTGGAGTGTTGGTCAGTATATATGACACATAATAGGCGGTCTCGGCCGGATGACGGTTCTTTGAACCCCAGATCGAATAGAGCACCTATAGTCCTGCCAACAGGGGGTTTTTGTCAGCTTTGTTTATTGTGCTTTTTGTATGGGCGTGTTGTAGTAGCAGACAGAATATTGAAAGTGGTTGGTAAGTGGAAACAGAATGATGGTTAACTGAGGCTTGCCTTCGAAAGAGGGAACACAACCGTATCTGAGATAAGACAGAGCAGAGTTTGTAGCCTTTGAATTGTCATTTAGCGAGACTGACCACAAAGTTCAGCCAGGAAACGATAGAACTTATATAGGTCCTCCTATCGCACACTTATTACCATGCATACAGATATGTGGCTCAAAGTCATGCCGTCCTTTGGTGTATATCATAGTGGTTAGCAGGCGATGGCATGCAATGGCATATTTAATGTACTTCCTGTTCAAATAATTCCAAATCGACCGCTGAACTATCTCACATGGGAAAATACTGGCGCTTTCCATTGAGAGCTCCTAGTCAGATATAAGATTACGAGCGGACACAAGAACAGAGAAAATACGGAATTTAGCGGTCTCATACCTCTACTAGAAACTCTACAAGTATATCGATATCTAGACCCGAAAGTGGCACGATACCTTGTATAATCTGGTGATTTTTTGATCGCTGTCGTCTTGATCGTACATTATATATACTTCTATCATCCACCCAATCAGAGCCAGAAGGCCCTAGAGTTGTCGGAGAAACGAACCACTTTAGAGTCGGTGTCGATCACTGCATATATGGATCATATTTACCAGATATCATCACCCATCAAAGTTCAATATTCTACTTTACCTATCTATAGTCCAGAATGTTAACTTACTTCGTTCTATCCCTGCAACCACACCGACACTTGACTCAATGTATTAGTAATACTGGTATCGTGTGTCATTTTTCATGCAGATGTTGGATCGATACTATTGAAATAGTCAAGAAGATCTCTTCCAAGTGACACCCATCAGAGCGCCCAATACTCGGAAACACACAGTAGCCACGCCGATGAAATTGTCAAACTTCTGCATATCAGGTCGGCAGGATCAATATTTGCTGTCATATTGCTGCAATAACTCTGAATCCGGTATCAAGCATATCTTGTGATCATGGTGCTATCTGTTTCTTGCATCCACAATACTGCAGGCTATTCGCTTAGTGACATGTGTTGCATACGGTCTGGCGATTTATAAATAGCATCACCCTCCCGGTTTTGATAGCGCAGATCCATCCCCCCATTGAATAACCGCGCATCAGCGATTGACATCGCGACTGGAATCCTGCTGGATAACTCTTTGGCAGTCCTCGTACCTGATCGTGTTTCCTTAAATAGCTAAAAACACCATCAATCCACCAATGCTGTCTCTGCTGAGGAGTTGCAGTCCCAAGACAAAGGACGACAAACAACGCTGGAAGAAGATCGAAGGTGTGTTCATCTCCTCGTCTCAGACGGTACATGTGTCCCGGCGAAGCGCAGCTAACTCCAACCAGACGAAGCCGAGCAACTTCACAAGCTCCCATCATGGGACGCCTCCGACAACACACTCCTCATGCAGGCCTTTGAATGGCACGTGCCGGACGATCAACACCACTGGAGTCGTCTCCGGCGCGCACTGCCCGGCCTCAAATCAATCGGGGTCGACCGCATGTGGATCCCCCCAGGCTGCAAGGGCATGAATCCTTCCGGCAATGGGTATGACATCTACGACCTGTACGACCTAGGAGAATTCGATCAAAAAGGAGCACGGGCGACGAAGTGGGGGACAAAGAAGGATCTACAGGAACTTGTGTCCTGTATGCGAGAGCTGGATATAGACGTCTACTGGGATGCCGTCCTGAACCACAAGGCTGGTGCGGACTACACGGAACGTTTTCCAGCGGTGAAAGTGGATCCGGAACGTGGGTTTGATTCAAATCACTACCTTCCTTGGAAGTCTGTCAAGATATACTGATCCATGCTGCGGATCTTAGGGCGTGATATGGATATTATGCTACCCCAAGACATAGAAGGGTGGGTCGGATTTGATTTCCCCGGGCGCGGGGGCCTCCATAGCCCCATGAAATACCACTGGCGCCATTTCAGCGGCATAGACTGGGACCAGTCTCGGGAAGAGCAAACGATTTACAGAATCGATGGTCCGGGGAAAGGCTGGGCTGGAGACGTGAGTAAAGAGAATGGCAATTATGACTTTCTCATGTTTGCAGATCTGGATTACTCCAACCCGGAGGTGCGAGAGGATGTCCTACGATGGTCTGAGTGGATTGGAGACCAGCTACCGGGCATCAACGGAATGAGACTGGATGCAGCTAAGCATTATTCGGCCGGTTTCCAGAGAGAACTTATTGACCGTATCCGGGCACGGCTCGGGCCAGATTACTTCTTCCTTGGGGAGTATTGGTCGAGTGAACTCAAGGTTTTGGTGGAATATTTGGAGATTATGGACTACCGTCTGTCTTTGTTTGACGTCCCTTTGGTCGAGTCCTTTTCGAAGAAATCCCAGGTCAAAGCTGCTGATCTTCGCACGGTCTTTGGTGACTCATTAGTCGCAAGCAAACCCGAGTATGCAATTGTGGGTTTCTCATCCATCTTGACCCCGGGAATCTGAGACTCACTGCTAGGTACATGTCAGACATTCGTGACCAACCATGACACTGTAAGGATATCTCGCAAAGAGACCATCACGGCCGATCTATACTAACCTGCATCAAGCAACCAGGACAATCTCTAGAAGTAAGAAACACCACATCCATGTTCCAGTCTTCACACCGCAACTGGGATCTGACCCCCTATAACAGACTCCAGTGTTATCAATTTTCAAACCCCTCGCATACGCATTGATCTTGCTCCGGAACCAGGGCCAGCCCTGTGTATTCTACGGAGATCTCTACGGCATCAGACGCGGCGTCAAACAACCCATGGTCCCATCCTGTGGCGGCAAACTGCCAATTCTGTGTCGTGCTCGAAAACTGTACGCATATGGGCATCAGCAGGATTATTTCAACCGACCAAATTGCATCGGTTCGTATTAACGACAACACTCACCGAGCATATTTCAAAGCCTTTGTAACAGAACTGACTAGTCCAGGCTTCGTCCGCTATGGCAACCTTCGACATCCGTCCGGGCTTGCCTGCATCATGAGCAACGCAGCCGCATCACAAAAACGTATGTATGTCGGTCGACAACATGCCAAAGAGCGGTGGACGGATGTTTTGGGCTGGCACAAAAAGACTGTCGTGATTGACAAGAAAGGCTACGGTGTCTTCCCTGTTTCTGCCATGAGCGTTAGCGTTTGGGTGGACTCGGCGGCGAAGGGGAGAGATACTCTTCAGGACCCTTTGTATGTTGATTGACCCCCTGCCTTCTTCCGTGCTTTTATGACCATGCCGCTAATAGTAACCATGATAGTGATAGTAATATTTATGGTAATTGAGAACTGGACAAGTCATGTGTATGAATATGGTCATTTTGTCGAATGTTTTGAATATATACATGCTATAATACAGGCAATTCTGCTTTATATTGGGTTGGGCGGCATCCAACAACCATTTAACCGGCTCACCTCAACACTGAGGATGAAGCGTTCGTGGTCTAGCGCTATTTTCCAGCCAAAACACTCGAGAAAAAAAAAAAAAAGTACATTTATGGCAGACCTGCAGGTGAGAATTAACCCCAGCATGTAGCAAGTTTCTAGCCTGGCACTTGACCAACCGGGAACATCCCTTGCTCATCCTCCACTCGTTGGGTTGACTCACTGAGTCAACCAGGACAATCTATTTAAGAACGAGCCATGTCCCTCTCCTTGGATTCTGTCTTCCCCCCCAACATCGCTACAGACAATTGATTCACCATGAATCACCTCAGACAAACCTTTGCCCAATGCCATCAGGAAAGCCGTCCAGCACTGGTCACGTACGTGACGGCCGGATTCCCCACGGCGGAGGAAACCCCGGACATCATGCTGGGCATGCAGGCCGGAGGAGCTGGTGAGTCATTCGATTTACAATGTTTGATTTGGTCCTGACAGAACGGTCCAGATATTATTGAACTAGGCCTTCCTTTTACCGATCCCATTGCAGACGGTCCAACCATCCAGAAATCGAATTTGAAGGCCCTCGAAAATGGGGTCACAATCACCTCCATGTTGGAGATGGTGCGGGAGGCCCGACGGAAAGGGCTCACGACGCCAGTGCTCTTCATGGGCTACTACAACCCGCTCCTCCGCTACGGCGAGTCCAAAGCCTTGGCCGACTGCAAAGACGCGGGTGTCAATGGCTTTATCATCGTTGATCTGCCTCCGGAAGAAGCAGTTCGATTCCGCAATGGTTGCGCAAAGACGGGGTATACTATTGCCATAGCCCTAAACAACGGCCGAGTGACGATTTGACTCACATTGGCAGCCTCTCCTACGTCCCTTTGATCGCCCCCTCCACCACGGAAGACCGCATGAGAATCCTCTGCAGCATGGCCGATTCTTTTATTTATCTCGTCTCCCGCATGGGCGTCACGGGCGCCACCGGGTCCCTCAATTCGCAACTTCCCGCCCTCATCCGACGCGTCAAGGAACTTTCTGGCAATATACCCGTGGCTGTCGGGTTTGGAATCAGCACGCGCGAGCATTTCCTGAGCGTGACCTCCATCGCCGACGGCGCTGTCATCGGCAGTCAGGTAATTAAGATCCTCGCTGACACCCCAGCCGGACAGGCCGCCCGGGCAGTCGAGGATTATTGCTCGCAGATCACACAAAGAAATGTCGCTCGGGATGATGGTGTCTCAACGGGTGAACCTTCTGCAGCTACGGAGACGAATGCGGTCGCTCAGCTGGTCGAGGAAAAGGCGGCTGCGACGGACGCACCAGGGCGGTTCGGTGCCTTCGGGGGTCAATACGCCCCAGAAGCCTTAACCACTTGTCTTGCCGAACTCGAGGCTGGTTTCCAGGCCGCTCACGATGATCCCTCATTTTGGGAGGAGTACCGATCGTACTACCCTTACATGGGTCGTCCCTCCAGCCTGCACCTGGCTCAGCGCCTGTCCGAGCACGCAGGCGGCGCGAATATCTGGCTGAAACGGGAGGACCTCAACCACACGGGATCGCACAAGATCAACAACGCTCTGGGCCAGATTCTGATCGCTCGTCGGCTGGGAAAGACAGAGATCATTGCTGAGACCGGCGCGGGCCAGCACGGCGTCGCCACTGCGACTGTCTGTGCCAAATTCGGCATGAAATGCACCATCTACATGGGTGCGGAGGACGTCCGCCGGCAGGCCTTGAACGTGTTCCGGATCCGCTTGTTGGGAGCCACTGTGGTCCCAGTGGAGGCAGGGTCGCGCACGCTCCGGGACGCCGTAAATGAAGCCTTCCGCGCATGGATCGTACGCCTAGATACCACGCATTATATTATCGGATCCGCGATCGGACCGCATCCCTTCCCGACGATGGTTCGCACGTTCCAGCGCGTGATCGGCGAGGAGACAAAGGCCCAGCTGCGCGACCTGGGCAAGAGCCCGGATGCCGTGGTCGCTTGCGTCGGGGGCGGCTCCAACGCAGTCGGCATGTTCTATCCGTTTGCCCAGGATGCCTCCGTCCAGCTGGTGGGCGTGGAAGCCGCCGGTGATGGCGTGGACACGGAACGACATTCCGCTACGTTGAGTGGAGGCTCGGTAGGGGTTTTGCATGGTGTTCGGACGTATGTTCTGCAGAATCAGCATGGCCAGATCTCCGAGACGCATTCGGTCTCCGCGGGGCTGGATTACCCTGGAGTCGGACCGGAACTGGCTCATTGGAAGGAAAGCAACCGGGCGACGTTTCTTTCGGCCACTGATGCCCAGGCCCTGCAGGGCTTCCGACTGCTGAGCCAGCTGGAAGGCATCATTCCTGCGTTGGAGACATCCCACGCGGTTTGGGGAGCGATTGAGACCGCCAGACAGCTGGGGCCCGGCAAGGATATTGTGCTGTGCTTGAGTGGCCGGGGGGATAAAGACGTGCAGAGTGTGGCCGATGAGTTGCCCAAGATTGGACCTCAGATTGGATGGGACTTGCGGTTTTGATAGCTTAAATAGGTGCTGTGCATTCTCCAAAACAATGGAATAGATACTTGGCGGAAAGAACTATTGATCGACATAGCGTGAATTAAGTACAAAGATGTAGACCAAAGCAAACACTCGTCATCAGCCTGCCTTATCCATTGTTGTACAATTGCAATCGGACAACATGTCAGCTTATTTGCAGTGCTTTTCCCACAATGTTTGTATTTTGAATTTTCTTGCAGCCTCGTAACCTTTGCAACCTCTCCACAGGCATCAATTTCATCAAAATTATCAATATTATGACTGTTCTCACCAGTCTTCCCACAATTTTAGACATAAATCCAGATCAAGTGACGCCTTCGCCTCCTGATATCTCGCCTTATCTCTTCTGTCCTGTACATCCATTTCCAAGCATATCCGAGTATCTTTCACGATCAGACCTGCTTTTATATTGATATTCAACTTAACGGACCTCAGACCTCATTCGATGATACTGATTGGCGCGCTCAGGCATGTATGAAATGACACACCCCACCCTGGATGACTTGCCAAGTAAGCTTGAGGACTCATTAAGACACTAGTTGAATCCTGCACGCCAATGAAGTGTTTAGTCGAGGTCGGTACGATACTTGCATGTCTTGTATTCCAGGACTTCTAACCGGGATTGGACAATGCTGAACCTTGTTGGAGTACACTGGGTTTGCAGTGTGCGCCCCTGATTGTCTTTACCAGTATTGAAGTTTCCAGTGCCCCGTCTATGTTTGCCGGCTACGGGGAATACACTCGGAAGGACAGCAAGCTCTGTCAGGAGCTGAGGCGGCTACAAGCTCTTGTCGCTGGCGAAGAATGGGTCACTTACTGCTAACCGATCGCCGAGGGCTCGATGATCGAAACAAATCTCGGATATTTGAAAAAGCGGGGTGGTCAGTCGTGATGCTTCCGTTCTCCTGCTCCTTCTCGCGTTCTAGGCCTACCTTTATCTATCAGAGAGATTTTTGCCTTCCACTAGCTCTTGCTAGTTTTACCCCTGCATGGTTTTTTTCTCTTTTGAACAGAAGGGTAGGAGAGAACCTCGAATGATCTTTAATCGCCTCGCATCAACATTGAGCACATCCCACCAGGCCATCAGGGATATACGTATATAGGATAACGGCACAGTGTCCGCGTCTGACACCATACAGCTATCTCACAGTCTGGGGTTGACATCCCAACGCTGATCATTGCATACGAAACAGGACCTGCATGCGATCAACACGCACGATTTCTATCTTGAAACCTCAGCTGAAGATCCAATACGAAACGATGAGACGTTAAGTCGATGAACTCTGCATAGCATGGATGTGGCTTCGCTTGATAAGATCATATGAGACAAGGTAATAGAGAATCGAACAGCCATCGGAAGCGAGACCTTGTTCAATTCTGCAATCATGCAACCAATTCATCTTGGCCGGACACCGGCCCACGCTAAAAACACCTGGGAGGGGGGAAAAGGAGACTAGGAAATGAAGGAGAGAACGCGGTTAGACCACCCATGATCGTCTTTTTAGTCTTCTCGCTATCTTTTTGGCCCTTCTTTCCCATGCGTGGATTAGGAGTCAGTCAGTGCTGGGGATTTTTACAGCTCTTCATCCTTCCTCTCCTCTCGTTTCCCGTCAGTTATTCAATTGATCATGTCTGCATTCGTTTGATTCATTAATCACTGTCACTCGCTTTTCTGTCTATCATTCTTTACTTCTGGGCCTGTTTGATACAGACGCCCAATGTCCACTCGTTATAATATTGATCAACCCACCGGGTACAAAATGAACAGCCCCTCCTACACGGGCGTTTGGGGGCAGAATACCAGCGGCCTGTCCTCCCCTGTATATCCGGGCTCTACATGCCTGCCCCAGGAATCTCCGACGGAGTACCGGGTCGCGATCGAATCGGGGCCATCTCAGCGCCCGTGGAAGTTCCTGGCGGCTGTCTCTTCATATCTGCTCCTTGTGGGGTACGTTCCAAACTTGGCAGGATGACCAGATCGACCGATCCATACTGACACGCGATTGTCTCCACAATTCAGATACCTTGTGCTGCCTCTTTCGTTCAATGATTCAAAGTACAACGACCATATCGACAGAACAGGCGCCGCCGTGGCCGCGGCGGTGTTCATTGGAGCGGGGTACGCTCTACCGATCATGCTCCTCGCTGTCCAGTTTCGCGACCGGCACTATGTGATCTACTCTCTGATTCTGTGGGTCGATTCCAACCGTCTTACTCTCGATTTCAAAAAGCGATTCCAGTCTAATGCGCCGCAGACCTCAGATACCCACCAACCTCCTAGGAGTCCTCAATGCGCTCCTCAATATTTTCATCCGGGGCCTACTCCCCATCCACTCCAGAGAAGTGGCAGCGATCGCTCTCCCCGGCGCCGTCGCTTTTTTCTGCACCCTTGCGGCATTGAGTCTACACGCCTTAACCTCCATCAAGATCACCCGACGCAGTACCCCCAGTCGTGAGAAGGTTCTGCACACCGAGGAGGAACTACAACGGCAGCAGCTCCTTCGTCTTCTGCAGGAAAAGAACGGCAAGAGAGCCTCGAAGGGCGTGCATAGTACTTTCAAGATGAAGATCTCAGGTCCGTGAGATCCACGCACACGTGCACCTTCACACCTTCTTGTGTTAGCTGTGAGAGTTGATGATGTCTTTCTGCATGCCGCACGGCCTGGAATGAGGATCTCATGCAATTCGTATATTATTATGACCATAATTTTCGCTATAACGGTGCCGGATATTTTGAACACAGTGTTTCTGCGCGGGTTACGATGGGGTGTCGCGCTCTCCTTCCTTAACTCTTCGAGGTCGCTCGGCCTAGGGCTGGTCACCCTTGCATGCCTCAGCGATGGTATGCCGAGTGACCCAAGTGTACTGATGCAAAATGGAGAATGACAACATCCCATGAGGATCCGTGTTTTTCACATGGGGTGTCAGTCAATGATGAAGAAACGCGATCGTCATGAATCGGGGTATCTGTCTGGCCGGTGCTTGTTATTGCCATCATGATTAATAATCACTCCGTTACTGAATGTATGCATTCTGTGTTGTTCAAGAGAGACGTCGCTGCATAAGACGTGAAATGCCGAGGATTCTCAGCAAAATTAGTGTTTATACACCGTTTGTGCAGAGCGGATACCAACTCCCATTACTCAGCTGCTTCCGACCCATGGATTGACGTAGCGCCTCGGCTATTACCCGATTGGGACTCTCAATCTTACCCCGGGCCGACGCGTGGAAAAGGAAAAAAGGATCTCTGCCACCTGAAGAACTCCTTTGCCCCTGATCCTGCCCTTAGATCTTTACTTTGCTGTATATTCCTTTTTTCTATACGACTTTTTTTATTGTACTGCGTTTGTCTTTTGATTTATAGAGACCCCCCTCCATGGCGAACCGAGTGACCCTGTTTGAGCCCCCGCCACTGGATGCCTCCAGGGCGCCGATCGAAAATGTTCTGGACCTGACGCCGGTGATTGATATTGGGCCGGTATGTCTCTTTGAATTGCTCTTCTGCTATTAGATGGCCCCTTTCTGACCTGTATCCCTCTTCCCGCAGGATGTCTTCACGAACACCCGTCCCCTCTGGCATCCCCCCGGTGCGCGGGGTATATACGGTGGCGCGGCCATTGCGCAATCACTTGCCGCGGCAATGCGCACGGTGCCCACGGACTTCGCCGTCCACAGCATGCATTGCTATTTTGTCCTCGCGGGCGACTCCGAGATCCCGATTCTATACCACGTCGAACGAGTGCGCGACGGAAGAAGCTTCATCACCCGAACCGTCCAAGCGCGCCAACGCGGCCGTCCCATCTTCACCACCACCCTGAGTTTCAGCAAGGCCAACAGCGGGGGAAAGAAGACCCTCCAACATGCCGCCCCGATGCCCGACATTGAGCTTCCGAAGGAGCCCACACCGGGGTTGAGGGGAACTTTGGACCAGTCGGCTGGTGGTGGTCCCTTCGAGTCGAAAAAGGCCGGCATCGTGAACCGTAAGCCATTCCGCCCGCATACTGCCCCCCGTAGCTGGTCTGGATGCTAATGCGCAATGTTAGGAACCTCCCCCAACGCTGAAGAAAAGAAGGTCCGCCGCTTCTTGCGAGCCCGGGGGAAGATCTCCGAGACGGGCGGCCACCAGGCGAATCTCTCCGCGCTCGCGTACATCACCGACAGCTTCTTCATCGGCACCGTTACCCGCGTGCACGACATCCCCCGGTTCACCTCGCCGCAGGAACTCGAGCGGGCGCTGAATGCGCTGAAGAACCCGTCCGACCTGGACGACGAGGACATTGCGCGCGCGCTCAAGGAGCTCAAGGAGGAGGAGGCGCTGGAGCTCCGCCGTCGGCTCGAGGGAGCCCTGAGTAAGGCGACGGCGGAGAAGAACAAGGCCGACCGCAAAGAGGTCGGCATGATGGTCAGTCTGGACCACTCGATCTACTTCCACAACCCGTGGGCGTTCCGCGCGGATGAGTGGATGCTCACGGAAATGGAGAGCCCGTGGGCTGGTGAGGGTCGCGGTCTGGTGCTGCAGAAGATTTGGTCGAAGGATGGGGTGTTGATCGCCACATGCACGCAAGAGGTACGTTCTTTCTTTTCTTTTCCTTCCTTTCTTCCTTGTGACATGGGTGTTAACGTATAATAGGGTGTTGTGAGATTAAAGCAGGATGAGAAGCCTCGCTCGAAGATCTAGGGGTACTTGTCTGTGTTTGATCTCAATTATTTCCTTTCTTTTTACATTCCGTTATAGAGCTCTTTGCACAACGTCTTTCTTTTCCTGTTTGTTTATATTATATACACCGATACACCGTTTGATGTTTAATCAGCTTATCTATTACTTATTCCTTGTTGCGGCTCCTTGCTTGCATTACTTTACATCCAGCACGAATATACAGATTTCATATGTACCACTATTCCTTGGCCTTCATGTCACTGGACAGTAACAGTAGTACATTGTGGATACAGTTGAACCTAGGTACAGTTGTATGTTGACCCGCAGTAAACAGTACTCCGTCCAGCTATGTCTACGGCAAAGTGGCCTAATGATCTAGCTATTACTGAGAACATCCCCCCATGAACAGTTTAGTCAGACGAGTTGATTTGCAAACAGAACATTGACGATGCTAAACGTACAACAAACAAAGAGCCACCCAGTATGGAAATAAACCATCCAGTCCATGCAGAGATGACTTTAAACAGCGGGAAATGAAAAACAAAACAGAACAAAAAAGAGCAAAATAAATAAATAAAAAATCAGATAGCCGCCCACCCATTTTAGATGGCCCAGTCCCAGAGACATGCAAAACGAGAACGTCATAAAAAAAAAAAGAGGTCATAATCCTACAGAAGTTCCATCATCCCCATCCTTCCCCACACTTCATCACTTACACTTCCATCTTCTCCATCTTCTCACTCTCCATCCGATCTCTCTTCTCGCAGAACTCCAAGGCTTTCGCACCCCAGATCCCACGTCCCTTATACTCCCCTACATATTCTGGCCAGCTCTTGATCTCCTTGGCTAGGTTCCGCAGCTCCTCCATGGGCAGCTCGTCTAGCGGCGTCAGGATCGTTTTGACCCCGAAAACGATGGTCCCCGTTTTGGGCAGCCGACGGAAGGTCTGTCTCTCGCGCCGGATGACGATATCTTGGGGCGCGGGGTCGGGGTTGTCTTCGGAGAGGGTGGTGGGTCGGTAGAGCACTTCGAAGAGGTCCTCGCCTGGGTGTTTCACTTCCACGAAGTAGTTAGATCGCTCCATTGGGGAGCTTGGGGTGAGGCGAGCGAGGAACCTAAAGGTTGGGTGGTTAGTTGTTGGCTTCTTCCTGTTTGTTGTTGTCATTGTCATGTTGAAACATGGCTATATACTCACTTGCTGACGGAATTGGCCACGTGCTGGTGCCACAGAGGGACCGGATTATGGAGCTTGGAGATCGTCCATCCGATCCGTTCTTGGACCGTCCATCCTACAGGGAAGAGGCTTGCGCTGGCGGCCCTACCGGGAGTATACCCGTCAGTATGATGCGTGCATGCGTCCGCTGGGACAGGTAGGGGTCTTGCTACTCACAGGTAGTACTCGTCATCCTCGTTCTTCAACAAGACGCTCAGGTCCTCCATGGTCAGCCGGACCGCGATCTCCAGGGGATCCATCTGATGGTTGTCTCCGCCAAAGACGAAGGTCTCCCCTGTCATCTTGTTATAGACGACTGTCTCGGGCCCGGACTTCTTCCGCTGGAACATATTCGGGAACCGCTCGCAGAGGAACTCCACCACTTCGTCCAATGCCTCCACGCACCCGTCATGCGACTCAGGCAGACACTGGAGGACCTTGCTCTTCTCTTGCTGCAGCAATTGGCTCCGGATATGGTGCTCGTTCATGTAGTTCTTGTCGATCGTAAGCCAGTTCTGGGCGTCCAGCTTCCGCACGTCCATCATGACCCGGTACCGCTCTCGGCCTCTGATGGGCTGGGCAGGGTACGGCGCGATGTGTTTGATGTCATTGCAATTGGTATTCTCAGGGCGTTTCGATTCGGCAGATGGTGGATCTTGGCGCCGCTGTCGGAGCTTGACAATGACGAAGGACAGAATCAGGGTTACAATCCCAGCCCATGTCAGGTAATTCATCGCCTTGTCTCCGCGATCCAAAGAACACGGAGAAAGAAAAAAGAAAAGGGTTCACAAAGGAAATAAAGACCAATGGTTGAAAGAACAGACTTTTTTCTGGCGTCCCTCAAGTCATGCGACAATCCACGAGGAGGATCTTATGAGGCAAGATGAGAACAAAACAAAAGAAAGATGGAATGAAAGGAAAACCGCAACATGGCGAACCCTTGTCTTCATGAGGGCCATGGCTCCAAATATATTGGTCCGGTGAAGTCTAGGACCGATCATCAAAAAGTTGGGTCAGACGATTAAAACTACACGGCGCCTCTGCTCTCCTCTCTCTCTGTCTGTCTCTACATGGGGGGAGCTGGGTTAAACTCTGATACGATCTGCTCTTTTTTTCCCCCGCAAAAGCCGCAAGACGCCGCCCCATCCCCGACAGAGAAAGTATCCACATGATCCAGCGGGCTTTCTCAGCTGTCTCATTTTTTCTTTTGTAACCCCCCCATGTAGCTCCACTGGGGGGCTCGTTTGGGTGGACGGGGGTGGGTGGTGTGGTTGGGGAGGTGGAAGCAGGATCCGTCAGGAGATGAGCTTCAAGTGGGTAAGCAACGCGAAAGAGGGAGAGCGACAGAGAGGAGAGGAGCAAAACCAAGACGTAATGCAACCCGTTTTGATCCGCAGCTGATCCAAGGCATGTATCCAGACTGCTACGGTACTATCGCTAGTCATGTACGTACTAATCTAAAACCCAAGGACTAAAGGGGGTAGGAATGAGGAGGAGAACCGATCAATCGTCAAGGCTACAGCGGCGAGAGCTTAGAGGATGTCCGTGCGGGGATACCCAATTGATTGGGGCTTTTTTGGAGACAGACCAGAAACAGACCTCGTGAGCTAGGGAGCAAACCGAGAGAGAGTGATGCCAGTGTCTAACAGTTCCTGCGGTTCCGCTCCAGCGGTATTCGTCTTTTTTCTTCCGACGCAGACGCAGAAAATGTCTACCAACAACGCGTATGATCTAAGAATTACGGGAGAAAGGGGGAAAAGCAAAGAAATACCGCACGCAGGTCGAAGAAAAAAAAATAAAAAATAAAAAATAAAAAAAGGCGATCAAAAAAGGAAAACGCAGGAGCTCATCGACAGACAGCCGATACCACCACGACCAACCACAACGAGGTAATATGTTGTTGTGCGACCGAACAAACAATTAAATTGCAAGCTGACTGGGATCGCAACGCGTGGGATGTGCAGCGTGGCCGAGAGACCATCATCCCCAACAACCCCAGTGAAGTCACACACGTTTTATCCTTTGGGACGACCGACGGCTCTTCCTCTCTCTCGACCACAAACATATACGCTACCATTGAAGATGGTCATTCCGAGCTCTACGACTGGCTGGTCGAGACCTAAGCTAGCCGGACATCATTCCGTAGTCTCGCTGGACCAGAGACGCCCGAGAGGGGTGGATTCGGTTTGCGTATGATGCATGGAGGCGACATTTGACGTACTATGAGGTGTCCTTGCAGTGCCCATTCTGATCATCCTCACTAACCCTCCGCTCTCCGCGGCGAGATTGAGCCCAGTGGCCCACCGGGAGAGGGGAGGCGCCACGGAGACGGTATAGGTCCTAGGCACCGACGACGCTTGCCATTGAACCCGACTAGTGGGAATCGGCCCAGACGAAGGTGCAAGGGTAGGAAGTAGAAACTACTACTTGGCCATGCCAAAAACAACCCCGGCCGGCGATCCACTCCAGTCTGGATTTGCGCTCTGCCTTTTTTTTTTTTCCCTTCTTTTTTTGGACTACGAGGCGAGTGGACCCGAAGGACCGAGTTGCACGACTCCACACTTCCTTTCCATCCAGTACCCACTATCCAGTGTCCACTCACCCTGGCCAGACAGGGACCGAAGACCGACAGGACATCTGGGGTTTGCGCTGCAACCGCTTTGAATCTCGCGCAAAAGCGCGCTTGCCGCAGGGTAATCCAGACTGGATCCAATCATCATGTGGAAACGACCCCATCAATAGTGAGTAATTTAATCAATTATCTTTGCTCTTTTGAGATGGTCCTGATGGAGACTCTTGCTCAGGAATGCGCTTTTTTCTCTCTCTCTATGTTTCTCTTCTTGTCACTCACGGTTTATGCAGCAGCATGCCCCTTTGCTGATGTAGCATGAGCCGAGCTTGATCCTTTTTCATCTTTTCACCTTTTCACCTTTTGACATTTTCATCTTCATTCCTACTCCTATTTCCTTTTCTGTCATTTTTCTATTCTTTTTCTTTTTTCAATTATAATAACGATGAATATTATTCTCCCCTCGTTGCCTAATCCCATCCCCTGATTCGATCAAGTCCCCTACCGAGCGACACGTTGATGTTTACTTTTTCCCTCTCTTCCGTCTTTTCCCTCGTTCAAGCAACCCAACCGTCCAGTCAGTCGACAGCGATGACCTTCACCCTTACGTCCTCCAGCTGAGTGGTCTGACGCAGCTGGAGCAACCAACTGGACTAAAGAACGAAATGCTCCGAGTGACATTCGCACCGGCGCGATGACATCGTCGTCTCGTCGTTGCTTTTTTGCGATGCCAGGTTGTCCGTTTCTGGGGATGAAGACAGATGGCGTAGCGCATACGATGTTTCTATGTTTCTCCGGAAGCCTTTTTCCTTCGTCTCTTTTTTTTCTCACGTAGACAAACACCGGAGCCATTAACTATCCAACCCTGCACATACTCCAACCAAGCCGTGGTCGAAACCCAAACTGGTCCATCCTGTCTTTCATCCACACGGAAGGGAATAGGAAAATCTTAAAAAGGGAAAAGAAAAAAGCATACCCGATCGATCCTCCGTAATGATCATCAAATGACAAGCCCAGGATTGACAGTCACAAATCCCCCCACCAAACGGGACTACTCCGATGCTGGCTGTCTGGCTAGCTAGGCTGGGCTGGGCTGGGCTGGACTGATAGAGGAGAGGAGAGGAGACGAGACGGGGAAGGGAAGGGAACCCCCCCGACGAGACATTATCACCATGATCATCGTCGTCGTCCATAATATATGGTAATAGGCGAAGAGGGATGGCCTTGACGATGGTCGAGACGGGTCTTTTTCTTAGGTTCTTTGTCAAGCGCATACTTACTTGGGTATTGTATTGGGGTGCCGCTGCGCCAATGGTGGATCCATCCACCATCCAGCTTTGAGGGAGGGGGGGAGAGCTCGAGCTGGAGCTCACTCACTCGACTTGTTCTATCATTGAGTAGAGTAGGTACATGCTCACTAGC